TTTTGGCTGGGTTGACAAGGAGTAAACAACTCTCTTTTGAGATAAGACGACGCCTCCCAAGTATATTTGACCTCTTCCGCGTCCGCCGGTATGCTGCAGACCCTATTTGAGTACGCTCTTTGAGCCATCGTGATGCCGTAGACCTGGTTACTCCCAAATCTGCCCCAATAGCCTTATGCGTTTCTGCGCCGTGCCGGGCGTCCCAGGCCTCGTAAAATCGGGTCTTTTTGGTAGTAGTAGCTTCGCGGTGGTGTATTTGACGATCTGGCGTGTCCTCTCTACTGTGAGTAGGCGTGTTAGTGTCCATTTGGACGGTTTAAAGAGTATGTTTTATTAAGGTATAATATCTAAGCATTTTTGGTGTTCTTGATTACGTAATTTAGAAGTTGTGCTGTCCCACGAATTCTGTCACCCACTGGTGAGGGGATTATAAAGTATAAAATCCGAAAAGTAGAGACGTCTACTTTATAGTACTTAGATCTCTACTTTTAACTACCTAATTAGGCCTGTATACGGAATTTTCGTACGTGTACGAGAATCTCTGCCACCGAGTTCCCAGAGGGACTGCGTTCGGAGTACTCATGGCCAGTAAGGCTCGGTTCACATGATAACCACTGGGGTACCTGCTACTCGAAGCTTAAGACATGGCAGACGAGGAGGGAAGGCTGGCTTATCTACTAGAAAAGAAAGTAAAGAAAGAAAGTAAGAAAGAAGAAGAAGGAAAAAATAAATATATAATCTAATCTAAGCGAGATAAATTACGATCGGTATACAAGTAATGAGTATTTTTTGCACTGAAAAGACCTTCTAAGTATAATAAGTTCAGCTCCCTCCCCCATATATCTAAAAACAAAGTCTCATCGTCTATATGTTAACCCTAAGGCTATCTTAGTATCATGTTATCTCGAGCCGAGGACTCGGGGTACGTGATTGCCGAGTCTAGTGCCGCTCTGCCGCTGGAGGATATCCAAGGAGGCAGCTATGTAGCTGTGAGTAGAAGTTGATAGCTGACCTTTGGATGAGAATCACTGGATTATATCCGTCTCAGGTATGGTATACAAAAGATCGAGATAAAAGGGTAGAGTAGGGGATGGGATAAGGTATTAATACTAGTATCATATCAGGGGACTGAACTAGGATGGGGATATGATACTATAGAAAGAATCAGAGAAGACCAACTAATAAGAAGAACAGAGGAGGTTTGTTCGACGCCACTTTACAAGTAAGGTTGGCTAGCAGTAAGCGACGTGATGCCGTAAGAAAGTCAGAAGACTTGAAGCGGTAGAGGAACCGACGATCCAGATCAACAGTATCACAAAGCAAAGGGTAAACCCGCCCACCCCATCCATCCCAGTCTTGGTGACACAAGAAAATCCTTCTCTCGCAGTTCTGTGGATTCTGGAATGCGGGTATAGAAGAATAGGTGTCACTCTTCTGTTCCAAATAGTAACATACCTCTTCTTCATAATGAGACGGACAGTCATGCTTCGTACTCGCTTGGGTGGAAGAACAGACGAGATAGAGGGAATGCTCCTGAGAAACCTTCGCTTTCCTCGTATCAGGCAGAGAGAGATATCAACGAATAGATGATCAACCTATCTGAACAGGTGTTTTGCATTGCAGACACTGTGCCCCAGAATGTACCCATGTGCTTACATGGTTAGATCCACGGTATTTGGGTAGGATATGGATCTTGGGATGAAAATCCCCCGGCACCTCCTCGAAAGCGTATATTATGGCTGAAAGCTGTGCAGCAGTGACACATTCCATGAAAGAGCTCGCGCTGGCCCGCAACTTTTGACCTAAACAAGTAAAAAAGTAACCGCACCACCATAATTCTTCATTTATGTGTATGGGGAGGGAACTTGAATTGGAGTTCATGGGTATAATGTATATGCTGATTATACAATGTATAAGGGGGGGTAATAACTTACCACAGCTTCATGATGCTCTTATGGTTCGTGATTTTCATCCTTTCCTCTTGGAAAGCACCAATCGGATGATTTGATGGATGAATAGAATACGACTGTACCTAGGATCCAAGATGTTCGCAGCGGTACATCCTTCCGGCCCCGACCTACCGGGCTACCAGACCACCCGGAAACTCCTAGACTGTTCCGACTCGGTGGCAGCGGCACGGAAAGGTGGGGGAAGAACGATTCGCGCAGTGTGGTTGAAATGCGGGGGTAGGGCTACCATCATATCCCTGATACCAATTCAACCGCGTCAATAACGATCGAATGTTTTGGGAGATGGAAAAGTGACGTGCAGATACTGAAACTCATGTCGCTGTACTGAGTAAGTATAAGCATAGCCGTGCTACACCAATCCTCCTCCTGCTGGATAACCTTGGCTCTAATCTGCACTTAGTGGCCAACGAAGTTCGCAAGTCCAGTTCGACAATATAGGTGGCATCACTGCATCAGCCACCATGTGATAGTTCCATGGCCTGATAGATGACAAGGAGGTGATTGAGGCATCCACGCATTTAGAGATTGCCAATTGGAGATACTCATTCGATCAGCCATGCTCTCTTGTATCGTCGTCTGTTCCCAAAGGTTCCCGCCAAGCAATCACATCCCTCATCCAGATGAAGAGGGTATGAAAAAGCCTGATCTTTTCCGTTGAACAGAATGATGTGTGGAGATCAAACGCATGCCCTCGGGCGGAGACGAGCGCATAAGATTAGTACCCTGAAAACTTCTTGCATATATCGGAGGTATATGATAGAAGGGCTGCCTATACGCCAGTCGATAATTTGCGTAGTAAGAACTGGAAGAGCTGACAATCTTGCCGAGGCGAGGTCAGGAAGAGCTGGGCCTACAACAACGGAGCAAGGAGAGATGACCCCGCATTGGAGTTGTTCCTTTGACATGGCATAACGACATCAATCCATTCGGGTCCCAACAAGACATCTGATTTCGCCAGAGATGCGGTAAAAGCAGGTCCATGAGAGGACAACGTCATGACCTGGCTCCCAAAAGTTCAATCCACCACAGAGTCCACTACATATGTCAAACTTGCCGCACAGCTCCCGAGGCCTCTGTTCCGGATATTTTGGATGTGTGGAACGGTCTGTCAGACAAGGACCTTTGAATTGCTCCCAGTGCCAGCCAGACCCAGACCCAGACCCAGACCCAGACCCAGAGAATGGTGTATGCAGGCCTGGCAGGGAAGAAAAGCAGCACGGCCCATCCAAAGCGTCGTCTTGCAGCAGCGGAACCAAACCTGCGGATTCGGCCAGTTGAGACGAATAAGAGGAGGCACCGCACGGCAAGATGAACTATAAGAGAAAACCGTTGCCTATAGAAGACCCGAGGAGAGAGATAGCCAGCGAAGCAGTACAGAGGCGGGACATCATCCCATCTCCATCTTGGACATGCAACATCAGCATCCATTTTTCTCCTTCGTGCCATTTGAAAGTAGCCCAACAGGACACGCGCACGCGCGTTGGAGGCCAAAAACTTTGACTTGCAGCAGACGTATAGACTGGTCGTCTTGTAGCTTCTCCTGGATGCAAACGACGTGGTACTGCCTGAGACAGGACCAGACAGGCCTCGCTGGGGAGCATGTACAACGTCAACTGCCTGATCTGTCGATAATAATCTGCGGCTGTCCAGCTGCCGTTGTGACAGAGACATGGAGTCGAGTCGAGTCGAGTCAAGGGAAATAAGGAGATGTCGTCGAGGCTCGAGTCGAATCCTGTTTTGCTCTGATTTGGCTTGCAGGCTGCGATGTGCATTCTGCATATTGGAGGCCGCGTACCGATCTGGACGCACTTGATAGGGGATGCGATCGCGAGAGCCAATGATGGGAACCGTATTTGAGGTGATGCAGCCAACCAACCTCTTCTCGGTGGATTTTGTTCTGGTGTCTGTGTATCATGGTGATGATGGTCATGGTGTACTCGGTCGCTCGTACTTTTGGTACTTCTTCATCCCAACGGTGGTGCAGCGTAGCCATGCCGGAATGGTGTGTTGGGTGCATCTCGGGTGGCTCTGCTGTCTTCCAGCACCAGACGCGCGGAATGAGAAAGTACCGAGGGCCTGTCACGGTGGCGTTTTCTATTTTAGATATTAATTAAGAAACGGCCATCGCAAGGCGCAGAGCGGCAGCAAAAGCAGAGCAGCACACGCGCAGGGCGACCGTGGGTCGTAGTGGGTAAGTGAGCGAGTGAGTGAGTGGTGGACGGGAGTGACGAGCGACTGGCCATGGGATGGGATTGATTGGTAGCGCGATGGAAGGCAGCTAGCCGCAGTGGATATGTAGAGCTTTGCCATGTTCTTGGTGTTCGAAGTGGATGTGTTGGTTGGTACTGTACGAGTATATTTAGCTCCTGCCGAAGATCGTAGTGCAGTAGGTAGGTAGGTACTCGAGTACCTACCGCACTGTAGAGTTGCAGTCCATGTTGGATGTACGATCTGAGAAGCACCGCACTACCTCATTCAGAAGAATTGAGATCACCTTCTGCCCCCAACCGTCGACACTTCATAGGGATGAACTGTTAGTATTCGTGGGCTAGGCTCTAGCGAGGCACAACCCCCCTGAAGCGGCAGAGGACCCCCCCATGGTGCCCCCCCCCTGAAATGCGCCGCGAGCTCTGTGACTCTGTGTGTCTGTCGAGCCTCTTGAGCCTGCCATTGAGCCCTACTTCAAAGTAACATCTCATCTCTCGCATTGACCGCCGGATGTCTAGCTGCTCTGCGGTTGCTACGCAGGCTGCAGGCTGCAGGCCCCTCAGAACCCCCCCTCCCGCTCTTCCCCCTCGTCCACCGAGGAAAAAACACAGCAGCAGCGCTGAACCTGGAGAAGTTGACCGAGACACAGCTCAAAGGGGACTAAGTGGCTCTCCCAACCTACTGCACCAAGCCCAGTTAAGAGTCTTCTTTGGCCTCCCCTACCCTTAGTGAGAGCTTTAAGGGTTTAGAAGCCTACGAGGGGCGCCCAGTTAGGTATCACTAACATGATCACATCAAGCTCTTTCCAAAGCAAACCCCTCGCAAGGTCGCTCTCGTTCTTCGAGGATTGCGCTTGCCTGCGGCTTCGGTCAGATTTTATCTCATCGCGCGTTGCATGGAGGCTGGCTGGCCGGCAGGTGATGGACCTCGACCCATTCATTGACTGGACCTCACTGCGACTCTACACTCTTCTACTAACTACTTCAATACTACACTACCTCACTTCCCTCTGACCTCTGACCTCACTCACTCACCCTCACTTACCCTCACTTGCCCTCACTTGCCCTCACTTACTTTTTGCCCACTACTTTTCCCGTCCGCACCCTCACTGAATTTTCCCCTCAACCCCCTCCTCTCACATACCCAGTGCCTCCAGCTGCTCCGTCGGTACTAGTATCACAAGAACACCCGTCGTCGCACGTCGCATCTCACTCGCCCTCCCACACACTGGTTCTGGCAGCTCCAGTGATCGGCCTCTGCCTCTGTCTCCCAAATTCTCCGTCTCCGCCGGCCCAGTGTTCAGTGCTCGCATCCCTTTGCCTGCGGTGTTCCTGTCACTCTGCCTCTGCCACCGTGATTGTAGGGTTCCAATCCCACTCGCAGTCCCAAGCCAGGATTAAGCTTCCGGCTACGCTACGAGAACGAAAGGGTCCCCCCAAAAAAGTCCCCACTTGCTCCCGCAACCCGAACCTTCTCGAGCTCCAGGCTCGAGCTTTAATCAAGCGCCAACTGTCTGTCTCGCAGATTACCTGCTGCTGATTTCCGACCAACTGTCACGGCTGCAGAGTGCACAGGATTTCTCGTCAAAGGCTGCTGAATGCGGCGGGGTGAAGAATAGAGTTCCGACGCCCAAAAACATTCCCATCCCAATCGCAAAAAAGTTGCAGCGTCACCTCCTAACCTCATCACCATGAACACATACGCACCAGATGCATATCGTCCGGCAGCGACATATGCCCCGCCGATGCCTCACTCCCAGTACAGTCAGATGCCGCCAATGCCCTCTGCCAGAGCTCCAATGCCAGAACAGCAACCACCACAGCATTCATCCGATGGCCTGGCCCCATTGAAGCCAGGCTCGCAACCGGCCACTGCTGAACCATTGTCGCGGTCTTGCAAAGATAGCGATGGTTATAAATATGAGTGCGTATATAAAGTCTTTCCTCCGTCCCTGGCCATGTGGTCCTTAGTACGAGTGGTTTTTGGGAACATGGGATGAACCTCATTTCACTCCGTGACTCCGCGTCTGGCTGGGCTACAGTAGTGGTAGACCACTTTGGATATTTCCAATTCCCGAAAATCTAGTGTTGCTCGTCCCACCCGTCCGCACGTAAAGTTTAAGCTTTCAAATGCAGCCCTTTTCTGTCGAGGCTACTTTGTGATACGTCGCTGACACGTAATAGGCTGCGAGTCTTGCAGGAACCTCGAAGGGCCCGCATGTGCGGTTTTGGTGACAAGGTAACCTTTACCCTCTCTACCGAATCTCACCTCAACTAATCGCCTCCTAGGACCGACGACCCATCACTCCTCCACCTTGCGTGCGCTTGATCATTACCGATGCCAAGACCGGGAAAGAGCGTGATTTCAAGTGAGTCGTATTGAATCTCAAATGAGTGATGGCATTCTAATTCCCAGTAGTGAAGTAGATCATGGTATGTTTGTATTAAATGTTGATCTTTGGTCCCCTGATGGCCAACGCGAGGTCAATTTGGTTCGTCACTCACAAACATCGCCATCCATCTCCTTAACCACACCCATCTCGTATGGTCAAGTCGCTGGAACGCCCGCATTTTCCAACAACCTTTCAGGCCATGGAGAATTATCAAGAGAAGTCAAGTTTGAACATGGTGGCGGCCCTAGCTATGGCAATGCCCCTTCTTTCAACCCATACAATCCTCAACAACAAGTAAATCCATACAGTCAACCACAACAGCCACCATCAGCATATCCTAATCAATATCATCCCGGATATGCACAACCTGCGACACAGCCTTATCCTCCTCAAAATGGCTACGCTCAACCAGGTATGGCAAACCAGCAAGCACTTTACATGCCCGGACCACAAATGCATCCTTCTGGAAACATGGGTTTTGAACCTCAACCCATCCCATCTCCACGATTTGGTTATCCAGGTGGTGGAAGACCATTTACCCCTCAAGATTCGAGCATGCAAAGACTGCCGGCTAGCAGTACTCAACCAGGTGGCATGTTTACAAGAAACCTTATTGGGAGCCTGGCTGCTAGCGCATTTCGATTAACTGATCCCGATGACCGAATCGGCATTTGGTTTGTTTTGCAAGATTTGTCGGTTAGAACTGAAGGAAACTTCAGGTATGTCTTTCTATCACACTATAGCTTAATGTGAGATACTAATATCACAGACTTCGTTTCTCTTTCGTCAATGTCGGTAGAACGATACCCGATACATCTCCCGGCAAAGGTCCCAACGAGACCAAAACTGTTGTAAACACCGGTAGTGCACCAGTCCTTGCATCCTGCTTTTCAGAACCGTTCCAAGTTTATTCGGCAAAGCGATTTCCCGGTGTCGTCGAAAGTACTGCTTTAAGCAAATGTTTCGCTACTCAAGGCATCAAAATCCCTATCCGAAAGGAAGGACAAGCTCCTAGTACGAGAGCAAGCGATCGGGACGAGGAATACAAGGATGATTAATCATTTTCTTCCTCGTATCTTCCTTGCTCCTCTTCTCTTATTGGCTGATTGAAGATTATTATATATATATTATCGGCGACGTAATAAACAATATACGTTCAATTGCCTTTTTTTATCATCGTTATCGTCATCATCATTACTGTTTTCTTGAAAGGAGCGGGTAGGATGTTGTGGTTGTTCGTTTTTAAAAAGGAAAGATTCTCCAGAGAAGCTTGGTGTTTTGGGAGTTCCTTATAGGTTTTGATGGGGGACTGTTGGTATAGCATTGCTCTCCCTTGTCTTGTGCGTTTTTGGCTTTTTGGTATACAGCAGCAGCATGAGATGGAAAATGGAGATTGTGGTATACATAGGTATAACGGCACGTATGTTTATATGAAGACATTTTGCTGTAGTGAGTTTTTGATGGTGGATCTGATCTGTTATTCTTTTTTTTTTGTATGTTTTTTGGTTGTTGTTTTTTTTGGATAGGTGGATGAATGGATGGATTGATGGATTGATGGATGGGTAAATGTGGAATGTGTGTATTTGCTATAGGTAGTTTATTAGTAGTGGTAGTATTTATAGAAGTATTTGGCTGTTGGCTTTTCTTCTGTGTTTTTTATATTTGTTTCTATCTTTTCTGGGTTGGATGATTAGGGCCTGTTTGGATTAGTTTTGATTCCGCGATTAATTCCGCGATTAATTTTGCGATTAATTTATTAATCGCGAAATATATTTTGTAGATTAATTGCGATTAAATCTTATATATTGACTATCCAAAGTATCGACGGACCGGCCCTCGGAGGTGAATATCGCCGTCTAGTATTCACTATATTTAGTAGATAATAATAGCTTGTAGTTATACTTATTAGACGACATACGAATTGTCCTTTGAATTCGACCTTCTCTTCCACCTCTACCTCGATATACTTTTTTCCGGCATATAGATTTGAGAGGATTAGCTCTCCGGTACTATCTTTATATGTATCCGCAGCTACTAATATATAGCTACTTGTCCTGTCTCTATTATACTCGTCGTCGGAATAGCTTTCGTATATGGTTTCAGGTATATAGACAATACTAAGGGTGTTGTTATAGAGTAAGGGTAGAAAGTACTCAAAGGGTTATTATAATTAGGTATAGGTATTAGGAGTAATAATACGTGAATAGAGAATTAATCGCGGAATATAGCTCGAAATCGAGCAAAATAAATTTGTATGGCGATCAATTTAGCGATTAATTGCGATTTTTTTATAGAATTAATACGGCCTCCTGTTAGGATTAGCGATTTATTTAGCGATTAATCGATTAATTGCCAAATTAATCGATTCCAAACAGGCCCTTAAGAGTAGAGTAGAGTAGAGTAAAGTCAAATGTAATCTTCGTATAGTATATATATAGTAGTATAAATATATACCTCGGGTCATTCATGGGTCTAAAACAAAATGCAGATTCGTATACTTAGGTAGATACTTCATCTGTTATTTATCGGAGATTTATAAATCCTTAATTAGTAAGTAGGTACCTCTGTACTACAAGGCTACGCCACGCTGGGCTCCCTCAAATGTCCACGAGTGGCGACAAGGCTGACCACTCCCGTCCCGTCCCCCTCGGCATCTCTCTTCATAATCCCTGTCCATCCCGAACTCTATGCATGTAAACCCAATAGAAGCTCAATTACCCGTACAAGCTCCTACATAGGTAGCTTTCAACTTAACTTAACCTCAACAACCTCACCCAAACCCAACACATAATCAAGACCACACCCCGCTTCCCTTCCTCGTCCCCCCCCACTCTCTCTTATTAAAGTCGAGGAAGATAGGAAGGAAGAAAAAAAGATGTCCCTCCTCCGATCTCGAATCCTAAACTCGAATCTACCGCGAGAACTCATCGCAACATGTACACTCACCCCCCCTCACCGGGAACCACACCATCGACAATTCAGCGTTCTCAATCGACCGCCTCCGAATTACGAAGGGCATGTTCCACTTACCAAGACCGAACGGGTGGGAATGGCCATCGGATCAGCGGTCCTGGCATTTTTGAATCCGCGTCGAGCTGGTAGGTACTTACGCCTCCCTCCATACCTCCACTTGAAGCACCATTCATTCAAAAGAGAAAGAAAAACTAACAAAAAGAGACAAACAAAGACCTAATAGCCACCCTAGGCGAAACAACCTCCCAACCCTACTTCATCACCCGTCTCCGGGACACCATGCTCCTCACCCCCTCGGGACGACGCATCCTCCGTCTACGACCTCGAATAACATCCTCCACCCTCTCGTTGCCTCACCTCCGCTCCCTACCCAAGAACACATTGGGCCACACCTACGCCCTCTGGCTCGACCGCGAGGGCGTCTCGCCCGACACGCGGGATGCCGTGAAGTACATCGACGACGAGGAGTGCGCGTACGTCATGCAGCGGTACCGGGAATGTCATGATTTCTACCACGCCATTACGGGATTGCCGGTCTGGAGGGAGGGAGAAGTCGCGTTGAAGGGGTTTGAGGCGGTGAATTTGGGGTTGCCGATGGCGGGGTTGAGTGTGGCGGCGGTGGCGACACTCAAGAAAGGGGAGAGGAGCAGGTTTTGGGGGGTTTATGGACCGTGGGCGGTGGAGAATGGGGTGGGTGCTAGGTGTTTGATTGATGTTTTTTGGGAGGAGTTATTGGAGAGGGATGTGGGGGAGGTGAGGAGGGAGTTGGGGATTGAGATGCCGGTTGATTTGAGGGGGGTTAGGAAGGCAGAGAGGGAGAGGAGGAGGAAGGGGAGGGAAGAGGGAGAGAGGAGTGGTGATGGGTTGGGTATTAATTAAGTTCCAATGTTATTCCCCTCTTAGGCTTGCTTGCTCTCTGTCTCTCTTGAGCCTGTTTCCTGTGTTTCATTCTCTCAAAGAATGAATGTCTAATCCATCCTTCCATGTCCTTTGCCTCCCAGATCAAACATAACCCGAGTTTTATACACCCTTCCGCATTTCTTCAGACTGCTCATCCCAATAAGTTATATTCCCCATCCCAACCCATTGCCCTCCAACCCAGCGACCCAAAGTCACCCACCATCACCCATCCACCCGCATATCCCCTTTCCATACCCCTCTCACCCCTACAACCCCTACAACCCCTACAGCCCCTCAAACAAATCCGCATCCTCCCCATCATCATCCCACCCCCCCTTCCGTCTACTAACCACAATCCTCTCCTCCTCCTTCTTCTCCGCCACCGCGCCCAGTAACTCCTTCAACTGCGTCTCGGTGACTTTACTCCGCAACTGGCCGCTTCGCGCCAGCATAATGAGTCGGTTCTCCACGTCCTGAGCGCGGCTCTCTTTAACGAGCCGGATGCGACCGAGCCGATCGGCCGCTTCGGGCTCGAGGATTTGGGAGAGGATTTGAGAGCGGGCTTCGGATTCTTGGGTTCTGTTGGGTGGTTAGCTGGATGGGGGATTTTTGGGGGGGGATGGGGGGTGATGGATGGGGATGGGATGGGATGGGCTGTGAAATGAAGTTGGGCAGTGGTAGACGTACGCTCTGTCTTCTGCTCCTCCGCCGCTGGAACCTCCACCTCCACCTCCTCCTTGGGATTTCAGTTGTTCTAATCGAGCTTTTCGGATCTATTTTTTGTTCCGGGGTTGTTAGTAACTATCCTCTTTTCATCTATCCCTCTCTTCATCTCTTCCTTCTCCTCCTCCTTCTTCTTCTTCTTTATATGTGCAAAGAGAAGCATCGTATGGATAGATAGGTGTGTGACTGAAATGTGTAGGGTTGGGTGCGTAGTAGCGTAGAGAGGTATGTAGAGGGCTACAGGTAGGTAAGATAGGTAGAGGGGTAAGGTAGCTATGTACCTGTGCTAAATCATCGTCTTCCATTTTCCTTCTTCCCTTTCTTCCTTCTTTCCTTTCTCCTTTCTTCAGTGTGTTTGTTTGTTTGGATGATATTGCGTTGGCTGCGGCGTGGATATCGCGATTTTCTGGTGTTGGAGGGGGATTTTGTTATGATGTGATGCGGGGCAAAGACGTATGCTACGAGTATTTTCGTCACATACGGACAGGGGTCAATTCAGTCAGCCTTGTCTGCCGTCACGTTTTTGGCTTTTTGCCACTCCCGGCTATGTCAGCCTTGTGGTACGAAGGTACTTGTGCAGTACTAATGCGATTATGCGAAGTTACCTACCTAGGTAGGTAAAGATGTGAGATGTGAGGTGTAGTTAAGAGCTTATCTCCGGGCTGTGGGATATGTAGGTGGCTTAGTTAATATACATACAGACATACATCAGGAGACTGAAAAATCCTCTTCGTCAACAATAAATCTGGACTTTCTATATCTCCTAGCGAGCCGAAAGAAAGCAGGACTTTATTTTAAGAAGCGCCCGATTTCTAACAATTCAGAAATCTACATGTGAATTCCTCAATTCGATTGAATTCAATACACATACTTCTACACTTCATATCCCAAGATTCTCAACTACAAGCTCTATCCAACCTCCCCCAAAATGTCCCCCAACACCCTCGAATCAATAAAATCCTACTACAACGCCCGCGCCCCCGGTTACGACACCGAAACTAACTTCCATCCCCACCAAGCATCCGACTACCTACACTGGATCTCCCCCAAACCCGGAATGCACATCCTCGACCTCGCCTGCGGAACCGGCGCCATCACCCTCCCCTTAAAACGCGCAGTCGGTCCCACAGGCCGCGTAGTAGGCGCCGACATCTCGGATGTCTCCCTGGAGATTGCGCGCTCCAAGGCTGAGGATGAGGGATTGGACATCGAGTGGGTGGAATGTGATATAAGTACCATCTACGCTGTGCCGGGAATCGAAGAAGGGAGTTTTGATGTGGTTTCTTGTGCGGCTGCGTTGGTGCTGTTGAAGGATCCGGGGATGGCGGTGAGGGAGTGGGCGAGGTTGTTGAAGCCGGGGGGATTGTTGATTACGGGTGTTTTGACGGGGGATACTATGGTTAGGGGGATTGTGTTGGATCGGGTGGCGGAGTAGTTGGGGGTTGAGACGGTGCATTCGAGGTTTAAGTTGGATAGTAGGGAGGAGGTTATGGGTTTGTTGAGGAGTGCTGGGTTGGATGGTGGTGAGAGCTTTCTTACGGAGAGTTATGCTGAACCGAAATATTTGGATGTTGAGAAGGCGGGGGAGATGTTTGATGCTTTGTTCGAGGAGGCTCCTGTGCCGAGGACCTGGTATGCGGATTTGGTGGTTCCATCTCGAAGGGAGAAATCAAAGGAGATTTTTGAGAGGGAAATGAAAAAGTTGGCTGGGCCAGATGGAAAGCTTGTGGAATATGTTAGGTTTCACATGGCTATAGGAAGGAAAGTATGAAATGGGGACAAGTAAACACCGAAGTGAAATAGAGGAAATGGCAAAGTAAAGACAAACAAGCTCTGGAATTAATACTTCAGAGTGGGGTTGACTCTTTTTGCAGACTAATTTACAAATCTTGCAGCCCTGCAATATGCTCTGCTCCTTCCCATCTGCGTTTGGGTCGGTGGTGAACGTATTCTAATATTGGCTAGCAGCAGATTGGCATGCTTTCTACATTAAGAGACTCGAATTAGCATAATATTATAAACTAATAATTGCGCGAAACTTACCAATTGCTCCAAGTACCATCCACAGATCTGCATGTTGCCTTGGTTATCATCCAAACACTTGGTGAACTGCTTTGCGTCCGTCTCGCAGCTTCTCTGACCCCAGTTGCTCTGATCCTGCTGGTTTCCTTGAGTGGCAACGTTGTTTGCTTGTGGTTCTGCGGCAGCTGGGGCGCTTGATCCACCACCGAACATACCCCCAATTGCGTGTCCTATAGATGATCCGACGGCAACACCGCTAGTACCGAGTTAGTCTTCAAGTCTCTCGTCGCAAACTACGCTTCACTTACGCAGCTGTGCTAGCCATCTGTCCGAAAAGTCCTGGACCGGCTGATGGAGCACCGGCCGAGGGAGCGGCAGCGGCAGGTGGGTGAGGTTGTTGTGTGTTTGTTGGAGGGTATGCTGCAGTTGTCGCAGGGCGAGTCTGTTGCTTTTGGGGTGCTGGTCTTTGAGGGGCAATAGACGGGCGAGCGGGAGCTCGGCTTCCGCCTCCTGATCTTCCTTGACGAGGCATATTATCGCGAGTTTTGAGGGTGTTTGGAAGGTTTAGGTTGGAGTTTGGAGTTGAGAGTTGAGAGATGGAGGTTCGAAGGTCGCACTTGGTGGTTGGTGTGAGTGTCAAGAAGGAAGAAATTCCCCGGACTGTCGCGGTTTGGCTTCGGTCTTTAAGTGGGTCTGACAAATGCTAAGCTCTGATTGGCTTAGAGCGAGTGATTCCATGACATTCCTCAATTCTTGACATTAAGCGGGAATAGAAGGGGCCATCTCGTAAACGAGCTTTCTGATAGTTCAATTGACATAGATGTATTCATTGGTCATTGCGCCGAGTTTTGTCATTTTATCCTTGCAAACTCATTTCTGAGTACGTCTTCTCTTAAGTTAGAAATACTCTAAAGTAAAACCCTAGAAAAAGAAGAGTTTTTCTTATTATAATACTATAGTAGAGCTTAATTAAGAAAAGCTTACTATAAGTAAATATAGATATTTATATAAATAAAATAACGATTTAGATACTATAGAGTTTATTCTTAATAGTAGTAATCTATATAAATAAATTAACGATTTAGATACTATAGAGTTTATTCTTAATAGTAGTAATCTATATATACCTAATAATAATTCCGATAATACCGACCTAGTAGATAAGGATAATTCTATTCTCGAATAGTTAGGTTTTATACTTAATCCTACTCTTTCTTAAGAGTAAAACGTAAGTTATAATATAACTATTAAATAATAATAATAATTATTAGCTAAAGTTAAGTTATACTAGGTATAATATAGTATTAAAGGAGGTAAGCCTTATACTAGCGTATAAAATTAGCCTAAAAAGTTAGGCTTAAAGAACAAAGGTAAGGGTAAAGTAAAGGAGACTTATGCAGATTTATAATAAGAGTCTATATAATTAATAAATCTACCTAGGTTAAATAAATAAGGATTATTAAAGGAACTACTACTAAGTAAGAAAGTAAAGCTTTTAGAAGAAGAGTATATATTGGAAATAAGCTAAAGTATAGATAGGATTATAGAGGCTTTTAAACTAAATAAGCTAGCGTAAGATATTAATATACTAAATAGGTCCTTATATAAATAAGGCCTTATAAAAGTATAAGAGGAGTCTTTTCTAACTATATAAAGTATACTTATTATTATATAAGCTTTTTAAGTTTTAGAGTTTATTATAGAATATCTATTAATTAAGGACTAGAGTAAGGAGCTACAAAAGGAGTAAATTAAATAGATACTATTTAAGTATAAAGGGCTATATAAGATAGAATAGCTTATTATCTAACTAGTAGAAGATTATATAAAATATCTAGAATTAGATCTAGATAAAGTATAAGATACTATAGGTAGTAGAACTTTCTTTTATTATAGTTTTATATATATTTTATAATAATAATTAATTATCTTACTATAAAAGAAGCCACTTATTACTATTTTAATTAAGCGAGACCTTATATATTATAACTCTTATATACTACTTTATTACAATAATACTAATAAATAAACTTACTTTTTAATCTTAGGGATTAAACTTTAGATATCTATAAATTAAAAAGTAAAAAAATTAAGTTAATTAAACTACTTTTAGTAAAGTAACTATATTATAACTTAACGTTACCTCGTATATTACCTCTACTATTATACTTATAACTATACGATTATATTTAGTCGATATATAAGTTACCTACTACTTACCCTCCTAAGTAACTCTATCTCTTATATAGTAGTTATAATACGATCTTTTATCTTTATACTCTATATCCTTATACTTATTAAAGGCTAGCTCTATTCCTTTACTATAATTTAGTCCTATAATTATACTTAGGATATTATATAAGATATATAAGGTAGGAATAAGTCGTACCTAAGCTTTTATCTTAAAACTCCTTGGTACTCTTAATATTTTAAACTTTGTTTTTAAGAATTCGAATATACGCTTAATAACGTTCTATAGAATAGCGTAGTATAAGTTAAATAGCTCTTCTTTAGTTTTAGGGGTTTATCCGTTCTCTCTAGCTACCTTCTATTCCTTTAGATAGTACTATACCCCTTTATATAGTACTAAACATTCTAGTAAGCTAGGAAAGCTATAGTCGGTAAGAATATATTTCTTTTTAGGTATCTAAATAGCTCTTAAACAAATAGCCTATACCTATAAAGTTAAGTCTACTATACTTCTCTTCTATCTAGATAATATACATATAAATCGTATATTAAATATATAGATAGTAAGTATATTTTAAAACAGGTTACTAAGTCTATCTCGAAAGGCGTATCTCTCTTTATAAGGTAGTATAATAAGGATATAAGTTCTATCGATTTGTCACGAATCACGTGCTCACGTGATACTTGTCATAATAAGAGGCGCAACCCTCGACAGGCATACCCAGGTTTCTTATAGCAAATAGGGATCGCTTAGGGTAGCTAAGCGATCCAGGGATTTCCATTGGTTATGGTCACATGATTAAGTTGGATCGCTGGATCGCTCGGCGACCTAGCGAAACGGACCGCCAGCTCGACAGGCGAGTTGGCTACCCAGATCATAGTACTTGAGGATGAAGGTTCTATATAAGACTGGCACGTCTGCCATTAGATAGGAGCTTCGTGCTCAACTTAGTTATCAATCTTATCATATTTGTTTGACATCTTTGATACAAGTAACGAGTTCACTTCCAAGTGAACAACCCGATAGTCTTCTTCTTATCATAGCATACCAACCAGCGAACACCCAGCCAAGTTTAGTTAGCCAGTTTGAGTATTCGTTACACGATTACTCCGATATAATCTTTAAACTAAGGATAATTTCTTAAATTAAGTTTAATTTTAAAGAGTATTTAAGCTAGGTCTAATTTAGTAATAGTAGAGTTATAAATACTATTAGAAAGTAACATATATACTATTTTATAATAAGTACGCTAAACTATCTTAGTATTCCTGTGACGACACGCACAGCTGATGGACCGCGCACGAATGCACGACTACGCCTGGTGTAAGTTGGGCACTGTGGAACTGTCTATTCGAGGATTCTAAGCTGAAGAGAGAAGAGAAAGAAAGGACAGAAGCCCAGGAGCTGGAAGCTCTTATATACCGGAGGTGTGCCAAGCCATAGCTAACCGAGCCGGGCTCGGGAAGCACGGGGCACGCCGGGTGCCAGCCAGGGGCTGGTTTGAGGCATGGTGGCGGTAAGAACCGTCACAATTCCTAGGATAAGTAAGTAGATATCTAATTAGATTATAAGGATTTATTTACTTTTAAAAGCGCTTAGCGATTTTATTTAAGAATAAATTGCTTACTATAGTATATAAGAATATACTAAGCTATTCTCTTATTATTATATATCTAGTATATATAAGACTACCTTTATACTAGAGTATATACTATAGGATTTTAAAAGCCTCTTAAGTTATATAGAGATTATCTTTTATATATCGTAGGTATCCTTCGAGTAACTTCGCTATTTGTTCCTTACTATTAATCTTAGAAGTATATTATAGAGTTTCTAGATAGTTATTCTAAAAATAATTAGTAGTAGCCTAGGCTTCTATAGTAATACTATATACTATAAGTCTTATCTTTTTATCTTAAATATTACGCCTTCTTAATAAAATATACTAGTTATACTTTTAGTATAGTATATATAGTATATTAAGAGGGTTATTTATCGGGGTACTCCTTAGTAAGGCGAGTAGATCTAACTAAATTATAGTGTAGAACTAAGATATAGGATTAAAAGAATTATAAAGAGAATTATAGGAATTAAAAAGGGTTAAAGGTTTAAGGTCTTATATCTTTTATATTCCTATTTTAGTAGTATAAATCTAAAAACTTTTATATTTAGATTTATATCGGATTTATAGCTAATTTAGATAAAAACTATTATACGGGAACAAATACCCGTGTAAAAGTAGCGAATCTTACGAATCTTTTTATATAAGAATTATATATAAAAGTTTTTTATATAGTACAAAAGTTTCATGACCGTGAGCTAAACAGGCCCTTAACCCTTTAGTTTTAAGATTTATATAAATCTCTATGTAAATCTTTTCTATCCTACACGCAAAAATCGACAGATATATAACGAAACAAAAAGAACTTTTGTACTAGCTAAATAGTAGTGTATTTGTTTTGTTATAATAGTCTAATTTGTATGTAGATCAGGAAACTTTTGTATAAGTCCTTAGGGGTCCTCTAACCCGTGCAAATCTAAGACTTTTACATCTAGTATAAATCTCTAAATTAGGCGAGCCAAACAGGCTCTAAGTTATATAAGAACTAACTTATTCTAGTTTTTATTATTTCTTATTCGAAAAGGCGGTTTTCTTTAGAGCATGTTTAGCTTGCGAGTAGGAATGGTGTAAATGTTAGTGTAAATTATAAACTTTTGTACTAGTCCTAGGACCTAAGGGCTTATATAAAAGTTTTCTAATTTATACATAATTTGTACTTTTCTGACGAAACATATATACAACTGTTTAGCTTGCTACAAAAGTCTTTTATTCTAGGTGTAAATCTTTATATAGCTGTACCCTAGTATAGTATATGTATTGCCCCTATAATATCCCTCCTATAATACTACCCTTCCTACCCTATACCCCCTCTCCCTACTGTGTCCCCTTCCTTTTTACGTCTACGTGTTATGACTAGAAATTAACCGAGTTTAGCCTTCTGTTAGTATATGTAGACACTATAGGACTATAGGAGGGACACTATAGGAGGGACACTATGTAACGAATACTCAAACTGGCTAACTAAACTTGGCTGGGTGTTCGCTGGTTGGTATGCTATGATAAGAAGAAGACTATCGGGTTGTTCACTTGGAAGTGAACTCGTTACTTGTATCAAAGATGTCAAACTAATATGATAAGATTGATAACTAAGTTGAGCACGAAGCTCCTATCTAATGGCAGACGTGCCAGTCTTATATAGACCCTTCACTTTCCTGTACTTTGCCAGGACCGCTGGTCGGTCCAGTCGATCCAACTAGTCACGTGATAAGATACGAAGGAAATCCCTGGATCGCTTAGCTAGTCTAAGCATCCCTATTTGCTATAAGAAACCTGCATGTGCCTGTCGAGGGTTGCGCCTCTTTATTATGACAAGTATCACGTGAGCACGTGATTCGTGACACACTATAGGGGAATAGAAAGAACTACACGGAGATTTACAGGAATTAAAAAGATCTTAAAGGGTTAAGGCCTCAGTTCTTTTATATTCTTATTTTAGTAGTACAAATCTAAAAACTTTTATAACTAGATTTACACCGGATTTGTAACGATTTTAATCTAAAATAATATTTCCTAGCTAAACACTCGTATAAAACTCGCGAATCTCGCGAATCTATTTATAAAAGAATTGTATATAAAAGTTATTTGTATAGTACAAAAGTATTTGCCTCGTGAGCCAAACATGCTCTTAGTAAAATTAGTAATGTTACAAGAAAAAGAGTGGGAAGTATGGAAGTGTAACGATACTACGTGCCTAGTGGTGGTGTTACGATATAAGGAGAGATCTCGGTTGGTACTAGTACTAGTATATTTAAAATACATGGAAGGCGTTATAGTTGTTTTATTTTAGATACTGAGAGGCTTGTAAGATGATTGATAGGTAGATAGGTAGATAGATAGTTAGATAGATAGGTAGCTTTTAATGTTTTATAGATTATTTGTTTTATATTGTATTGTGTCCTTGGTTTCTGATAGGTGTGATTTAGTGATGAGAATAAGTAGGTTGTTACATAAGTAAATAGTTTGAATATGGGATTCTTTTTGGTGATGTTATAATTTATAAAGCGAAAATTGGTTCATAGCGCCTTTAAGAGGGTTTTTGCAGAGAACGCTTTGAGTTCTGTTTATATGAGTATGTGTTAAGCTTAATTACTGGGAGTTTTTGATGGGGTGTTTTTGTTGTTTGATTGGTTAGTAGGTAGGGGTATAAGAAATAGTGTCCTTTGTTAAGTAACTTATAGGTAGTTATGTTTAGTAGAAAGGAATCCTGAGAGGATTGGGGGTGGCTTAATTCTGATGGCTATGTAAGTCTTGTGAATTGAGGGAACGGTGTTGTAGCTAGTATGTCTCATTGAACTACATATGTGTTGAGCGCGAGGGAGAGGGCTAGAGCGCCTAGGTGAGGTTCGAAATCAAGTCGTCAGGGATTCAGCGAAAGAGCCAATGAGCCACCTGTATATTATATCGCCTATAGTTGTCGACTTCTTAATCCAAGATGGAGGATCCCTTATTCTTGATCTCGAGACTCGGGTAGCGACGCTTAGGCTAAACACCTGTAGTATAATAGCAATGACACTAAAGGAAGTTGTTCCTTTATTTTCGGCCTTAACTACTATAGGTTCTTGACTGAGACACAATCTACCTTAACCTCGATATATACCAAGGAGGGAAGGAACACTTCTCTATCACGATGTCTTTCAGAGTATAAACCCCCCCTCGCCCTCGCCCTTGCCTTCCTCAAATTTACACTTTTAACTTTTGGTGGACGGGAACGAAACTGCCTCGCGCACTCGATTTAAACACCACCCTTTCAGATCTCATGGAAACGATTCAGGTGGCCACCTCGCTTGAACCATTCTTGACTTACCTACCTATAGATAAATCGTCAATCTATCTAAATAACCATACAACCAACTCTCTACCTGCCTATTATACTTAAAAGTGTGGGGGGTCCCTTCACTGTCCAAAACTCCCTATATTTCCTTTACCTTTACGTACATCGTCGTCTCACCGCTTCATGTTGCGATTGAACGGAGAGTAAAAAGTAAGAGAAAAGAAGCTATTTACAAGTATGTCTCCCCCTTTTATCTAACCCAGAAAAGGAAAAGGAAAATCCTAATAGTAGAACCTGGCTAACCCCAACTATTCTGTTTTTATCTCAAGGAATACGCCACCATATATTGCTTCTTCTTCAGTCTGTCTCATCCTACTAATCATGTAGTAGAACGAGAGTGAGGTAAGATTATCCCACGATTTCCAGGTTCTTCCACGGTCTCCGCTTGGGGCTGAGGAAGCGAATCTCGAATCTCGGACCTATACCTACCTACCTAGGTAGGTAACCACTCAAATCACAAGCCGTCTGAAGCGATGAACCCAGACTTCCGCTGCGTGGTTTTCACGGCGAGGAAGAAAAGTGAGGGGGTTTATATTGCTCAAGTTGGTTGAAAAGTATTTGAGTATTACAAAAGTTCTAGAATATTAGTTTTGTCATCTGAGGGTCTTTAGTTAATTATTTTTATTCGTCTAGATGAATAAAACAATAGCATATCTTGACTTAAGTTAGGCTATTATGCAAGGGTTCTCTAACACTTTCATATCCACCAGGAGGTGGTTATACAGGCAGGTAGAACGAAGAGAACAATCAATATTGATTCCGGAAAATGGTAGGTCAATCCTCAAAGCAGCCACCCAAAGTTTTGCGCATCCGCGAGGATGAAATCTAGAGACTAGAACCAAACCACCGCCCAACCACACCAAGCCAAAAGAAGACTAATCACCACCCATCCAACCAACCCTCTACACATCCAAAATGAATATCATGCATGTGTCTTTCCAATCGTGATTCCGAGTAATGCAATCCAATCCCTACCCAAATTCCAATGATGCCCTTCCCATTCCGTGCCTCAGAAGAGGTTCCGTCAAGCTGTCTAAGTCATTCCAACCAAGAAAATGGATATCGTAGCCATATGACAGGCCTAGGAAGGAATATCCATGATTTTCCCAGGGTTCATAATCCAGTTCGGATCAAGAGCCTGTTTGATGGATTTCATAACACCAAGAGTATCAGGACCAACCTCCAACAAGAGAGCTTCCTTCTTACCGATACCGATGCCGTGTTCTCCCTATCCACAAAGTTAGACTAGATCAACGATCTCATGATGTAAGAGAGGAAAAAGACATACAGTGCAGGTTCCTTCCATCTCCAAAGCTCGCGCCACCATATTCTTCACACACTTCTCCACTTTCTCTCTTTCCCCTTCGATTCGGCGATCATAAAGGATACTCTCGTGGAAATTCCCGTCTCCGATGTGACCCAAGATACTGGCAAATAATCCTAGATCATCCATTTCTTTCTTGCTGATTTCAATGATATCCGCAAGTCGGGAAAATGGAACGGCAACATCGGTACTCCAGACCTCATTGCCCTCTTTCCTCATCGCTAGCATGGACCACAGACTTTCTTTTCGGGCACTCCATAATAGCTTCTGCTCACGAGCATCCTTTGCAAACTCGAAGTCGCCCCCTCGATGTGCTTTAGCGATGGCTCCGACCATTTGGATGTTTTCTTTGACTGAGACTTTGGTCCCGCTGAATTTGAAGAAGAGGGTCGGCAGTTCTTTCCATTTTCTTGGTGCTGTGGAGCCGGAGAGGTTTACGACCCTCATCTGTACTTCATCCATGATCTCCATTGCAGCTACTTGAACACCTGCGCGCATGACTCCTGCTGCTGCGCTGGCTGCATCTCGGATAGATGGGAAAGTGACAACGGCGACGGAGAATTCCTGTGGCACGACTGCTAGTTTGAGTGTGATTTCAGTGACCAAGCCTGGTATTAGAGTTAGTTTACTTCATGTTTATAGCAAACATGAGAAGGCAGCTTACCAAGTGTGCCTTCAGACCCAACAAACAAACTGTTTAGATTGTAACCTGCTGAGGTCTTCCTAGGTCTTCGTTTGGTTTTGATGATAGTTCCATCAGCAAGAACAACCGTCAGGTTGATAACCCAATCTTTCATAGTGCCATATCGAACTGCATTTGTCCCCGAGCAATTCGTGCCTACCATTCCCCCTATCTTAGCACTTGGTCCAGGATCAACCGGGAAGAACAACCCCGACTGTCGTCTCGCAAGCTCTTCATTCAGATCCATCCAAGAAACAGAAGGTTGGACGACAATATCCATATCCGATTCGTTGAACTGAATTATTTGGTCCATGAACGCGAAATCTACTGAGATTCCTCCGCATGGAGCCGAGAAATTGCCTTCAAGACTTGTTCCGCCTGAGAAGGGGATGATTGGGACCCGGTATTTGCAACATATCTTTGCCATTGCGGAGACTTCCGTGGTGTTCTTTGGGTAGGCTACAGCCACGGGGAGACCTTCGATATTGGCAGATGACCACTCTGAATAACCGTGAGCTTTCAGGTCTTCTGGGTCTGTAGAGATGGTGTCTTCATCGCCTGTAGCAAGACGAATCTCCTTGATGGCCTAAGCGGATTGATCAGTCATAATACTTTTAGCGATGAATAAAGGATTCAGACGAATTAGGAAGCGACAAAACTTCTTGCAAACAAAACTGATTTTGCAGGAGTAAGCAAGCCAATTCACTTGCCCTTGCTCAGGCAATATTTTGTTATTCCAGCTACCGGTGGACTAGATAAGTGGTAGTATTGGCGCTAGTCTTTTGTGTGCACCACACTAAAATCCCCACGCCAAGATTGATATTTATCTTGTCTACCGGGAGTCCAGTAATATGGAATACTTCCAAGGTTGTTTGGATATCAGACCATTTGGTCGGGGGTGGGGGTATTGCAGATATCAATGTCATCTATCATCTTTCCAATGACAAAATATCTGATATCTCCGGTAGGTATGGTGCAATGTCCACCACATGAAAATCAACAACTTACATCTTCCATATCCTTCAGACTCGCATAGGAAGGCTGCACAAATTTCGTCTTGTTTGAGTACTCTCTTTCCTTGACTTTTCTTTGCTCGTTCTGGAATGCAGCCAATCCCCACCCCAAAAATCCCGTCATCGCCAGTAAACTCAAAACTTTGGGGGTCGTCCATGATCCTGTGTGTTGTTTATGCTCTCCCATTGGACGCCTTGGAGGGACGGGTTCTCCGGCGCCTCTTCTCAGCACAGTTTCTGAACTTGTACTGGCCCATCGAATGCCGCTGCGATTCGAGGAAATCCACTCGGTCAGCGTCGTATTGGCGTTCCAAATAGGAAATCTTCTGGAAGCGAGCCCCCTCATCGGAGCCCACCTGGCCGATGCGGCCGATTTCATGCAGGTCGACATAACCAAAATCCGGACCCAGTAGCACCACTCAATCGTAGAGCACTACTTGTGCAATCAACCACCGATTGATTCTGTCATCCGCGTGTAACCGGGCGAGAATGTTTTTTGAGGAAGGACTCCTTTAAATGATTCCCCAGCAGGTGTCTTCTCCTCGCAGTTTAGAAAGGAAGTTGCTAGTACCTGAAACCAAGATTAATAAGTAGCGCCGAGGAGGGAAGCTGAGGTAGCAGGGGAGAGGGGTCCTAACCAGAAGTGGGAGGGAAAAGTAGTTATTCACCTAGGGATAGCTTCTCCGTAGCGGCCGGCTCCTTTTCCAGTCTTCCGCCTTCACCTTAGGCCAGTTTACGAAGTAGTCTAACTTCGTTCTGTTGTTGGCGTCCCGCTTGTTGACAGTGCGTTCATGACTTCCTCTTTCAGTATTCGTGAAGATGACTTGGAGATATGGTCTGATATCCAGAAGTAAAAATGTGAGTAGGGGTACAGTCTCTTTTTATATCTTTCTCCTGCTGTCGGACTTGTACCAGGTGGACCCGGGAAGAAATCCATCTTAAACTTTTTCTCGATCGTGGCGCCCCCCATTCGCAGTTGACTTGTCAACTCACTTCAAAAATCGCTTCCGCGAGGCCAATACTTCTCGCCGTCATTCGTTCTTGTGGCGTTTCAAGCAAATGTAGGCAGATCCGAAGAGAGCAATGAGAGCGCTCGCCTGCTCTCCCACGCAAATATCCCAACAATGACCCGGTGAGCACACACTCATCCAAATCCTGACTTATTGATAATTGCTTGCTTACTTTTATGTATGTGATGCTTCTTCTGCTTGTCTCGTGCTCGGGGTCGCCATTCTAATCATCCCACGTTTTCCCTTCGTATCTTTTTTGCCTTTCCCCTTCTCGCTTCGTCGCTTGTTCTCTTGTTGGGGAAGTCTGATCCATGATTCCCCTCTGCCACTTCAAGCCACGAGCTCTTCCTATTCGCACAGGGCAAAAGTTACAACATCATTGTACTCCGTAAGGTGTGCACACCAAGGGGAAATCAAAAGACGCCGTGTTACCCCACGCCACCGTTGTCACCAACCATCGTTATGGCCGCATGTCCCCCATGCAGGCCCTTGAGAGCCCTTCCAGCCTCTCCCCTCAATGATTGCCGATTCCTGGGTAAGGATCTAGCATCACTGCAGAGAGGATGGTAATACTAAACTCTCACGTATCTCGCACATGAATGATCAAAACTGATCTCTCAAATTCCTCTCACCGGTCTTTCCCAACCCTTCATCATTGCATGCAACGGTCCCAGAACGACCAGAATCATCTAGTCCAAACCGTCGATATAACAGATATACTCACTTCCAATTAATAACCAACTTCTCCTCACGTCCAAGCGTGCACGAGGTCTCTTTCCCCACACGGCGGTTCCCCGTACCCATTATTCAATTTTATTCCGCTATCCGTTGCTCTTACCTCACAGAAATACATTGACCCCAAGTGCCTTACCGTACCGTACCAGAAAACTGAAATCCTGGTCAATGGGATGATGGGGATCGACACCACTTCTAATACCACTGCCATCATTGGAACGACAAAATTGCTGATTTTCAGGGCATGTACGAGTGCAGGCCGCTGCCTACCAAGGAAAATTAGCCTCGTGATAGTCAGAGGGCCCAAAAAAGTACTGAAGGCTTGCCTACTGCATTAGCCTCATGTTGGAGCAATTAGCCAGCCTTTCACATCCAATCTCATCAGACATGGGTCCCAATGGGGTCACTTCTGATCTAAGCTGTAGGGAATATTAATACTGTCCTTCTGGTGGTCTCTTGTATGTGTGGCCACTCTGGTAAATACCCAGTTTTGGAACATCGTCCTCTCGACATTGGTAAATGTCAAAACGCACTGAAAATGGGACAAGTATGCTTTTACATTTGATAGGATTGGTTCACTATGCCGCTATCTGCATCATTTTTGCGCAAAACCGTGCACAGATCAAAACCCGATACGCCATATCATAACCTTTCTTGACCTTAAACAGAAATGCACATTTAGCTGGCGATAGCCTGAGCACGTCTGCGATCTCTCTCCTCAGCAATGGTGAGCTTAACACCCTTGCCCTTTGGTAGAGAAACCCATGGCTTTTCTGAACCAATAACGAAAACGTTGCCTTCACGGGTGGCGAATGAGTTATCTATGGCATCCTTGATGTGGACAATGTTGAAACCTCCATCGTGACGTTCACGGTGAGTGATAACACCAACACGACCCATGTTACGACCACCAGTAACCATGGCAATCATACCAGTGTCGAACTTGATGGAGTCGGTGATCTTTCCGGTAGCGAGATCAATCTTAACGGTGTCGTTGACCTTGATGGCTGGGTCAGGGTAACGGATACTAGATAGAAGAAAACTGTCAGCATTCCTAGAGGGTTTGTATAGCAACCGTTGATCTAGCTCCAATCGTTCGACATGATATCGAGTGTAAATCGACCAAAGCTTGGACCAACGGCTGAATGATGTCTGACAGAACTTACGTTCTAGCATCGTGCGTGACCAAGAATGGGATTCCGCCCTTGCCCAATTGCACTCTCTTGACTTTGCCCAACTTGTATTCGGCCTCCTCGGCTTGGATTCGGTGGACGGTGAATCGACCCTTGGTATCGTAGACGAGACGGAAGTGTTCGCCGGTCTTTTCGATGCTGATGACATCCATGAAGCCTGCTGGGTAGGTGGCATCGGTACGGACCTTGCCATCAACCTTGATCAAGCGTTGCATGACAATGGCCTTGGTCTCGCGAGCGTTGAGAGCATACTTTAGGCGATTTCGGATGAAGACGATTAATGGCATGCAGTCGCGGAGCTTGTGAGGACCTGGAGATGGACGAGGAGCATAGGCACCGGACAATTTGTCCAAGAGCCAATGCGATGGCGCGCTGAGGCGCTTTTGGTGCTTCTTTCTGTGAGAGAAAATTTGATTAGCAAGTGCTCATGGCTGTCATAATGGAAGAGTCGCGGAGAGGTCATTTGGGGCGTGTGGTAGCTATGTTCTCGTCGCGGTACGCCCCTCAATCAATTTTGCATTAATTTGTGCGGTTGGAAGAGGGCGCATTCGTCCGCGGCGAGATGTCGAATCCAGAGAACCAAAGAAAGATACTTACGGTCCTCTACCCATGATTACGTCTCGAATGTCGTGGGATACAAAAAGTTGGGGTGTCGTTGGTGGTTGTCGATTGAAGTTTGAGAAAAAGATCGCGATATAGTTTCTTGACAAATTGATTGTGCGAGTGGCACGTGCGCCGCTAAGCGGGGGCTCGCCAAGGATAGTAAAGCGGCATCTGTCTCGCCTAACCAAGGAGCCCAGAAAGTGAAGTATGGAAATTGTTTTTTATATCAAGGAAATGACAAGTTGGATTTATTCTTCCTAGTATTTGATAAATGCATTATGTTGTATAAAAGTGTAACCTTCTATATTTACTGACGTTTTCGATATCCATATGGCGGGAAATCAAACATCCGATTTTCAGATGGTCATATGTGGGTACGCAGCAGGTAGACGAAAACTGCGAGACTTCTGCTATGACTTGAATATGCTATTTGTGGTTTACTCATAAATTGCTTGAGAGTCCTGGAGAAACTGGCTCTTTACAGGCAGATCTTTGACTCCTCCTATGATGTTGAAGACACAATAAAAGGGGTAGACAGCTCGGAGTCGCACCCTCCAAGTCAATAGTATTTCCCAGCCCCGACTTTTAGCGAAACAAGGGAACCAGAGACTCGGATGTAGATGTTGTAGACTTTTCTCATAGATTGCGTAGCCTTAACCGACCACCCCCTTTATTACAATATACTTGGCATACTTCCTCAACCGACCCCCCACAACTGGAGAAGGCAGGATTTCTAATGGAAGTTTGTCATTCACTGTGTCTAAAGCGACGAAGAAAAAATAGCCGTTGTTAGACATCATCAAATCAAGTTTCATGACAGAAGCCTTTGGATAACAAAGGGCCAGAAGTGACACTTCGGGGTTTCGGTTCTATAACTTCTCGAGCAATGCTTCTGATGAAGACCAACGACTAGATCTGTAGACAGACTGTATTTCAGATATCATCTATGAAAAATGCCTTTGCTTTATCTCCCTCCTGAACTCAGCTACAATGCAATTTCATACAATGCTCCATTTTTCTAAAACACATCAGAAGACTTGAAGAGACATGATAAACTCACATATCACACATGGGGTAACACCACATTTCTACCGGCACCGATAATTAATGGTTTCCCGGACGAGAATGCGGCCATCGCCATCTTTGTCTGTACGGAGATCAGATGATGAGCGCGACCAAATCCCTTAGCAAGGACAAAGTTTTCACAATTGCTCAGCAAGGGAGATAAATATATTGAAAAGTTGCACTCAACAATACAGAAAATCACCGTTAAATGCTCTAGACGGATTTGCACTGACAAAATACAAACCAGAAAGCCATGAAGAAGCCCTCCAATCCACCATTCTCACCGACTTGCCACTACTCGCCATACATGAATTCTTAACCTCACAAAACAAGCCCAACATCTCAATTAATGTCAATCAAAGCCGGTCCAAAAACGGTCGATCCTGAAACGACTCTGGGGTCGGTAGTAGTTGTATTAGTAGAAACCAAAACAGCGATGGTCAGCCCATTTCCGAAAGTCCCTGACTTATAATCAAAAAGAGCGCTGAAAGTCACCGTTGTCCCCTCAACCTCGACACCTTGGATTTCTCCTTCGACGGGCGTATTTTGCTGGTTGATGAAACCCAGTTTCAATTCCGACAGGTTATCTGCTTGGGAACCGTAATCTGAGAGGGTACTACCTGCTGGAATCTTGAAGCTGAAATTGATATCAGTAGGCTTCAGAGACTGTTGCAGTTCTTTGTAGTCAACTGTGAGTTTTGGGAAGCTTGTGTAAGGTATAGAGTTGATGTCTGAACTGGTGCAAGAACTGGGGACGATGAAGTTTTGGTTGAGAGCTGACCATGCCCATTCTCTAGTTGCGGTGGTCAAGAATGGAAGCTCACTAGGGACCTTATCATTGTAAAAACGGAAGTATCCATTTTGTTCGCCTTCTTGGCCGATCACCGAGGCGACTGGACGGATGAGCGCTACATCGTTTGCAGCAAGGTTCTCCTCAACCTCTTGAAGTGTTCCGAGAACGAGGTCGGTAAACTTCGAAGCAAGAGCGATGGCATCGTTGAGGTTTTCGGCGGGGAATTTGTACTTACAAGGGTGAATTCTACCTACCCCCTGGTTCTCAAGGAGGGTGTTGGCGTTGATGGCATGGAGCTCCTCTTGAGCCAGAATTGCTTTGAGGTTGGCAAGGAGTTTAGCTTTCTGACCTTGATCCTCAACTTTGAATCCTTCAGCGCCACGTTGGATCTTATTGATGAGTGCTGAAGTAGAAGACCTCAAAGATCTCCTGGAAAGCGATTAATCTCAAAGAATTCACTGTATCCTGTGTGAGGCTCCCTGGGGGTGGCAGGGGTCCATCTGGAAGACTTCCGTGGGCCTGACTTTCGATTTTCGCAAGTGCTTCGGGTGTCCTTTGGAGGAGACCAGTGGGGAAGGCGGGATCAATTGGATCGTGTGGGTGAGGTGAGTTGTGTCGAGGAGGATGTCCAGGATGGTTTTGCCAATCATCTTCTCCGTCATCTCCTCCATGACCCCCTCCATGATGACCTCCTCCATGACCTCCTTCGTGGCCTCCACGGTTCCCACCTCCGTGGTTTCCTCGCCGTCCACCTCCGTGATTTCCTCCCTGTCCACCTCCGTGTTGTCCACCGGGACTTCCTCTTTTGTATAAGTATGCTCATTATCCCAATCAGGACTGTTTCCAACAACATCTTTATCTCCTTGGTGGCGGTCTGAGGAGTACATGTACTGGTTGAACACAGGGGCGGGAGCTGCCGAAACAATTATTGAGAGGCATGACAGCCACGCAAGCGAGGCTACAACTAATTTAACCAAGGCGAATTCTGATTGACCGAAACCCTGAGTTATTGATGATTTTGGGGCACTTTTGCAATGTGCAGAGCAAGTAGGCTGAAAAAGGAATGTGGTTCGTACTACTCCAAGAAAACGAAGTAAGATACGGGATTGAAAAAGCAGAAAATAAAGAGCGTAAGAGTTGGATTGCCGATGATCAAGAGAGTTGTTTTTGTGGGCCAGTAGGCTTTTGGATCAAGCGTCTACCTACAACCTGACATTGGGGTTTGAGACAAACAAATTAGCAGAAGCATTCTTGAAGTTAACAAGGAATTTTAGGTCCAAGTGAGTAACTGCGAGTTTGCCACATTCGGAAATGAAGCATTCCTGAAAGATAACAATTGATCTCGCTTAGGCCAATCAGGCGTGTGTACCTTTGGATACTCTTGTTTGTTTATGAATTTCTGAATCCAAATGAAAGTGAACTTCTCAGAATCCTCAGAGCAAATCACTGGCAAGCCATCCGCCAAATCAAATTGTTCAACAAAGTACGGTCTCCCACTCTTCAATGGATACATTCAGTCCATAATCAACCATGCAAATTCAGATGTGAGACCAAGATTTTCCATGCCTATGTCTAGAACCCAAATGGGAATTCCCGTGGATATAAGACATCGCCTACATAAGACATGTGGCGGGCCATCCCTTCCGCGATCAGATGCCAAAGTGATCTGAAGTTTTCGGGGACTACAGCGTAACTCGCAAAAATTGTAGATATACATCAAAATCACCATATCCCTCCCCAGTCCTTGCCCTTTAGCGAGAAATTTTCATGTTTAGCGAGCCCCTAATATAACTACCTCTCTTTATATAGGAGTGTAGAAAGAACACACGGTCGGAATTTCAGCTCAAACTTAGTAATATACTCGAGGATACCATCAAGAGAACCTTAAGTTTATAGAAGTTTCCCAAGACTTGTCCCCTAGAAAGTTTCGGGGCTTCTTTGACAAGGATTTAGCACCACAAAATTCTGTCCACTCGAAATTTTAAGCAAAGTTGTGCACGTTCTTGATAGACTTGAAAAATCCTCCGAACTGTCTAAGAGGTCAAGGGGTTATAAGAAGCCGTTTTGGGCTTCGTGGAACAAGGACCACGGAGGAGTTACCGTAATAATTGACGTCGCCAGTTCGACAATACAAGTACTTCTAAACGATCACCAGTCATCAAACACTCGGATGACGCGAGCCCCAGGATACCCAACATCTGCAGCTCGTCATGAATCTGACGTTGAGTACCCTGACTTCCACTCATAAAACACATAATCCTCATAATAAGAGAGATTTTCCCATGTCCTCGCATTTCATATACAAAAACCCACAGGATCCAACAACCACCCCCTAACTTGCTAGAAGAGTGGGTGGTGCGGGTTCTTTGCTGTTAAGCTGAAATATGTTTTGTTGTTCGCAGCTGATGGGATAGTGATAATTCTATAGGGGATTTTGGTAGTGGAAATGAGAATGTAAGTGAAATTAAGCGAGGGGGATGTATCATGGATGCTGCGATCCAATGGGAAGGGACCACTCGGTCAACCAATCCAACCTTAATACACTGCTGAAAATCAGTTCAAGACTCGGCCACTTTACTTCGCTATACCAATCAATTGGAGTACAAAACAATGAGACATGTCGGTATGAACATGCAACATGCACGTGAATTTACCCTCTCCCGCTTCGTCAGAAAGGCCATGAAATATAAATAAGTTGAAGAGGAAGAAATTGGATAGCATGCCACTTGGCAACGATCTCCCTAACCCTAATCTCTTTCCACTCACCTAACTCACTCAAAAAGTCCCTCACAAGCACAACACCATCTTATTTCAATAAAACTTTTCGTTTTCCCTATTTCCCCATTTCCCCAAATCCCAACCTCTATCCAACCTATCTATGCCTTCTTCTCTGCCGTCTCCTTCTTCTTAATAGCAGGTAACGCAAACGCCTTACTCACACCACCCTTCAATTTTTTCCACCCCAAAAACTCTATTTGCGGCGTCCAAGTCAAAACCCCCACCCAAGGTTGAACATTGTAATGAACCTTTAATACCACGTCGTTGGTTTCGGCGAGTTTGCCTGTGGGAGCGGTGATTTGGTATTTAGGTTTTTGGTTTTTGAGGGCGAGGATGCCTCTGTTTATATATTAGCATGTACACCGTTCATCATGCCCAATTTGGCCAGGTCCAAGTTCAACCACATCGATCTTCTCAACTCTTCCAATCCAATTGCCTCTCAATAAGCAAAAGTATATGCCATGACATAAACATAGAAGAAAAAAAACATACCGTTTAGGATCAATACTCTTCCCCTTCGCACTCTTAACCAACTTCTTCATCGCCGCAGGTCCAATATTCATCAAATGATCCGCCGAAGGATTCGTAATAATACTATCCCAAATCACCGCCTCATTACTCAACTCCCCATCCGTACTCGTAGCATTCGGCCACGACGCCGAAACCCAAACGAACACCTGCTTCGTATTCCACGTGAACAGCGACGAGAGATCCGCCGACATGGTGAACCGAATCACAGCGTATTCCTCCTTTTTCGTCGAGTAGTAATGGGGTCTTCCTTTGACACTGGAGAGTCGCTGTGGTTAGCAGATGGGCGGGACTTGGATTGGGATTGGGAAGGCATGGTATGGGAGGAAGTACACTTGAACACTATTAGCAGTAACCTCAGCCTTCGGCGCACGAGGAACAGTAAGATCCGAAGCTGCGATCAGAGCCGCGACAACGAAGGCAACGGTTGTGAAGAAGCCGAAGACATTTTGGGCGCGGACGATGGTGGAATGCATTGTTGCGATTTTCCCTTTTTTGGGAGACTGAATATGTAGACGATACTGCTATAGCATACGTTGCAAATCCTCTCTTTCTGTTATATGGGAGTTGTGTTTAAGGAGGGGGAAAATAGTTGTCGTCCTGAACTTGAAGCTCTTGGTTGAATACTGTATTCTGTCCCTAACCTTACTAGACGAGGCTGTACCTGTAGCCACGTCTCGGCTTGGAGGTTCAGCCTCTCAAGTGTGGCTGAACTGGACCGATAATATACCGAGAAACTACTGTTTTCAATGACCAATGAGCCCACACGTACCAAAAATGATATATTTTATATCTACAACGTTAATGTATATAGGTACATGTTTTCTAAACTGGTGTTTCTTTATTAGTATCTACTTAGGTAATCACCTACAATCTTGTGTGCTATTTAGTTACGCTACTCCAAATCCATACAACAACTTCTCTCACTATAAGTTGTGAAGAACGGAAAAATGAATTGCAGGATATTAAACAAACCTGAACAATGAACCAAATCCGACTCAGTCTAGAAATTAGAAATAAGGATTAGACTTCAATGTGTACAACCCTTCATTCACTAGGTACTAGAGTAGAGCTTTAGAGTACTGAGTGGGTAAACCTCGGCACGACAAGGCTTGAGACCCTGACGGTTTAGGTAAGGCGCAGGTTTTCAGCATCCAGCCTTCTTTCAAGTCCATACCAGTCTGCGATCAGATCAACAACTTCAACATCCCGGTGCGCCCTCCAACACACTCCCTTAATCTAGACATCCACGCAAGCAACCTCCCGAGACCACATCCCACAGTCTACAGAGACCTCTTTGCACTCGCCAACGTCCTCCAAAATTCCATCCCCCATATCGGCGCATTCTACCAGCAAATAAATCGCCTTCACCATGGATTACGACCCAATGGCAATGGACACGGAGGCCGAGGGGCCCTCCGTAAAGATCTCAGATGTAAGTATCATATGAGCAAAATCCCACATCTGGGCAGCTCAACTCACACGCACCATAACAGGCCAGCGCGCACCACGTCAACTTCGAGCTCTCCAGCGTAGACCTCGCCTTCGCCAACACGATCCGTCGCGTCATCATGGCCGAAGTGCCAACCATGGCCATCGATCTGGTCGAGGTGGAAGCCAACACGTCCGTCCTGGCCGACGAATTCATCTCGCATCGCCTCGGGCTGATCCCGCTGAACTCGAAGAACGTGGATGATGTCGCCTACTCGAGAGATTGCGATCAGTGCGATAATTACTGTGAGCAGTGTAGTGTGACGTTGACGCTTCATGCGCGGTGTACGGGGGATGAGATCATGAAGGTTTATGCAAGGGATCTGGTGGTGGATTCGCAGAGACCGAATAATTGGGTGGGCAACCCGGTGATTACGGATCCGGATGGGTTGGGGACGGTGATTGCGAAGTTGAGAAAGGGTCAGGAGTTGAGATTGAAATGTATTGCGAAAAAGGGCATTGCAAAGGAGCATGCGAAGTGGGCGCCTGTATCGGCGGTGGGCTTCGAGTATGACCCTCATAACAAGTTAAAGCATATCGACCTTTGGTTTGAGAAGGATGCGGCAGAGGAATGGTAGGTTCTAGTACTCTGCTAGTACACATTGGTTTTGCTAACACTATGCCAGGCCACCAAGTAAATACGCCTCCTGGGAGGACCCCCCACAAGAAGGCGAAGCATTCGACTACGACGCAGTCCCCGAGAAATTCTACTTCGAAGTCGAGAGCGTCGGAAACCTCGACCCGGACGCCATCATTCAACAAGGAATCAAGGTCGTGCAAGAGAAGCTCGCAGCAGTCATCAAGGACTTGACAGATGGTGGAAGTGGCGGAGCAGCCGCCGACTTCGACGGCCCACGAAGTCCGGATATGAACATGAACGGTGGAGCTGCTGCCTCGGGCTGGGACCAGGGATATACCACGCCCTTTGGGACTGCAGCGGCGGGAGGTAGCAGTGGATGGGGACAGACGGGTGCTGCGACTCCGTATGGAGCTACGCCGTATGGACAGAATGGGTCTAATGGCTGGAATTAAGATGGGGGAACGTTGAGAATGGAGATATTATATTGGCCGATATTTGACGAGGCAGGAGGAGAAAAGGGAGTGGAGTGGTTCCGATATTCAAGGATGAAGCAAAAAAATACTTGATAAGAAGTACACCCTCCCTTCCTCAGCAACAACTAAATGCCCAAAGAAAAAAAAGAGTAATCTGCATGTAATTGTACCCGCATAATGGACGAGGGAGAGGGGGGTTCAACTAACTAACTCATGACATGCATGGCGTTGGTGGACGTACGAAAAAGCTCTTTTTTGGTGTGTGTCATGGGAAATTGACAGGCTACAGTATGTAGAGGATGTGCATTCATGAGTACGTAGGTATAGACAGAGAGCCGAAATGAAAAAATGAAAATTCATTTATTACCTAATACTCTAGAATAGTCTTCTCTAAAACTCTTTATTCAGGGAATGTAAAGTTGGAGCTGTGGTGTGAACTTGAAGTGGAGATGATGCGATATTTCCATCTTTCTATATCTAAATACTAACTGACTTGTAAATGAAATATACAATCTATAATCTATGTACTGTACTGCGCTGTATGTACCACACCACGGTCCATCTACCTAGGCACAGTTTCTCCCTAAACGCCTCTTACTCTCTCTCTCCCTCTCCCTCTCCATCTCTCTCTCTCATCTTTCTAATGAAATCCATTCATCGAACCATGCCCAAAAACTCCAATGATACCAAACCAAACGTGTATCTATATACTATGCCATGAAATGGAGGAAAGCTCAGCTCTGTTCCGTCCGTTCTTTCTTGCTTCGTCACGTACTGTTTGTTGTTCTGTCTATTCCTGTACCCTTCCAGCCTTTTGCAAATTGCAAATTGCAAATCAGGAAGGCGCGTAGGTGTATGAGCACTCCGTGTAGATAGATACCAATTTTTCGTCATAACCCAACCCAACATTGCAAGCGAACTAGATAGGCAAACAGGTAGGTAGGTGATTAACTCAATCCAATTCACCTTACCCACCCACTGAATCCCGCTCTGCTAGCCAAGTCCTCGAAGTCGCCTTCCCCAAATTCTATTTCTTCAGGACTTTTCAAAAAACAATCTCACCAACACCCACACCGTCTCTTCTCTCCATTTTACGGCGTCGGAAGCGCATTATCCATACCCTTGAGCTTCCTATACATCTTCTTATGCTGTTCCAGAAAGAGGAACGTGGCAATGGTATGAGGACCCAAGCGAATAAAACTCGGGACCCAACCGCGGAACATCCACCCCACGCCTTCGACTCGGTAAACATCTACGAGTAACTTGCGCAACCCTTGGCTTTCGTGGCTACTCATGATACGGGTCTTGATGACATCAACGGGTGAACAGACCGTCGTCGCCACGAAGCCCGCGAGGAACGAGGCAGAGAAGTGAGTGGTGAGGTTATCGGTCAATGGTGTATGAGTGATGAGCACCCGTTTAAAGCCATCATACGATGCCAATTGCGAAGCGGTCATCAGAACCGCACGCATGGAATTCGGCCACACGCCCCGGAACAGGGATTTCCACCCTTCCTCCCGGGTTATGCGTATCAGACCATCGACGGCGTTTTTGTAGTTCCTTCGCTGGGAGGGTGGTAGCGCGGCATCGTGTTGCATTCGCACATTCAGCACGTCGGCTGGATTTCCGGCTACGCCACCTAGGAAGCCGGATGTGCTTGCCATGGCGATGAGGGCTGGGAAGGTGGGCGAGGATTTGGTGCTTGTGAAGTCGGCTTTGAGCTCTTCGTAGACGCCGAAGCGGGTGGTGGAGTAGGTGAGTTGGCGTAGGACGGAGGCTGAGAGACCGGAGTAGAGGCCTAGAAATCCATCGTGCTTGAAGACGTGGATGATGGTTCCTATCATTGTTCTTGGGGCGTCGGGTTGGCGCGTTTGTAGACGGACCTGGCGGGTTGTGTAAGTAATTGGGAATCAAATCTAGAGTTTTGTAAGATTGCAAGAGCTTACTTTTACTATCGAAATTGTTAGAACTTGATGCGCTCGCAGAAATATGGGAAAATCAATGGAGAAAAAAAAACTAACCAAGATCCAAAGGGTGCGTTACACATGCGGCAAAACAACTGGCGCTTCCCCCAAACCAAAACGGGTATCTCATATGTTCCCTATCCCAAGCCTTCTTCCTCATTACCTGCTCCTGCTTCTCAAGCACCGACGACAACTTCCCGGACATGGTAGCGATTGTGGGTGAGGATATGAGGGCATTCCGCGTGTGCGCTGGTGCAAGTGTAGAAAAGACCAAAATGAGGGGCAGTGTGGGATGTTTTGGAGGGGAAAATGGAGGGGGATGCGCAAAGGTAAAAATAGTGAGTGCGTGCGGGCGGGCGTGCGTGTTTTTTTTGTATGGGATGGTGAAGATCAGAAGTTATCCAGAAGAAATGCAGTGGCAGTGTACAAGTACGGTGAGTACAGGTCGGTCGTAGTGCAGCTTCAGCTCTTTTTCGGCCTTTGGAAAAATGACCGAGGGTCGGGTCGGTCCACTGTTAGTAAATAGTTCGCTGACCAAACAGCGTCGGGGATACTTCTATCTGCGATATCTCCCAGATCTCAAGTCCGAGGTGGTTTCAGAGATAAGAAAAATATACATTCGGGGACGGGAGACATTTTATTTCCGTTTTTTCTCTCATCCATCCATGTTTTTCAGCTCCGAAATCTGGGAAATGGTTGGGCGAGAAAAATGATGCTCCAGCGTCATCGCGCATCCCTGGGACCCTTAAACTTGGGTTGTGGGTGGCACCGGGACCTAAAGCTTGGCGGTCTAAACGCCTATATGCATCGCCTGCGTTTCCCCATCGAGGATGAAGCATTGGAGCTCTGAAGCTTGTCTGTAGTGCAACTGCACTTGGAAGCTTTGCTTTGAAAACCAACCTTGATCATGGCTTCTCTCGCCAGGCGGCAGCGTCTGTCTACAGCTAGAGAGGCATTGGCCCTGTTCACTGGCCTGGCCAATGTCTCCCCGCGGAGTTTGCGCGTGTGTTCAAGGTGTCGGCATAGCTCTACCTCGACAGGTTGGTCCCGCTTGCTATGGGGAGAGAGGGGGAGAGGGGTACTACTAACGAGCTTGTGCAGGTACCGCACCAGCAAAAGTCACCCTCGGCACGAAGGTCTATCCCACAGATTCATGGTTCAATGTCCCCTCAACCATCGCATCGGCCATTGATCGAAAACTGCACGTCCAAAAAGACCATCCCATCTCCATAACCCGCTCCATCATCGAGTCCAAGTTCCCAGCGCCCACGTACCAACACTATAGCTCCTTCTTCCCCGTCGTCACTACACACCAGAACTTCGACTCACTGGGCTTTCCCCAAGACCACCCGGGGAGAAGCAAGACGGATACGTACTATGTGAATGCAGAGACCGTTCTACGGACTCACACCAGCGCGCATCAAGCGGATGTCTTTCGAGCGAATAAAAGCGCGGGGTATACCATAAGCGCAGATGTCTACCGCAGAGATGCCATCGACCGTACCCATTACCCCGTATTCCACCAGATGGAAGGTGCGCGGGTATGGGATCGAAAGAAGGTACCCGGTGGAGATATCGTCGCAGCTGTATGGGCGGATTTGGCAGACTTACCTCAACACAAGATGATTGTGGAAGATCCGAATCCGCCCATACACCCCGAGCGAAATCCCCTGCAGCATGGACATACATCCCAGGAAGCAGAAGCGATTGCCGCGCACCTGAAGCGATCACTGGAATTAGTCGTGGCAGAGATCTTCTCCAGGGCGAAAGCAGCTCATACCGCAACGAACCCAGAGTACCGCGACGAGCCGCTGAAGGTTCGATGGGTAGAGGCATACTTCCCATTCACCAGTCCCTCCTGGGAACTCGAGATCTTCTGGCAGGGAGACTGGCTAGAAGTCCTAGGATGCGGAGTCGTCAAGCAGGAGATTCTGGACGGTGCTGGCGTACCCTCCCAACTAGGCTGGGCCTTCGGCTTAGGATTGGAACGCATCGCCATGCTCCTCTTCTCCATCCCCGACATTCGCCTCTTCTGGTCCCAAGACTCCCGATTCCTCAGTCAATTCACAGGCGTCTCCTCCTCCATCCAAACCCTCAAGAGCTTCGTCCCCTTCTCCAAGTACCCAACGTGCTATAAAGACGTCGCCTTCTGGCTGCGATCCACTTCCTCGGCCGCAGGTGGGGGATCGTCAGCGAATACCCACGATTTCCACGAGAATGATGTGATGGAGATCGTGCGGGATATCGGTGGGGATGTCGTGGAGGATGTCAGGAAGACGGATGAGTTTACGCATCCGAAGACGGGGAGGAGGAGTTTGTGTTATAGGATTAATTATCGGAGTTTGGAGAGGACGTTGACGAATGAGGAGGTGAATGGGATGCAGGAGAGGGTGAGGGGAGAATTGGTTGCGAAGTTGGGGGTCGAGTTGAGATAGTGGGTAGGAGGACATGTAGGGATTTATGCTACGGATTGATGGAGATGTACATGATGAGAAGTGTCTCACAATACTCTCATGTACTGAACTCGGAAGTGCATAGACCAGATAAAATCAAGTTAACCAAAAAAAAACTCGCTAAAATATCCTAAATGCTATCAAAAAAAACTGCTAATCTAGCTATAACACGACCATAACTCAAAGACCCTGAGGCAGATAATACTCTCGGAATCGATCCGTCTCGTCCTCCCCCAAATTGTAGATGATATTCCAACAAGTAATCAACAAGTCCGGAAACTTGGTCGTCCAGAAGCTCAGGTATCCATCTGGAAGTGGCCCAACTTCTCGCTTCAATTTCTCCGACATATCCTCGTAGTGATTCTTCTTGTTTCGCATGGCCCGGAGAAGATCCAGTAATCGTGAACCAGTATATTTTCTTTGCTTGCCCATTGAATCAACAAAGTCTTTGCTGAGGTACTTGAGGAAATCACCACGGGTCACTTGAGAGGCATAAGACTCAAGCTCCTGTAAAGGTGGAGTTGGAGGGTCACGCTTTTCCTTCTCAAAATGATCGGAGACATCGCAAAGGAAATTCAACCGTTTTTTGGCTGACCAGAAGAAAGGGTGTGCCATAACTTGTCGAGCTGTGGGACGTTGCTTGGGTTCGGGCTGAAGCATAGAACCAATTAAATCCGTAGCCTCTAGCCCATAGTCTCCATAAACTGTCAGGCGACTGAGGTCGTACTTCGCCTTGCGAATGTTCACTTCTCGCATGTAACGGTCACCACAATCGAATGGGTGAGATCCTTTGGTGAGCACGTAGAAAAAAACCAATCCAAGAGAGAATATATCAATGGCGCGGGTAGCTCGTCGATTGGGCATCATATCCGAACTCACGAGGATGGATCCTGAGCCTCCATCGGTGCTTGCATCAACCATTGATGAACCTTCTTTTGCATCATCGTCTAGCAGAAGTTCAGGTGCACGCCAGCCAGAGGTTCCAGCTGCGTGAGCAGTAGTCGCTCGGAAAGACGATTGCTCCCCTTCAAGTTTCTTACAGAGACCAAAATCAGAAACAAGAAGGCGTGGTCGACCATTTTTGCCCATCGATACCAGAATATTCTGAGGTTTCAAATCGCGGTGCACAATACGGAGGTTATGTAAATGCTGAAGACCGTTGGTGATTTGATACAGGACATCTGGCAAGTCTTGTTCACCTCCTTGTGCAAGAGCTCGATGAAGGTTAGGCTTTTCAACCACATCAGCCAGTGAGGCTGGACATAATTCCAGGGCTATATAAAGAAATCCCGCGGCTTGTTGTTGAGCGAAATATCGAATGACTAGAATACATATTAGTTCTATGACATAAAGCAGAGAATTGAGAGATCATGCCATTTGGATGATCATCACTCTCTCGTAAGAGCTTGGTCTCTTGAGAGGCAATGTCGAAAAATTGTATCAACATTCTCTTTACTGCAACGTCACGGCCATCGAAATTACCTTCAAAGACCATGGTACCGTTACTTCCCGTCCCAATGAGTTTTTCAGTATTAACCTCCAGAGCGCCAATACGAATGATTGGACCAGAAACTTCAGATGGATCGTTGGGAACTGTGCGAACATCAGGCTCGAGCTTGGTCTGTTCGCCCAACTTTTGTGCATCACGAACTGCATCCTCAACAGTGGGCCTGGCCTTTGGGGGATTTCCGTCCTGAGATCCATCCTGTGGTGGAGAGCCATCTTGGGAAGCATTCTTTCCCTTTCTGTGCTTAACACCACCCCTGCGGCCCCTGTGGGCTTTTCCCTTTTTCTTTTCCGGAGATGGAGCTGGACTAGGCCCCTCAGTCGTGATCACGGGAATCGGTTGAGCAGGACTGGCGGCTTCATTGTCCGTAACAACGTCTCCATTGACTTTTGGCTCCTCCTGTGTTTTGTGGGGTACCTCAACGACTAAGTTGTTTACAATTGGCTCAGATACCTTGTTTTCTGGAGACTTGTGGGTCCGGATAATCTCTGAATCGTGTGAGACGATGGAGGGTGAGAAGTAGTTTGCAATTCGTTTGTCTCCACTCAAACGTCCAACCCAGGCTCGAACTTGTTGCTGGTAGTTGACCAACAAGCCAGTCAAAATGATAATCAACACCGGGTTCTTGATGAATTCAAGAAGAAAGTGTGCCGCCATCCAAGGTACTTGTCTGAAACGATAGGACAGGTTGGGCAGACTCATCAGAGCAGGAAATTTATCGTCAAGTGGCTCATCGATCTGAATCTCATGGGATGGAGGAGCAGCAATAGTCAACATAGGCTCATTTTTAGCGTGTTCAATCGAGTGAAGGCCAACGAGCGCCTCAGACAATTGACGTCCATTCATGATATCCCAGGAAGGTCGGTGTTGCTTCCAGCCTTGTTGCATACACTGAGCTAACCGTGTTCCTTGAACAGCCAGCGGATATGACCTGCCAGACATGGCATACCAGCTGCCATCCTCGGTATGGTTAAGAAAGATGCTGCTCGCACGATGCTGAGCGGCAGCATCATCATCATGACTCGGTGGCATTGGCTGGGGCAAAATAATCAACTCAGGGTTGTTCTTTTCCGAAGTCCAAGGCCTCGCAACATCGAAAACACGAACAACTGGTGACGCAAATTTATGTTTAAACAAACGACCTGACTCGTCTGCCCGGCCTTGGTCACTTCGATCGTGGTCAAACCCAATCACACCACCATCATGACCAGTGTATATGTATTTGTTGTCAGGTGTTTCATGATATTGACGCTGTAGGTCCTGGTCAAAAGTGTTTGGACTCCATTCAAAGAAGCTCAATGTAGCAATCTGATGACCATCCTTCCTAGCCTGAATGACAACGGTGTACTCAGTCCGTCCAATTGTCAAAGTTGGATTTGTACACTCCTCACTAGGGAAGCCTCGGTTGACGCAATTCCCGTCGCCGTTGAACTGTGATCCCTTGGGACCGAAGTATTTGATAACCTTTCCAGTATGTGCATCGACGGTGATCATGTCGGTTTTTTTCTCCCCGGTGTAGATAATAGGAGGGTCCTCGTTTCCATACGGCGATTCCTCCACAAGTTTCTTCATGGTGAGACCCGTGTTGATGAGGCCCGGATTTGGACCGCCGGGACGGTATATGTAGATACTGCCATCTCGACTCGGCTCCACGATCCAAAGGAACTCGTCAATTGGGATACTTTCATAGTCTTCTTCAACGGAAGAACGATTCCGTCTGTAGTATGTTGCTTCCACCATGGGTCTTTCATATGACAGTTCCCATCTCTCCTTGCCGGTCTTTCTATCCCTGGCATGTAATTTTCCATCGACGGTCGCCAGAAGCACAAAGTCTTCCACTTCCCAATCCTCAAGACTCCGCGCAGTATGCGGCGAGGTAAGCCCAGCACTACTTGTGCTGGGCCGTCTTGTAGGAGGTGCTGCAACGGCAGAATCTGCCGGAGCCAAAGTTGCGATGGCGCTCGCATCGTTCTTGACGGGTCGGTCGTGATGAATGCTCAGAGTACTCTTCCTTCGACCTGATGAGTGAGGGGTTTCGAGATGGCGTGCTGCTATTTTGGTGGCCTCGAGCGTGTGAGACTTCTCGTGCTCGAGGCTCTCGCGTGGAGAGTCTTGCCGTTGTCGCTGCTGCTGCTGAGCATCGACGAGCCACGGTAGTAGCAAAAAGGCTGCTGCAAATATAATGAGGTTGTTCACGACGCGACCATCTCCTGGGGGCCGCCGTCGCGGCATCTTGCGAGCTTCAACGTTGCTGGTGGACTTGAGGACGTCGCCTCGGCGAAGTCTGGTTGCAGGAAACGCACAAAGCGAATGGCGGTGTGTGTGTTGGAGAGGTGGTCGTCAGGCGAGGAGCTACGTGGTGTATCTATAGCGCTTTCTGATGAATTGAGATGGCGTTGGAGCGGATCGAGTGTGTAAAGTTTGGTGCTGGTTGCGTTGGCTCGGTTTTACCTTAAGTGTGGGTTCTGCTTTCTGCCTCTGGAGTCTGCACCGCTGTGTTTGAGAAGCCGACGCTAGGGCTCTTCTCCGCAAAATGGCAGGGTTCAGGCTATGGGAGCGATGAACTGTTAGCCTTCCACGACCAACAGAATTCAAGGCCGCACAAAGGTACGGTCCACGGGTACGAGTAGAGAGGATCGCGTGGTGTTGGTGTGGCGATGGGATTGAGAATAATGGGATTGAGGCAGAGGGAGAGGCAGATCCAACAAGGAAAGGGGAAAGGGGAAAGGGGAAAGGGATCGGATGAGATGGGATGGCGTATGTAGCGTAGTGTGTAAGGGAACGACCCTTGGGGAATTCATTCGACTCCGAGGTCCCTTCTGGTCAGCTTACGAGTACTACGAGTACCAGCAGCTTACTCTGTCTGTACCGCCGTACAAGGACCAGCACTCTGGCCCCTCTGCCTTACTTCCTAACTTTCTTACTGCCTTACCTCACCGCATCACTGCACTGCATGCAAGCAGGAATCCTACGGCACCAAAATTTTCTTATTCGCTACCCTGACCCTGACCAAGTTGTGGTAGTTGCTACTGTATGCAGTCCAGTGCAGTCCCTCGCTGCGATGCTCCAAAGTACCAGTCTCTATAGTACCAGTCTCTATAGTAGAGTTCCAACATCAGATGCCGTCAAGGGACATCGATGCGTGGAACATGGGACAACTTCATCTCAACCTCAACATCCTTTTGTTGAATCGGAGCTTTCCTACTTCCTATAGAAGCTCGTCAATAATTTAAAGCCTTCCAAAGCGTGCCTCAGGATGAATGTACGAGTACGCTCCGTACAGCAGTTACGCAGTGCTGGGTTTCAGACACCTGTAGAGTTGCCGAGTATAGACAAGGTAGACAAGGTCTGAGCCCTCTGTTCTTCGACCTTTCCACCTTACGAGGAACGTCTAAGACATTCGCAAGATTTTAGGTTGGAGCATAGAGAAAAACTGTTTACTGCCGAGCACGCTTATCTCTGGCGTTTGGACAGCATTCTCGTACGCCATGTAATCTTTGGATCCTTCAACATGCACCCTCACGGCGTGGGCAGTTTCAGCAGAGTGGAAGTTCTGTGGATGAGGGGAGAAATGCCACCTACTTTTTCGTTTTGGGCAACCCATTGTGGGTACATTCGTACTCAACATCAAAACAACCATACCTCAAATAAGACTCCATCTCAGAAGACAAGCAACTGGGCAATAGCTTAGTACAGGTCCGTATGACATGATGGAAAATCCAGAGTAAACACCGCAATTGCCGAGTTTTGGTAGAGAACTTGCACGCTCGACGAATCCTGGTCTTGAATTCATTTCCATTCATTATTGGCGCTGCAACATGATCTAATGGTATGGTACAAATTCCGCCTTGGATTTCGTTGTTCATTATACATTTACTTTTCCATAAACGCCCTAACCCTCTCTCCTCCTTGGGGCACTCCGGATAATGTTGTCTACTCTAAGAAGAAGCTTATCAGGGTTAGCTAGAGTGACAAAGGACCGAAGAACGAATCAACTTACTTCTGCTGCCTCGGAAGCAGACGACACAACAGCCTTCTTGAGCTTGTAACTCTCAATCACACCCAATTCTCGCATATCCGTGATACCTCCTCCGGGTGTAAGCAAATCCAATCCGTAGGTGGTCATACCATCATACATGGCAGTTCGAAGTTTGGCGACCAGCTCGCTAGAATCGTAGCCAGCATTGTCCGCCAGAATAGTTGGTAACTGTCGAAGAGCGATGGCAAAGGAGTTGACAGCGATTTGTTTTTTGCCATCAACCTTTAACGCAGCGCCCTCAACAGCCTTGGCCATGAGCATCTCAGCACATCCACCTCCCAACGTCGTTCTTGGCTCTCTGACGGTCTGAGAAAGAACAGCCAAGGCATCGTGCAGTGATCGATCAGCCTCGTCCAGAAGTTGCTCAGTAGCACCTCTTAAGACAATGGTACAAGCTTGACCAGCCGCCACACCAGAGAACTTGATCAAGGTATCTTCGCCAATAATAACCTCTTCAATAAGATCACACTGTCCGAGTTTGACCTGATCTGGGTGGTCAAAGGTTGATGTGATCTCACCGCCAGTAACCAACGCCAGTCTTTCTATACCATCGAAATCGGCATGTTCAATAGACATAATCCCAGCATCTGAGAATAACTGCTCAGGCCAGTTGTAAATAAGTTGTCTGTTGATAAAGCAGTTGATGCCATGAGCCTTGATCTTCTCCACCTTGGCCTTCATCTTGTCTTTCTCCGCCTTCTCTAATTCTGCCAGCTTCCCAGTAGAACCAACCTTGACTCGAGCTCCGAAGATTTTGATCTTATCCGTATCCATAGATGTGTTTGCTACCAGAATCTTGGCCTTTTCCAGGCGTTTTGGCTGGTTCACACCAATCTTTTTGTCCAGAATGAAACCCTCATCTAGATAGGAATCGTTGAGCTTTCCACCAGCCTTCTTGATAATTTGGATGTGACTGAGATCTGATGAACCCTTCATACGCAGGACTGCATCGACTGCAAGCTCTGCGAAATGCTTTCGATCCTGGGAAAGAACTTTGGAGCTCAGAGTTGTTCTGGCAATAGCTAAAAGATCCTTCCTAAACGCATCGGCATTGCTGCTGTGGTCCACTGCAGATTTCTCCAACGCTGCCAAAGCTGCCTGGCTTGCTATTCTGTAACCCTCGATAATTGTTTGGGGGTGGATCTTCTTGTCGACCAGCTTCTCGGCTTCCCGTAGCAACTCGGCCGCTAACACGGTGACTGATGTCGTTCCATCTCCCACCTCATCGTCCTGGACCTTGGAAATGTTTACCAGGACTTTGGCAGCTGCGTTGTCGAGAGCTATCGATTTGAGGATCGTCGCACCATCGTTTGTGACGAGAATTTCACCGGTTGAGGCAGACTGTAGAATCTTGTCCATTCCCTTGGGACCCAAGGTGGACTTGACTAATTTTCTGTTAGTGGCATATAAAAAAAGGTGCGAGCTGCAGCCATACCTAAATCGCCAACGGCAATAGCTCCCACAAACGCGGAAAGACGAGCATTCTCTCCCTTTTCCTCGGTCGTGCCATCGTCGAAGATCTGGGTTGGATTGAAGGAGGCCATTTTGGAGGTGAGAAAAATGAAGTTGTACCTCTGTAGGCAATCGCGAACTACCTCCTCGTAGAACTTTCCTACGCGACTCTGCGGGCAGTGGCAGCCACAGTCACCCTTGCTTACATAACTCAAGCGAAAACCCACCACAAAGTAATCGCAAATAAAATCTTATCGCCAACTTACGCCAGCAGCCAGCACCACAAAGAGAGCAAGTGGGGTAATTCACAACACCAAATCCAATCACGCACCACCCACGCATCTTTCCAATATTCGCACACGAGAACACGATACATAGGGCACACGCAAATCCCTTCGACGACTTTCGTCGCATCAAACCGCAATCATGGCGCCGAGTTTCGACCATCTACCAGATCCCGAGGAGGACTACGACGAGGATGAGCTCGACTTTTCCGATCTTCGCGAGCGATTCGAAGTGCAGCTGGAGCAAGGGCTAGATACATTCGTGGTTATCGACGGTCTACCAGTTGTCACCGAGGAGACCAGACCCAAACTGATTAAATTCTTACTGCGGAAATTGAACGCTGTGGGCAGAACGCGAGAAGACTCGATTTTCATGCCGATTGGAGAAGATGGAAAATCACACAGGTAATTTTTTTCCGAGCGTATCAGCAATATCTGGTACTGATGAAATTCAGTTTCGCCTTCATCGAGTACTCGGAGCCCGCTGAGGCGGTTGCTGCCTGCAAGGCCCTCGATATGGTTCAGCTCGACAAGAAGCATCAACTCAGAGTAAACAAGATGACCGATATTGACCGATTTGGACGAGAAGGGCGAATTGACGAGCACTACACACCCCCAAAGATCGAAGAGTTCACAGAAAAGGAACACTTGCGATCGTGGATTGCAGACCCAAGTGGCCGTGGTAGAGATCAGTTCGTCATGTACAAAGACGATCGAGTTCAGGTCCTTTGGAACAACGAGAAAGATGCGCCAGAGAGTATTGTGGATCGCCAGCACTGGACTGAGTCATTTGTGGCATGGACACCACAAGGAACATATTTGACCTCGATGCATCAGCAGGGTGTACAACTTTGGGGAGGACCTTCATGGACTCGTCAAAAGCGTTTTGCCCATCCCTTCGTGAACTTGGTTGATTTCTCACCTGGAGAGAAGTATCTCACCACCTGGTCCAACCGCCCCATCTCCATCCCCGAAGAAGGTCATCCAGCGTTGACTGTCGAGGATGATGGCAAGAATTATGTCATTTGGGATATCGAGACTGGAAAGCCTCTCCGTTCTTTCGCCAATATTGAGCTTCCCAGCAACAGCACAGATGAGGCAGGATTACCAGTCAAACGAAAAATCATCTGGCCAGCATTCAAGTGGTCTTCTGATGACAAGTACGTCGCTCGGTTGACACAAGGCACCTCTATTTCAGTTTACGAATTGCCAAAGATGAATCTTCTTGATAAAACAACAATCAAGATTGATGGTGTCATGGACTTTGATTGGGCACCAGCAACACCTCGTCGGGATGGCATCAAGACATATGAACAGCTTTTCTGCTATTGGACTCCTGAAATTGGCAGCAACCCTGCAAAGGTTGGATTAATGAGTATTCCTTCAAAGGAAATCGTAAGAACGTTGAATCTCTTCAGTGTCACAGATGCGAAATTGCACTGGCAGTCAGATGCTTCCTACCTGTGTGTCAAAGTGGACCGACACTCGAAATCGAAGAAATCGTTGGCTACCAGTCTTGAAATTTTCCGAGTTCGTGAGAAGGGTGTACCAGTTGAAGTTGTTGATTCAATCAAGGATACTGTCATCAACTTTGCTTGGGAGCCAAAAGGCAACAGATTTGTGATCATTACCACAGCTGAAGTTGTTGCCCCATCGGCTGTTCCACCAAAAACCTCCGTTGGCTTCTACTGCCCCGAGAAAGTCAAGGGAAATGGCGTTGGTAACTTCAAGCATATCAGAACATATGATAAAAAGAACAGCAATGCCATCTTCTGGTCGCCCAAGGGACGTTTTGTTATTGTGGCCACAGTCCATTCCCAGCAGAGTTACGATATGGAATTTTTCGATCTGGACTTCGAGGGTGTAGCCGAGAGGCCGGACAGCGAGAAGGATTTGACTGCCAACTTGCAGCTAATGAATGTCGCTGATCACTATGGTGTTACTGATATTGACTGGGATCCTACCGGAAGATTCGTTGCCACCAGTGCCAGTATCTGGAAGCATACCGTAAGTTTACAGCTTTGAGAATCGCGCGCACTGTACTAATTCATGATTTAGATGGAGAACGGTTACCATCTGTATGATTTCAAGGGTGAGCAGCTTCGGGAAGAGCCTGTGGAGAAGTTCAAGCAATGGCTCTGGCGCCCAAGACCACCACCACTTCTCACAAAGGAAGAACAGAAGACTATCCGCAAGAACCTCCGTGAATACAGCAAAACCTTTGACCAAGAAGATGCTGACCGGGGCGCCTCCGCCGATCTTGCTGTTGTTGAGCACCGAAGAAGATTACTCGATGAGTGGATGGCATGGAGAGCAAGCATCGAAGAGGAAGTCAAGGAAGACCGCGAGGCTCTTGGCTTACCTTTGGATCCAATTGAAGGCTTGATCAAGAAGACTGATTCTAGTGAAGACCAAGTCATTGAGGAGATTGTCGAGGAGATCGTCGAGGAAACCGAGGAGGTTATGCCGTGAGACTTGAAAATGTAGCAACGTTTTATGTTTCTCTCTCACTTCATACCACGATGTTTCCATTTTATGTCGATGCTTGGAGTTTTTGCACATATCTTTTTTTGCAAGATTTCCCATCGGATGGGATGCCTTGGAACCTAGAGAAGCCTTCCAGGTTGGTCTGGAGGGGTTCTAGATATGAATGCATGAAAACTCAAAGATTTAAAAAAACAAAACAAAAGCATAGCTGGCTGCCTTGTCAATCCCATCTAATTGAAAATTCTATAATAACTCTGCAAGTTTTCTGCTGGTGATGGATGTTTGATAACGAGGTAGCTTATAAGAAACATTATTATCTAATGTCAGGCTTAGCTTACTCTGGGCTATCACTGTTAAAAGCAGTCCAAGGAACTATAGCAATTTGACAGAAGAGCTTTGTATAGCATTTAAACAAAAGTATTGAAGTTATAAAGATATTATCCTAAAGACCTGACACAATTAAAACAATTATAAGAATGGTTTGGAATGATTGTTAATTTTTAGTTTATTGTGCGAGGGGAAATAGGATAATTGAGGTACTTGTGCTAGAGTTTTGGTATAATGACTTTTAGAACGTGTACAGTACAGAGCAATGCTAACCTCTCTTACCTCTGTTCTTATAGATATTGGTCTAGTATTCGCGCTTTACTCGTCCTCTAATTACTAAATCCTAGTATAAGTTATCCATCAAGCACCCTATCTGTTTGCTTCCCTCTCCCTACTGAGTTGTCCTTTGGTAACTAATATTTTTTTTGAGTCTTGGTATTTGTCAAAAGTCTCGTGGGCTTGAAAAGATGCCGACTCACTTTCTAATTAATGGGCCTGCTGAGAATACTTAAGTGTCCTAGTCGTTCTCAATTTAATTGGGATATTGTTTGTTCTCATACATGTACTAGTACCTATATAACCATTTTTTCCAAAATTCAAATCCCCAACGCCCGTCATTGTTCCTTAGCTTTATGGGAACCTCCAAAAATCATTATCTTTCTCATTCCATCTGGGCCAGGACTAGAATAGAATTTCTCTGTTTGTATCTGCATCGCCTTGCCTTCTCTTCTCTCAATAAGGAAATGGTCTTTATTGTTGCAATGTTTATTTTCGCTGAGGCAAGAAAAGCACATGTCAAATTCTCCTCCATCGCAGATGTCGCAGTGAAAGGTTTGCTTAGTCGTTTCAGCCTGACAGCTATTACATATTCAAGTTAGTAACTCCCGAGAATAAAGGACAATGAATGAATCAACTTACAAGCCGCAAAATGCACGAACATTCGGTTTCTGAGAGAAGATTGATAAGTCCTCTATGTTGGCTGCACACAACTGTCGGCTTTGTTTTCCTTGGAAATCGGAACACAGATCTGGGGGGAAGCTTTGAAGTATCTTCCAGGCTGCTGGTCGACGATTTGGGTCTGGTGTCCTGCACGCAGCAACAATGTCCTTCCAATACTGCGGTATATGGTTGGGTGGTTCTGGCAGCGAAACTGGGTCGCTGTGGTCTTTCTGACAGTTTTCGGAGTAACAACCGACCTTCTGGCACAGATACGATGAGGTTAAATATATCTCATCTTCTGCCAGAATCCAGAGTAGCATTCCAAGCTGGAAAATGTCGATCTGAGGCGTAACGTTGATCATGTCTTGCTTCACACTTGGATTGCGATATTCCGGCGGTAGAAACCCTCTCTTTCTGCCCTTTTTGTTGAATTTGCTTCTGAATTTCAATAAAATAGCCTTATTTAACTCATTGATGAGTATTGCATGATGGAACACTGCGTCATATGCAAGTGTTCCGACCACGAAGCCTTTCGAGTGAACCTGGTATACACTCTCAACAATGTTCCTGCCCCAGCTCTCCCTTTGATTCCAGGACAGTTTGTCTTCAAGTTTCAACTCATACATCTTGCCGCACAAACTTGTCCCAGTCGATGAGTCGATTAAATACCCGGTAAGTTCTCGTTGGCGAGAACTCACAACAATTCCATGGAACTTTGCTACGGTGAGATTTCCTGTAAGACAATGAGGAACTTGAATAGTATATAGCTGATCTGCCGACGGCTGTTCTGTGCCAAATCTGATCTCAGAAAGCATGAATGGATGCGCATAAGTTGCAAATTGTCTTTCTCCACGTCGGCCCTCTGCTCCTCCAATGAAGCGTACAAGCTCATTCTCACGATATGCAGGGCAGCCAATGTCATTCAATTTTCTGAAAATAGACTCAGAATTCATATTCTCTCCTATCTTCCGAGTTCGTATCTTGAGGTCCGGGAAACAATCTCGACCAAGTTTCATGTTTTCTCCTACTTGAATATTGCAGTGTTGGTCATCATGAAATTCGTTGTCTGCGGAAAGAAAATTTTCCACATTCTGACGGATATAATGTGACAATTGACCATTTGAAGCTTTCTCGATTGGTAGCTTCAGGCAATCCCAATATGGGGAATCTCTGCTGATGACCACTGACAGGAAGAGCCTATGCCATCGTCGCGGCGAGAGAGCATAGAAAGCACAGTACGAGTTGATCCGGAAGAATTCATTTGACTGCTTCTCACAACCATCGAATGACAGGAGCTTGTAAGATGGGACAAAGTTTTCCAACGTATATGATTCCAAGGCAAAGTTGGGGGAGTTCTCCAGCAGGCCAAAGGGTGTTGGTTGCCTGTGATATTGCCACGTTCGTTGTGATTGTGTTCCCAACTCTTGGAAGCGGATGAATTCGAATGAGCTTTCTGATTTGTCCTCCACTTTGCAGCTACCGGCCTCTAGTTCTTGTGCCTCATCCGCATTAGCCTCCAGGGACCTATAAGGTAGGTATGCAGGACATAGTTCTTCGGCGTCAGATTTCCCACAGGAGGCTGAAACGAGACCTTTAATGAGTTTGTTCTGATGTTGAATGGCATTTTTTGGCTGTTGATATAGATTCTTGAATCAAATTCACTTTCTTGTCAATCGCAAATACTGTCTTGTTGGTGATATGGACATCTTGAGACACTATCGATAGACTAGTATAGTTCTTGTTTGGAATAAAACCGCACATATTGTCAGCAAGATCTCATACTTATCTTGGTCTCAGTTGAACGTACGAGGCATTGACATTCAATGCCGCCAGTATATTCTCCCTGCTTTCCGTAATAGCGAGACGATAATTCTGTACTTTCGCTTTATATCTTTTCCATGCTCTCCGCCGCGCCCTCGAAGATCCCCCATTTTGGTTTTTGAGAAGTTTGGCTTGAATGAAATGATGAAGCTGTTCAGTGACCGATCGTGCTTTTGTCAGGCTTTCTGGATCATTGTGTTTTGTTTATAGTTGTGTGTCTCTTCAGTGTCTTGGATCAAACCTCTAAGGCTCTGTAGCTGTTCCTAGAATGACATCAACATGTATTCAGCATCCGTAAAGTTTGCGCTCAACTTACTTGTAATGTTTCCAGCTCCTGAGGTACATTGTAAAGAGTCCTCGCAAGCTTAATACAGTACCTTCTATACCGAGATAGCACAGTGTAATAATGCTCGCCGCTAGACCTACTGGCTCCATCTTCAATGATTGTTGACGACTTTTCGAAAGTACACTCTATTGACTTTCCAAGCTTCTTTTTAAGAAGACTTTCGGTTGATCGCCATCTTTGAAATATGATCCCAAATAGGCACCTTTCTAATTTAGGACTCGGTGAGATTTGAGCTGAAAGTGTTACGGAAAATGTTGTTGGACTAGATGAATTTCGTGCCCCTGTCGAGTCCAACCGTCTGCAGCGCCCCCAAATGCGGGATATTGGACGCTCATCCACAACTACGAATTTCCAATTAATAGGTTTACTGCTACGCTGTTGCGTCATGAAACTTTTGCAATAGTCCCGGCTATCAAATCCAGAGTCGCAACCTGAGGCCTGCTTAGTAGTACACCTGTAGAGATTAGAATACGTAAGCATGAAATCACCACATTTCACGGCACATAAAATAAGTTATGGATTTTAGAACCCTGGAAACAACTCTTTGCAGGAAGGGGGAATTTGGGGTGGCTATTATCTCAGAAGAAAACCTGACACACATTCATTGATCCTCGTTCTCCATCCACTTTCTGCTTTCCTGAAAATGCTGAACTCTTTTTCCAAGGCAACTTATACAGGGGAGTGCTGTACAGACACTCCACATATCTGAGGCATTCAATAAAGGGCAAATATGTGCGCTTTTTCTTGTTGATGAATTTCAATAGCGACGTAGGAGAGAGTACGAAACTTAGCGAGTGCGCGAAAGGGGCAAATACGAGATTAAACAATAGATTAAAATGTTGTGCAACAGAAGTAGCGTCATACGAAGGGTATGACGGGTATATAAATGTAACATAGACTAATCCAAGATCCTCAGAGCATTTCTACCAGCTCCCATTCTGTGGCGCGATAGCATGAGATTACACACTTACCCCGATAAGTTTCCATGTACTTGGGGTAAGCTACAAAAGAAATTTGATTTCGTATCTACTTTCTTCCATGATATGGAAAGTCCACTTGAAGCAAAACTGTTGATTCTCAAAGAAGAGAATATCCCTCATGGGTTTCATTTGACTCCTCGAAGCTATGAAAAAATAATGATGAAGAGATGTCTCTTCAAACTAATGGTAAATCCTTCAGTACCGTGTCGTACGACAAGCTTTCAACATGCATAGTTCCATCGAGGTAACATTCTACAAAGACGGAAAATCCATCCTTAACCTGACGTAAGAAATATGGAACCTTAGCACCCAGTAGAGTGCAGATGATATCTTCTCTGAGTGACCTTATTGGAAGAGGGGCTTATCTACCATTTTCTGTTGTGAAAATTCGCCGTTTTACTGCTCTTTTAGATAGAGAGGCATCCATTAGGGCAAAAAATGGTTCAAGCTTTCCTTCACTTTCCATGAACTCCAAGTATTGCGCAAAATATCGGGAGTATTTGGCGTGTTTTAGAAAAGCATCGACATAAAGTCCACATAATATTATTGTCCAAACATGTCCGTATCTCTCGTCACTTAGTTCCTCGCTCGCAGTTAAAGCTAGCTCTCGATAAAGTAGGAGAATTTAATATAAATCCTTACACTTTTCGGCTTTAGTGTTATTATTTTCGTACACAGATACTGCCTTATAAATCTAGGTTCATGATGCCGTAGCTAGCTGCCAATGAAGCCGGAAAAATGAAGAGTGTAATTGGAAGTATTGCTGGGGTAGCCAGTCGAAGAGCCAAGGAAGCGACATATTATGTGAGGATCAGAAAGGGTATTGTAGAGTTAGTGGACAAGGCGGAAAATAGTTATGAGCTGAAAGAAGAGGAGACTTACGCCAACGCAGGCTAGCGAGATCTCAATTTAGATTCATTACTAACAATATGAGACAGGGTTGAAAAAAAAAGGTTCCGGTTCATCAGCTTTTTAATATCTCGTAGCTGTGACCGACATTGGCAGCGTAAGAAATGAGTAGAGTAGAGCAGAGTAGAGTTAAACCCTACTCTACTCTACTCGCCAAATACTCGAGTACTGCTCGAGTAGTCAAAGTAAGTACTCATCACTACTTATTTAGTAGAATCCGCTACTCTACTCTACAGTACTCGAGTATTTGAGCAGTTCTTCCGTACGCTTCACATAGGGGAAGGCCATAGGTAAGATTCATATTTCTCGGTCCACACTTCTAAGAGAGGCAGGTATTACTCTGTATACGCTATCTAAAGTCGTTGTGCTAAAACTCTAGCATAAGTAACCTAATTGTCTCATTTCACCTAGCACAATGAGAATCGAAAAGTAACAATTGCTCTAAACTATTCGTATAATTGATTTAGTTGTGTGAGGTCTTTAGGATAATGAAAACATCATAACTCAGGGATGTACAGAGTAATGCCCGTCTTTCTTACACATGGGGAAAGTAGTGTTAAATGTAGTTTGAAAGACTTGATATAATAGTCAGTGCATCTTTCCTCTGCGCTTCGCAAGCGACAGCGCAGAGGAAAGACGTATATATACACTTCCATGGCCAACATAGACCCAGCTACGTGTACACCAATTGAAGTCATCAGACAAAAGGAGCCAGGAAAAAAGATCTGTCTTATTATGTTCTATGAATGTATCGAATCTGAGAACAATCTATTTGAAGACTATCACATTGCGAAACCACTATCCCACCAATGCTCACCGTGATGCCAACCCCAACCAAACACATCCCAGCACCACCACCCATCACCTTGTAGTCCAAATCCCAACCCTCTAAAAGGGCTGATTGGAACGGGTTCCCATAACCAAACTCCACCTCTGGCAAAATCATCAGCTAACCATGATCCTGTAGCCAACAACCAAACTACAACGAAGAGACAATTGCCCGTCCGCCGTATTGATGTTGGCAATTTTATGATAAATGGATTCAAGATCGCGCAAGCGGTGCTTTGGATCAAGATTCCGAGGGCCTGCAACATGAAGAAAATGGGGTTGTGCAAATGATGTGTTCTAGCCAATTGCGTGACAGAACCTGCAAAATGGATTATGCCCGAGATACCAAAGGCAAAGAAAAGCTGAAGAACTTTGGACACTATTGATCGCTTTTCAATATATCCATGGCCGATAAGGAATTTTGTTGGAGCAGCAAAGGAGAGGCGGAAAGTCTGATGCCAGTAACCCCCCCAAAGCCCGTTCAAACCTTTGTCTAGGACATTCGAGAAAGAGCCCCACACAGTAGGGTAGTACCAAGCTTCTCCTCGCTGGCCTATCACTTTGGGACCAAGAATGAAGCAAAGAAGGAGAGGACCAAGCATAAAGGCCATCTCTAGAGCATGGATAATGGTCACGCCTGACAATACGGCACGGCAACACCATAATCCTAAAGGAGACAGTTTTTGGAGAAAGGGTGGTAAAGCATAGGTAGTCGGTCCAAAAATGAAATAGGGATCTTTCATCATTATAGTTTTTAGAAAGTCAATGAGAAAGTAACCAGCCACAAATCGTGGATATAGGTAACGGAAAAGCTCTTGACGGGTATCGAAACGTTGGAGGCCCGTAAAGGAGATTCCACTTCTGGCTGATTTCATGTCAAGACCCTTCAGGTGCTTGCTGATGGATTCTGGTGGAGCTGGGAGTCCTGGAACTGCCCAGTTCCATCCTGGTCCACGAAAATTTATCAGAAGATCTGATGTCCAGAAGAACCGGTCTCGAAAACTTTCAGGATATGACTCCCAGAAATATTCTTCAACTTGAGAAATATTTCCATTTCCATTTCCATTAGCCTTTGCCATCAAATCTGTACCATCTCCTCCTTTCGATATGGCGACTTGTGTTCGGCCTTTGAGAGCTGAGAATTTCTCCGCTGCCACATGTCCATTCGTCTGCAGAGAGATATCTCTTGCGTGCCCGTTGATACATATTCCCTTGTCTGATGGGTCTAAATGCACCATTCTCCTCTGTACCCTTTTCGCGTCCCATTGTGGCTTCGATAAGAACAACCATGTGCAAGCCGTTGCCCAGCCATACGAAGATATCACACCGACAACCATGTTTGTTGCATGACTCCCACTACTCGTTTCCCACAAAGTTGTATAGTTCCACCACGTTATCAAACCAAGCACCGCCCATCGCGCGTTATACAGCCAAGGTCGGTTCTTGTGGGGGAAACAGAGGTAGGTGAGCAGAAAGGCATAGCCCATCAGATGGTAGTGCAGAACCATAGGTCGTAAGGTTCCTGCGTCTACGAGCTCGAGGAAATGTTCGCGGTATGAGGCAGCCACATCGCGGTAGAAGGGTGGCGGTCCTGTGGCTGTGAGATGAGGATAAAAGCCGAATTCCGGCATGATGACGGGCGATGCCTCTACGGAGAGAGGAATGGTTGGCTTCGAGGAGGGCTGTGGTATTTGTATTCGAGTTCCATGGTAGGACGGTACTGGTACTGGTACCAAGCTACACCCGGGTGGCGTACAGTGTGGGTATTGTCGTTGGCAGTCAGGGAAGGCATGATTTCGATGATCAGGATAACTTGCGATGCTGACGTCATGTGAAGTTGAAGTAGGTGAGAAAATCGAAGTGTTTTTTCTCTTCCTTATGTTTTGCGAGAGTACGAGATATTCAATTACAGTATTGGAATTGAGTATCAAATTATTTTGGAGCGACTGTAAGTAGGCTGATATCCCTGGTTGCACAATATGAGGGGGGATCGCTTGAAAAGGAGGTGCGCCCCACTTTTGTCCTGTGATCATCCCCCTTCGCTTGCCAAACGTAAGTAGTAGATGGCACCCAAGATTTTATAGTATTAATGCAAATCGTGTTATGACATGAATATTGTGAATCGCATCCATGATCGAAAGTAAGTGCTCAAGTCTTTCTAATAAAAACCTCAAAGTCTAAAATACGCCATGCATAGCATGTTCCCTAACCCATGCGATTTACTTTTGCATGGAATGATACCTAAATCAGAGAAAATTAGATATGAATATCCTATAAACCTTCTCATTCCTTTTCGATCTCGTCTGACATTCTGTTTAATTGTAACACGTAACTATTTAATGGGTGGAGGATTACAAACGAGCTTTTGAAATCTTAACAACAGAGCGAAAAGAAAGCTCGAATAGGGACTGTTTCAGTTCTTCTCAAACATATATTACAGTTTTGCAGCAGTGTTACCTCGGCTCCTGTAATCGTGAGCTAATCATGAGTTGCTATAGTAAGTTACCAAATAGTCATTTCTCTGGTATATTCCATCTCCTGGTTTCTTCGAGATTAGTCCACTAGTTCTTACCTAATATTACCTCTTTGAAAGAAAATCTTTCGATACATAGAGCGGTTGAATGATTTCCATAGGGAGGTGAAAATCTGGTTTTTGTAAATGAGGTAGATAAATCCCTTCCAGAGCAGGGAGAGCGACAAATAATCGTGCACCTAATGTGGATATAAGTAGAGGCGATAATTGGGTCCAATCGAGGCTTGAATGTTTAGATAGCTAGTCTGGTTGGCTAATAAATAGCATCGTTCTACAGGGCAAATTTTACTCTACTTTGGGTGCACGTTCTTTTGTCACTCTCTGCTCTGGAAGGAATGGTTAGCTAAAATACTTTGTTTCACTGAAAAGATATTATAAAAGTAGACTCTTTTACTTAGCGTTTGGCAACTGGTATTCAAATCCATATTAGACCCACCCAAAAAAATCTTTTAGTATGATTCTTAAATCGTATTCTAAATACTGAAAGCTACATTGACTCTATCTTAGGTAATCGTGTATTCTCTTCGCTATCTACCCTAGGAGAAATAGTACAGTACATATAATAGTTGAAGACTAGTTATTACGACATAAGCACTCTCGTCTCTACTTTCTGGCACTAGCATATGCCATGGAAGGCGGAGTACTATTACGGACCCTTCTATACCGACAGATAGCTCTAATATCAGAGCCCTGCTCGCCATTAGGTAGCTTCTCTCTCTATCCCTTATCCCATCCTTGCATTATGCCCTCGTCTTCTAACACTAGTGATATAGTTGTAATAGTAGAGTGTATTTCGTAGTATTTTTATTATACACTCATAGAGATATAGGCATAGTAGTTTAGTACGTATAGCTAACTAAGAGACGCTAAGATACTTACTAATGTACTATGAGTTATATAAGCAAATTACATTATTTAATTATCTAGCAAAATTTATATATTTCTTATTATTAATATAAGTCGAAATGTTAAACAATATTTGAGTAAATATTCTTCATTAATACTATTTAAGATATATAAAGAAATGTTACTACTGTAACCGTGTGGAGTGAACCACTGCTTGCTGTGATGAATACGGAGTCAAACGGAAACTGCTGTATTGAGCGAACAACAAAGTGAGGAAGGAAGAGAGTTCCAGAGGAACGAGAGCTTAAATACAGGATGCCAGCAGCGCGCACGTGACACATACTACATGCTGCGCTACACGTGATCAACCCCTAGTTCCTCCAACTCCGTAACAAATATTACTACTAATTTAGTATAAATAAATATAAAGCAATATAAATCAATAGAAGCAAATACATTATTTTAAGTACAATTAGACAAAGGTTCTACTCTAAATTAGATATATATGTTCTTGTTACTCTATAGTGTTAGAAAATTCAAAGGTAAGTAACCATGCGCGCAAAACACATAGTGCCAAGACCTCGCCAAACCTCTCTTTCGCTTAGCTTCACTTCCCCTGAATAACGTAGATACTCACTGTCTTGCTTGCTAGTGAATTAAACGTAAGCCCTACGATCTAGAAAGTAATAGAACGTGAATTGAACATTAATATAAGGCATTAATAACCTCTGAAGTACTCTTGTCTTCTAAACAGATGAACGAAAACAATTATCGCGTGCAAGTAATTGACTTCCTATTATTGGTTCGCAGAGAAGTGTAGGCATACAATAGCTAGATAGTATACAAAGCAAAACGACGCATGTTACCGATATAGTTTTCTCCCAGGTCCGGCGATCTAGGTAGATCCGATCTCACTCTCTCCACCACCAAACAATACAATGGATCCCCAAGATCCACAACAACATTGCGTGACCTTCGCGGCGTATCATGGTAATTTGCAAATCCCAATCCAAAGTCCACAGCATCAATTTCCATTTTCTGGGCCTCCAAATTCCCAAGTTGCCGTACTTCCAAGCTGGGGACCATCCTACTGGCCTGGTGTTTTGGGAGGTGGCGCATCCCACAGGAGTGAACTGAACCAGATCCCATTCACATCTGCTAACAGCTTTTATTATTTCTCAGAACCTGAATCAACCGACGACTATCCTCTCTTCCCGCCATCTGGCTTCTCAAACGACGGCGACCCATCCTCGGTCTCTTCCGCGCCCCCTAGTCCATCATATCAGACGATGGCTCATAATAATCCGAGTGCAAGTTCGAATATCGATCACCCTGCATACAGTCGCGTCCCTGTCTCAATTTTGCCCGCTCCACCAGTCCAACAGAGGTTCGGCGGAGCTATGAATCCCACCTCATTGGACGCTTTTTTGGCGACCCACGGGATGGTAAATAATAGCGTTGCGCCTGGCTTCAGACAGGTCGCTCACCCTCACTCTTCCACCATGGCGGCCGCAAATAACTTTTTTGCTCCCTCTGCTTCTCAAAATGAGCTCAACTACACCATCGCAGGAGACATACCCGACAATTGGCAAGACATGTCACGCTTGGTAGGTGGATTGCCTATTGATGGAGCGCAAGGTTTTGAAACACCGACAATGCATCCCTTCACCACCCATCAATGGAAAGCTAAATCATCGATCTTTGACAAATTGTCCAAAGACGCGCTTGGTCTCATCCTCGATTATGTAGGCGCAACTTGGAACGGCGAAATGCCAAATCTTATTATCGCACTTCGACCATCGATCATCGCTTACGACAACATCCTTGAACACTTCATCGATACAAATAAGTTTGTTTTGTGCCCTGGCAATAATTGGAGCCTCGGCGGTATGCACCCTCAGGTTATTGGTCGTATTAAGCATTTGGAGTTGTCGGTTTGGTGAGACAGTCTAACACAATACACTACGACTTCAAGAATGAAGGCTGACCTTACTCTTATAGCGCTTGCAACTTGACTGATGGTGATAACGAATGGGTCATACCAGAGCAGACATGGGGTCCTACCGAAAAAGCCCTCAAGTCTGTAGAAACCGTCACGATCTACTCCTCGAACGCCATCAAACACTTGCCAAAGCTCACAAAATACCCGGCATTCAAAATCGCCCACAAGTGCAGCAGCAGAGAAGACCAATACTTGATAGATTTCGTTAAACGCTACCCAATTTTCCTTCGACCTTTTGACAACCTTAGGGGTACGACCGTCCATGTTTCCCTGACTCCACTCATCCAAAGAAACCAGTTGGCTCAATCAGATAATTTGTGTCGACGTACTAAAGCACCAGCCGATCTTCACCTTCGCAATCACACAACCACTGTAGAATACGAAGTTGACGGACGTACGGGTCTTGTTGGACAGAAGTGGGTTTGGAAGGTTGCAGATGACAAGCCTGGTCTCAACTGGCATAGGATCTGGAGAAGTCTTGTTCCTCCCCATTTGCAAGATATTTCGAACCTGATTGATTGGAGTGGTGGTTCTGACGGGGCTGGTCAAGCTGCTGAGCAAGGTCAGAATACTGCCATGACGCTATAGCTTTCATATATCATCTTTTGAGAAATTGGGCTAGCTGGTCAGGGACGGATGATTTGTATGTAAATAGATAGGTGCCCTGCGTTGTTTGTATTCGCAACGACTCTGCGGATGAAGGGTTTTCAGTGGGGCCATAAGTCAAGTACATGCCATAAAGACTTTCTTACTTCACAAAGTCACCGAGTCCAATAACACGGATGGCATGCTCGAATTCTCAAAAGTCACTTAAATTTACAAAGCCCTATTGTAAGTGTAGTTTGATGCCTACCAGATAATACAGAGCTACCTTCCAACCAATTACCTTCCCATCCAACCCCCGTCTACCACCATAACATGGCCCGAAACATATGAACTAGCTTTACTGGCTAAAAACACAACACTTCCTTTGAAATCTTCGGGAACTCCCCATCTACCCGCTGGTATTCTCTCACTAATACTTCTTAGCCTCTCCTTGTCAGCCAGCAACGCAGTATTCATCTCCGTAGCAATGTATCCCGGTGCAATAGCATTAACAGTAATGCCCTTTGAGCTCCACTCATTCGCCAATGACTTCGTCAGTTGAGCAACTGCTCCCTTGGAAGCAGCATATGCCGGCACCGTGAGTCCGCCTTGGAATGATAGCAGACTGGCGAAGTTTATAATGCTCCCCCTTCTATTTGTGATAGATGATGGCTCAAGAGTCAACATATGTGCTCCTACATCCCTGCACAGTGTAAAGACGGTTGAAAGATTAACTTGAATGACCTATGCCTTTCCATTAGCATATATAACACGCAGGTTTACCATACTGGTGTTAGCAGAGGAAATAATACCTCATTCCAGTCACTATCCGGAAATTGGTGGCTAGGATGTCTCCTCTGAATCCCCGCGCAATTGACCAAAATATTTATCTTATGACCATCCTTCAATATCTGTGGAGTGAGGGCTGCGACTTCAGATTGGGAGGCTAGGTCTGCGGTGTAGATTATTGCTTTTCTTCCCGTAGCTTCGATGAGTTTCAGTGTCGTATCTTGAGAGCGATCGCGCTGGAAATTCCGACGTTAGAAAACATACTTCTGGATATGGGAAGAATGGACGTACTTGTATCAGAATTATATCTGCCCCGCTCTCCGCTAGTGCTACTGCAGCAGCTTGTCCTATTCCTCGTGTTCCGCCGGTGACGAGGGCGGTTTGACCGGAAAGAGAGAAGAAAGAGGGTGTTTGAAAAGAGGGCGCTTGGTTTGACATAATCGATATAAATTTGTGTTGGTTGATTGAAATTGGGCTTGGGAGTATGGATAGGTATAAAATATATAAATTCTGTGTCTGTATACATCCCACTTCCGTCAGGGGCCGAAGTCCGGGATTTCTGCGGGGTTTGGCGGGGTAGTTGAGCAAAGGCCGTTTTTTACCGACAACACCTGATCGACAACACCTGATCGACAACACCTGATCGACAACACCTGATCATACCTATTTATATTATCAAGGTAGCATAGGTACATTTTCTAGGAGATTACCTAGGTATGCTACATATTTTGGGACTTCTCTCAAGCAAACCTTCTCGGAATTGCGAACCTGAGGGTTTTGGCCAGTGTCCAAGTTTACGGTACGGCCTCATTCATAATCCTACTTAGAATTGATCCAGATATACGTTACAATATTCGAAAAGGATCCAACTGAGCTGGGCTTTGCTTGAATATCACGAAAGTTGTAGTGTTGCAATTGGCCTTTGGAATGCAGCATTCCGTAAGAGAAAATAATTGCTCGGCTGGTGATTCAATTTGCGAGTGGTCTTGAAGACTAAGCGAAGAAGGGAGCATGCACCATTATGGCAATATGATTGCCATAACTCGTGCATATAAAGCTAAACCCATTAATTTGTGAAGAAGGTTTGAATCTTGGTACGTTTCGTTGTATGGGGTCACGCAGAGGAATCTTTATTCAAGTAATACAAGCATTCTTGGTTAGCATATATCTATAAGTGGGTATGTGACCAATCTAGCCCACTCCAGAGTGTGCATATGCAACACTGAAACCATCTCAAAATAGAAATTTTGAACAGTAAAACATATCACTTTCCAGTTTCATTGGTCATCCCAATTGCTTTTCCGGTACGCTCTACCCAGCCGCTGGGAGAGCTACTGTTGCAACAAAAGGAAATGAGAAAGTAGAAGGGAGAGTTAGGTAGGCTTATAGTAAACAATTTTTAAGTTATCACGTGCTCCTAACATTATTCAGGAAAGGTTTATAAGGGGCCTGGCTAACTAAGCGAGAACATGCAACATACAATCCTTTGGTGAACAACATAAGCGGCCTTCTTTTGTCCATGCGTTTTACCCTGCTTCTCAGGAGCCTTGTTCCCCTCCTATCTCTTACTCGTCGCTACTCGCTTCCCCCCCCCCTTCTATATAAGATACTGGGCCGTGAACTCTATAAAATAGGGAGCCTGCGGGATCGTAAGAATGCGAGAATATTAAGAGTGCAGTCAATTCGGGTAGTGGGTGTGCACGTAAATAATTAAGGTCTGATTTCACGTAAAACTTGAGTGAGGGTAGGGGTAGCGGTAGCGGTATTGTAGTAGTAGATGTATATCTTTTTCAATTCACGATATGGGAATTTTACGATTTGCGGTGTGTGGCTTAGTCGTAATTAGCTTTCTGGTACATTCAGAATAACGTGCTTGCCCGCTAAAGATACACATTTGTACCATACAGATATGATGTGCTGGCAGAATTGATTCGCACGCAAATCTGCTTCCCGCTTCCCACAATTTGATGATTATGATTCCTGGTTTCTCCCAAGCGCCCAGGTTTATTCACGGCGGAAAAGGCAGCAATTATAAGTCAAACGAACCCTTACATAAGTTTGCATTAAAGCCGCGTAAAATATTCTTGCATAATCGTAGGGCTTCCAAGTAGATGAGAAGATATCCTTTGTAAAATGAATTGAACGATTTCCTTCTATTAGGAAGCTCCCTTTTTCTTTTCTAAATTTCATGTTGAAGGAAGATCGTTCATTTGGTGAATGCGACTATACGCTGACGTGTATTATATGTACTTTCCAGTGACTGGGTCAATAATTACAGCCACTTAGCCCTGATTTCCTTCCTTCGGCCGTGGTAACGGAGTCGAAGGGTACGTATTTGATGGAAAAACTTTTGCGTGGGTGATTCAGTCGCACATGAGCTATTGCTGCAAGAATTCGGCTACCATATCAATCCTTAAAACATTTTCGAGACAGGCGTGGGCCACACCAAACGCGCGTGCCCTGTACTTGCATATTGTAAAGGCTTATACCTGCAATCCTTTCGCCTAATATATTGAACCGACCCGAGCTTATATGAACATGAATTAAACATATCTCACCGACCCTTTTCTTACTTTGTGCAACAAATCCCGAGCTGAATTCGATACAGGTCAGGGCGCAATGGATTACAAGCTGAGAGAAGTCATTGAGACTGGAGTTATATGCATACTATTCCCCATTTTTGCAGTTTGTCTTCGATTCTACGCTCGATACCGCCTCAAGTCGTTTTGGTGGGATGATTGGCTCATTATTCCAGCGGTGGTAAGAAATCCACTTCATCCTCCCCACGTCACGAACCAAAGCTAAATCACAGCCTCTACCAGTTATGTAATACTGGCTCAGTAATCGCTCAATTTTACAGTAGGAACTACATCATCGCTGCGTCACCACAAAACCCTGATCTTGATACTTAGGCGCCGCAAGGGGAAAACTTGGGCACAAGTATACATCAACTATCTTACCACCTGATACGCCAGGAGGATGGCCAAGAAACGATCCTATCACACTCAACTATGAACAAGTGAGTTGTTCCGCTCCTCCTCCGTATATTTTGCTTACATTTTGCAGGCAAAATACGCCATCACCATTCTTGCCACTCTCACCTTGAGCATCTCGAAAATATCAGTACTGCTGATGTATCGAAGAATATTTGCACGGAGAAAGTGGTTTTCACACGTTACAACAGTGGTTTTCACACGTTACAACAGTGGTTTTAGCAATTCTCTGTTTATGGGCGGTTGCTTTCACTTTCGGATTCATCTTCCAGTGCATTCCACTCAATTCCGCATGGATAGTACCAGAAGCTTACCTAGGGCCTCAATGTATAAACTTGCTACAGTTCTATATCGCGCTTCCTTCGTCGGTCATCGCAACAGACTTCCTAGTGCTAAGTCTGCCGATTCCGGTTGTCTGGGGATTACAGTTACCGGTAAAGCAGCGCCTCGCTGTTGTTGGGATGTTTCTGCTTGGGACTGTGTAAGTCAAAAGCTGGGAATCATGACTAGTGAAAAGTTTTGTAAACTAACGTAGAGACAGTGTCTGTGCTGCCGGTGTAACACGATTTATTGTTTTTCAGGCAAGTATGAAGACATGGGCGAACAACCACCAAACATGTGAGTCTATTAAGATCAAGCTTTCTCGAATGCGATAAAGGCTAACCGAATGCCAGACGATTGTGCCAATGCAATCATGTGGACCAATGTAGAAGCATTCCTGGCTATTGTCAGCGCATGCCTTCCCACGTTTCGCCCATTATTCAAATCTCTCAAGGAAACAACTATTGATTCCTATAACAGAGCTGGTGAAACTAATAGACCTTCATCTAGTCATTCTTTGCACAAGTTGACGAGATCAAACGACGATTCCTAGGTAGCGATGTACGGGACTAGAGATGCGGAATGAAGATGTAGAAACAAGAATGGGAGTCAATGGTTGAATGCTGTATTTATAAGCATGTTCCTTTCTTGTTCATCCTCCTTCCTAGTCTTTCGGAGCAGGGTGCTTCTGGCTACGGTCGGAAGAAAATACGATCAATAGAATCTACCAAGGCCTCACGCCACCACTATACACGACCCGGCCTGCATCGCTGTCTCTTTCTCCTCTCAAGACTTCCAAAACTAGCTTCGCTCCAATTTCCGGCTCCTCGGCACCCATTTTGCGCATCGCGTCAGGCGCACCATTCAACTCCGTGGCGAGAAACCCGGGACATATTCCGAAAACCTTTATATTATTTTCAGCCAGCTGCTGAGAATAACAAGCCAGAAGCATGTTAAGTGCTGCTTTGCTAGTACGATATGCGACCACTCATAGTTGAGAAAAGGGATCGGAAGGGTCGCTCCGCGCGTTTATTGACCCGAGAACGGAAGTAAGGAATACTATACGGGCAGACGTCGACTTTTTGAGAAGAGGCAGGAAAGCTTCTGTAACTCTTGAGGATCCAAGAAGATTTGTTGAAATGCATTCGTTCAGATTATCCGTCAGGGATGAGGCGTTGCTTGAAATACCGGCGTTGTTGATAAGTACATCAAGCTTTCCATAGTTTTCTGTGATATATTTGGCTGCAAGTTCAATGGATTCGTTGTTTGTGACATCCAACTGGATTTCGGAAGTATTCGATGGTAGACTTTGCTGAATGCCTTCGGTCTCTGGCTTTAAGTGTCTGCAACCGCGAAAGATGTGGTATGTAGGGAACGACTCTGATATTGCCTTGGAGGTTGCGAGGCCAAGGCCACGGCTGGCTCCTTGTAGGAATTAGTTCCAATTCAGACATGAAAGGCATTCGAGGGAATTTGCTTGCCAGTAATCAAGATGACAGCTTTAGGTTGCGCCATAACTTTCCTCCGAACAACGAGAATCCGCTGAAATGCCACTTAATTTTATTAAGACCGCTGAGTGAACAGGACATACTTAACATCTCTGTCATATTCATATATGAACAACCAACGAGACGCCACCAATGCGAATCGCGGGAATCCTCCAACTTCCACTCAATGTTTGTGATACGGTGTGCGAACCGCTCATGTGCAAACACAGGGTTCATTGCGCTATAGGAACCAATGTGGTTGTGAACAACGAGTATGAATGCAAGGGTTCTAGGATCAAGGCTGCAAGCGTTGAATATGATTCGACAGAAATATTCTCAACCACAGGGATTTTTGATGTGCGAATCGCGGAAGATCCTACTTCGTACTGGTTCTGCATCATCTGCATGTCTCATGCATGAGCCCGCATGTAACGGGAAATCCGTGAACAGTCTAAATTAGCCGGCGAAAAGGAACCCCAGCTTGACAACATTCAAACTTACTCTATCTAAATTCCTTATATTTCTAGATTGAAAAGGAAAAGTAATTTATGTTCGGTACTTCTATTAAGCGCGGCAACTTGTGAATTTTACCGATAAAGATATTCTCTATTGCTTAGATCTATTAATGAGTAGGGGGTTATTAGGACGAAATGATGGGAGGAATGGGAAATTTATTAACTCTAATAATCAGCGAGGTGGATTAGAGCTAAGGTCTAAGGATCTGGAAGAGAAGCGACTCATATGTATTAAAAGGGCTGAGGGATGTGGGTGAAAAATAAGGAGGTATGACTGAAAATAGGAAGAACATGAGAAGAACAGCGATTCCTTGAACTGGAGAATACGAAATGAAGATCTATTAAAGCATCGGCATGAGTGGTGAAAGCTAAACGAAGTTACCCTGACTTAGTATCAGATAAAATAAGTGGCAAGATTATTCTGTACACTCTGTATCAGCTAACCTAAACCAACACATATTCCCATACATATACTATAGTTCTTTTAAAGCCTACCTTGAAGTCAGGTAGGTCATTGCCTGGGGTCAAAGTGGCTGTTTCATACCTTGATACCAGCAAATAAATAACCACATAATTCTCTGACGGGTGTGCATAAAGGAGTATGTGAAGAATAGGCAAGAATACTGCCTTGGACAGTGACGCCTATTATCTATACATAATCAGGGGGCTCACGACAATAATTGCATCGAAAACATATTTCCATGATTATATAAGAGACAAACCCATTACTATATACAGATCTCTAGAAACTCTTATGCCAGTATTTTTCATACAATCAGCTTAGCTGTCACAAATCAATTAATAAATGAAGACATATTGATATATGTTATCCTAAATCGCTCGTATTACTGTTTTAGTTATATAAGGCTTCTAGAAGAACGTGGTTTTAGTATAGGTAGTACGGGACCACTCCTCTAACATGGTCACGTGAATGTCATTTCAGTAGATTCAGTCTGACTAGTCACTTAGATACATGCGTCTAAGAAACAAAGAACAAATAAGCTAAATACTTGGATATCAGAAAATATTTATGTCCGATTCACCGTTGTACCAAAAAAAAAAACTCCGGAAGATACATGCGTTTTCAGAAGCCCTCGAAACATGACCAAACTTGTGGCTGACTTTGGTCCATATTGTTAGAAGGGTAAATGAGAATCCGAACCCCAAGGCAGATATCGTCTACGACCACTTCACTCTAGAGCACTAGCCACAAGACCCTTTCATTGAGTAATCATATTGTTAAATCATTATTGGCGCTCAGGCGTGATACGTTGATAACGAAATTTTGAGGCTCCATGAAGTCTCCAGGGTCATTGGTAGATGGAAAATCCCCACCCTTAAGGCAAGGTTACTTACTGTACATACTCCCAGAGTAAGCACGCGAGCAAGCATGAGTCACCCGTTAAATTCTAGCCTTCTTTCAAAACAAGCCTCACACTGTTCATGACAACCTTTTTGCGATAGGAACAATGGCTAATCCCGCGAACGTTATCGGTTCAAGTCCTTGGAGTCCAAACAATATACTTTGTCCCAAATGCAGACGCATATTACGGCTCATCAATGACTCCTCGGTCTCTCATGTTTTTGATCCCTGGGGAGGCATCTTCATTCTCGGTACACAGCAAAAGTATTGTCTCACTAGGAAGATCCAGGACTAATGACTGTCATCTATGTGTCCAAATCTGGGAAGCGAAGAAAACAGATTTCCAGCTGCTGTTGCTAAATGAACAAGCCGGTGGGACTGCTGTCTCACTTCTTTACCGGTGGGAATTCATGGACAGAAAGTATACGAAAACTTTAGAACAATGGGACCATGAGCCTAAAAGACTGCGATTCATTATAAGTGACGACTTGAAGAATTTTGGAGAATGGTTTAAAGACGATCTAGAACGAGAATCGAATCGCAAGAAGGAACAAATGATATTCTGGATGACCGCCGTCGCCGATCCGCCAGTGAAAAGAACTCCCAGTTGTAATCTCAATCTTATTCACAATATAAACACTGGATCCGGGGAAACTCATCAACTGGCAAGGATGTGGGTTGAAAATTGTTTTGTGAATCATTCTTGTGGAGATTTATACAAAGCCAGAGGTCGTTGGAATCCCACTCGAGTCTTGGATCTGGAAGCCTCCGATAGCCACAATAGCATTAAGTTGTGGGAACCTGGAACCGGGCACAAGAATATCACATACGTCACGCTGAGCCATTGTTGGGGTGCGCAGACGTTTCTCTCGTTGACGGCGTCTACATACGAACAATTTAAGAAGCATGTTCCCTCAGAGGCACTTACTGATACATTCAAGGATGCGGTGTCCACAACTCGCAAACTTGGAATCCGACACTTATGGATCGACTCTTTATGTATTCAACAAGGGAATGAAGTTGATTGGCTAATTGAGGCCAACCGGATGGGAGACGTCTACAAATACGGCTACTGCAACATCTCGGCTGCTTTCAACGAGAAGTCAAAAGCGAGTCTCTATGTCGAACGTAACCCTTTGACAGTCAAACACCTGGTACTAGCAATTGACAACGGAGAGAGACCCCAAGAACCCACGGCACTGTATCTGTTCCATCGTCAATTCAACGAATGGAGCGACATCGAAGCAACTGTCAACACTCGAGCGTGGGTTTCCCCAGGAGCGCGCCATATCGCCACGTACCCTTTATTTTGGCTCAAACCAAGTCTTCTTTGAGTGTTCTTGGGGAATGGCATCCGAGGTGTGGCCCATGGGTATCGCTGTAGATTGGATGAATATGAGCTTCGAGAAGACCTGGTCATTGAAGACGAACTTCCAAGAACTGCTGCCAAACAGCTCGGCAGAAGAAATCAAGAATAAACAGCACGACGGATACCAAGAATTGAGCAATTGGGAAGGCCTCATGGAGTATTATTCAAACTGTGGTATTACCAAAGATTCAGATCGCCTCATAGCTATCAGTGGTTTAGCAGAGATCGTCCGGCGCAAAACAGGCCTTGAATATTTTGCAGCCCTTTTCAACTTCCAGATCGAGGAACAGCTGTTGTGGACGGTGGTAGACCGGAACAAATGTGAAAGAGCTCATGGTAATACCGCTACTTGGGCCCCGAGTTGGTCGTGGGCTTCGGTGAAAGGCAAAGAAGATAATCAAGGCAAAGTAAGATTGCACAATTACCGGGGTTTTTGGTCTAAAGACTCAGCCGTGACCACACGTGTCACAATTGTCAGTATTAATGTGGCTACAGATGAGGAACACCCCTGTGGGAAACTTGACATGAAGGGTGATAACACTCTCGAGATGCGTGAAAAACTCACAAAATATTACCCAGAGCTGGGAGTAGCGGCTTCGAACGATCGAAGACAGTTTTGGAATGTAGGAGGCGTATATTTTGATACGATAGATGTGGTGCCAGAGGAAGCTTATTGCTTTTTGTTATTGAGTAAGACGGAGTCTCAACGGGCACCGAATATAATAAACGAGTGTTGGGCCGGGAGTCTTTGGGGGGATTGATGTTATGTCCAACGAAGAAGAGGGGGGAGTTCACCCGCTGTGGCATATTTCGGGTGCCATGTGGGGAGAGTTCGAAGAAGTTACAGAATAAATTTAGCGAGTCTGAGGGGTTGGCAGGGAAGAGCGAGCTAGACTTGCCGTTTGAGAAACGGTGGGGTCAGGTGGAGTTTGTTGTGAAAGTTGTTTAAGCAATTGATCGCGAGGATTGGTTAGTTTGAGTTAAGAAGGAAGTGTTGTGCTGGATCCACCATATCACCTGATGTGGAATCCACTTATTCATTATTGTATTATTATTTGTACAGCGTCCGTATTGAGATACGGCTCCACCTCTCATTTACCCCTTTCTTTCTCATCTTGCCCTTTTTCCTTCCCTTATAAATACTCTGTATAATAGCTTCTCAAACAATCAATCAATTCTCCATGACCTTCAGTACACCACACTCTTCAGCCCAACAGGAAGATATTCCTGAGATGCGGATGATATTATTGCAGTGTACAGAGGGACAATATGTTCTATTCTCTGTCAGGTTCAGGTGGCTAGCTACCGAATTGTCCAGAGCTGCTTGTGGATACTAAAAACCTATGCCTTTAATTTCTACGTATGCCCAAGTGCTGGTGAGGTAATTTATTAAACGAAAATCAGCCTTTGTTTACTCACTGCTTAGACAGCTAGAACATTCAGGATACACTCATATAGATATCTCACCCGAGGCTTAAAGATTATGAATAACGATGAATTCTGCTAGCTCTATAGTTCCCTTCCCCCTGTATGCCTCTGACGTCACAAGACCTTGTATTGGAAAGTCAGATTTAATGCTACACAGCGTAGTGACTTATGATACCGTCTTTCATAATAAATATCAACAACGGCAGTTCAATAGTGTGACTAGCTTGACATATCCGCAGTGCGACTTCGTGATTAAGAGGCTACGTCTAAAGAATAAATTGTCTTACTCGCAGGTTTTGAGGTAGTCTTGGTCCAACGATTGCATTCCAACATAGATACGGAGGCTTTGAATCTCTGTAGCAGCACAAAACCCTAGATATATATGCACCTTTTGTTCATTAATACAAAATGCTAGTAAATTAGCACAATGTTAAAAACCATATATCAACCTAACAGTTAAAGCGCCAATCATGACGAATGTGTTTTTCTCTAGTTAACCTTGAAATCTAGGGAAGTCTGTAAACCCTATGCCTCGCTTATATAATGTCGCAGACATACTCACCCCTATTCCATAGAAGAATTTCTTGCTCTGATCTAAGCATATTTTATTTGGTTGTGAACCTAGAAATTTCTAGAGAATCTCTTTAATTCCTCGGGAAGTGTTTCAGATGCCACACAGTGCTTGGCATATTCAACCAACCTTGGGTAAAGGATTTGGATTCCAACCACAGTATGAATTGTGACCTTCCCCTGAGAAGATCTTGTAGAACGTTCATTCGAATTTCCCCGCCCATGTCGCTAGCAACTTATGATACGAGACGTACATAATAGATTAAGCGAACAATGGAGCCCTAGATATTATTGTAATTTGCGTAAACAATCTTTCTCAATGATTTTCAGGTGTATACTTACTGAAGTTAACTTATTTAAGGGTTCTCTGCTAGTAGGGGCTTTTGATCAGTCAATCGGGCCAGAACAACCCTTTCATAGGTTATGTGATTTAGATTATCTGGAACTTGATCTTTTAGAGTGGGATTGCGGAATATTCCAGACATCCGTTATGTGTAAAAGAATATTTTAGGAGTGTCTAATTTCCTTCAGGGATATCAAGAATGGGATGGAATTCCAGGTGCCAAACGTTGTTCCTGCTTCTGTTGCAACTTCGTTCTCAAGATCTTTTGGTTAGGTTTGTTTTCCTTTGACCTTGCCCTTGGATTCGCTCTTAACTTCCTATGGCAATTGCAACTATGATGAAGCCTTTAATCAAATTTAACCAGAATAGATGCATTCAAGATTTCTAAGGCAAGTAAGTCGATGTGTTCGCGAGTGGTTAATTTTTCTCTGGGAGTACGGGGCTGAAAGAAGGACGTGCCAGTCTTTTATAAAGAGGGTCCGTAAAAGACAAGATATCATTTATAGAGCCTTTTACTTAGGCAGATAAGTCTTCTAATTTCTCTAGGTACTTTTGTCGGTCTACCATCTAGGAGATTAGCCTTTGTCCCTTCCAGAGTATCGAGGGGGTGAAAAAACGTGCACTCAAAGTAGAGTAAAGGTATCCACTTTTAGAACACCCTCCCCGTAATATACATTTGTTCGGCCAACCAGGCAACATCTCCAAGCAAATGGGCCTCAATTTAACCCATTTATAGCATCCACTTATATCCACTTTTACGTGCACGTTTTTTCACCCCCTCGATACTCTGGAAGAGATAAGAGTATAAGCTATTGCTTATGTTGCGATATATGCACGTGTTTAATCACGTGATAATTCAGGCTATATATAGCCTGGATTCCACGAAGTAGACAGAACATCAACGATTATTTAGTATACCAACCGCCATAAGTGTATGCCTGTTGTTCGCCTTGTGACACCGCGATATGCCCTATATTTATCTCACCAAGTTATACCAACAGCTTATAAACAATCTATCTATATTATAAAGCGTTCCCTCGTAATCCCTTTGACTCCTCCATACCCTTGAAAACTACTGGTAAGTACTTGTATAGCTTTTTCCTATCCCCCTAACCCCCTTTCTCTGCCTTTGTATCTCTCTCCCCCTCCCTCTCCCTCTCCCCGCCCTCTCTCTCTACCTAGGTAAGTAGTAGGTTTCTTAGTTTCTTAGTTTCTTAGTAAATAGGTAGATAGCAAACAAGTAAATAAATCAAGAGGTTCGGCGAACGTCGAGCTACTAAACAGGGTCTATAAGAATCCGACCCTGTATGATAGTATACTTTAGGTAGTGGCTAGAAAGTTTGCGCTACTTTTAGTAAGGCGGGGTCCGTCAAAGTTAGGCACCGAGCCGAGAGCTCGTCTCGTAACATATATAGTCTTATAATAGAATTTTCCATTTATTACTTATAGGTGAGATCTAGTACTCTATTTTTGTAAGACTAGTGTTACGGAACGGTCTTAGCTAGCCGAGACTCCTGCAATCCTGTCTCTGCTGCCTGACCTTGTCTCGGTTGCCTAGGTGGATGCCTAGTATTCTAGTAGCTTCCACTCGGTCAGGGTCGTCTTATGAAGACTCCTTGCTCCCTTAGCTAGCTCTTTACTCCTTAATCCACTTTTACAGCTCATTCTGACAGTCTCCTGTTTTGTCCCTGACAACTAGAGTAATATTTAAGAATAGCGGTCGAAATAAGTTAAGTCGTAGTTCTTACTTAACTTCTACTTAAGTAGGTTTTACTTTATATAACTTAACTCGCTAAGTAATTAAGTTAAGGGTTATACTTAATTTAATTGATTAATATAGTACTTTTATTCTAGACCGCTTATTTATATATTCTTCTATAATAAATAAATGATAAAAACTCTATATAATTACGTTATTTAGTCTAAGAATACTTAGTATAATATTAATATAAACCCTCTTTTTATTTTATTTACTTACAAGAAATAAGTTAATTCTAAAACTTTACTTTAGCTATTCTTAAAAGGGTTTAGAGTAATTCACTAAACTAAATCTATTTTATTACTATATTTAATACGTTCTAATATAATTATAATATAAAACTGTTTATAGTTTTTTAGAACTTATTCTAAGTAGTTTTATCTAACGTATATAATTATAAAGTCTAGGAGAATAATAGTAATACTTATTATTTATTCGGGTAAATAGGTATATATATATAACTGTTTTCCTTAAGACGTTCTAGTAAAGTAATATTATAAGAATTAGAAATAGTTCTACTAGTTCGCGTAAGTAACTTAATCTATTAATATTATCTATAAGTTAGCTTTTATTATAATCTGTTCTATAGAAAGTTTCTTAGTTACCTTTACTATTATAGTTTATAATCCCTTTCGCGTAAGTACTTAAGCTAGTACGGTATCCCGAATCTGCTACTAAACCAGATGACTAAATCGCAAATCGCAAATCGCAAAAGCTATATATTTACTATTACTACTATTCCGTATGCCTATACCCCGCACCCCCACTCTTAGCCCCTCGTGCCTAGGCATTTTCACGTGTATTTCAACTACCCCCGGGCATCACTGTCGCCTATCCTCACTGTCGCCCACTCTTACTAACGTATAAGGGTTGTGCCCTAGTATGTTGCTTGGAGAAGAGAGAGAGAGAGAGAGAAAGTGGGGGGGTGGGGGAGGGGAATTAAAGCGGGGAAATATTTTAGTCGTGTGTATTACTTATTCCCAGCCCACGAATACTAACTTCTTAAAACGGCTAGGCTAGTACGTGTTACGCTAATAATTGTTTGCTACCTACCTTTCCTCGTTCTCCCTTATACTCGTTCTCCCTTATACTCGCTCTCCCTTATACTCGCTCTCCCTTATACTCGCTCTCCCTTATACTCGCTCTCCCTTATACTCGCTCTCCCTTATACTTACTCTTCTCTTTCTTTACGACAACGATAGCGACAACGATTAACGATAGTAACAACAATAGCGAGAGGGGACATAGGGGTATTTGTTAGCCGGGGGGTAAGGGTAGATTTAAAGGAGCGTTTTAAGTTATATTCGAGGGGAGGAGTATTCGAGTTAAATTCACGCTTATTTACTTATATCGAGTGGTTTTACCTTTAATTCTAGCGCAGGCATATAACCCTAACCCTAAGCCACTTTGCGATTTACGACTTACGATTTCCTATAAAACAACCTCAAAAGTAACTTTTGCGATTTAAGATTTAGTTATCTGGTTTAGTAGTAGATTCGGGATGCCGTAGCTAGATAATAATAATTAATTGTTAACGTAGATGAAAATTAGAGACCTTCTAGTATGTTTCTATTACGACATCTTAATCCCTTTAAATTCTCTAAATATAACCCATAAATCGTAAGTATATAAAACAAGTTAGAGAATAAAGTAGAGTAATTATACTATAGTAACTTTCAAATTAAGGTGTAAAATAAACAAAGCTCCTAGAATACTATTATAGAAAAGGTTCTAAACAAGAGAATCTAGCAAGTCAAATACAGGCTCATCTAGAATTAAGGGACTGTAAATGAGTGAATATCAAATCCTTCAAGTGAACAGATCGGAGATTGAAGAAGAAATGCCAACCCAACAATGAGTGAATACAACATCCCAACGGTGAATAAATACATATGCACGCTTAGGGCTAGGGCCACAAAACACCGACGGGCACAAATCAAAACAGGCAACCAACCGTGAATTCCTTTATTTAAACCCTCCCACCGACCTACTTTCTTCCTAAACCACTACCAAACCGACATCCAAGATGGCAGTAAGTACAGCACATCCAAACATTCCCAACCTCCCAAGCTAAGCGAATATAGTCCCCATACTTTGATAAGCGACGATGCTCATGCGATGAAGGTGACCAGGCCAATGTTGCTGCCGCCGCCGCTGCTGCTGCAACCACAGAGCAGCCTGCGGAAGTCCCCCAGGTCGAGGGCACTGGAGAGGCGGCCTCCTCTGCTGCAGTACCGGCTACAGAGCCTCGCGGTACTAGGCGCAGAGAGATTAGTAACAGCGTAGTCGAGGGCATGAGAGCACAGTTCATTGAGGATAGTCTCGATGATAACACTTTGCCCGGTTTTCCCTCCCCACAGAAGCTCGCAGAACAAAGCGATACTTTCCTCGGCCAGCACTTCAGATATTGCATGAATGATCTTGAGGCACGTACCAATTCCCCTCGCGAACACTCAATTGCATTCTAACACGGGCAATAGCATCGAAAGAATATCAGCGGAGACTACATCATTGTCTACACCCGTCCCCTCGGCCAATCCACAGGCGCACCAGATGATCCCTATACCAAAGTCTACAAGCTGAACCCCAGCATCCGCAAAATCACCGTCTATGGCGAGCACCGCGCTGCCACCGCCGACGACAACCCCCAAAACTGGGACCGCGCCGAAATCTACCTGAAAGGCCAGAAGAACATTCAAAACGTCCAGCACGCGCGGATCCTCTTTGATAAAATCCACGAGCAGGACAACACCATCGTCCAGTGCAGCGCCACCGCTATGCAAGGCCGCGAGGACTACGAGACCATCGATTTGCTGGATTGGATTCTCCACCAGGGGATCAATAATGACCAAACGCATGTCTCCTTTGGTTTCAAGCTCCTCGGCTCTGACCCCTCTGCACCCACCGCGCCGCTCGGCTTGAACTTCATTGAGATCAAGTTGCCGTTCTTCAATATTGAGCTCGACACCTTTGATACTCAGCTGATCATCGCGGCCAAGTTGCCCTCGCGTCGTGATATCTTTGATTTGCCCAGTCGTGAGTTGTTTCGGCAGCCGGTTTATTTGCCGCCTAACAATGAGACTTATATTCTGGTCACCCTTCCGCCTAAGTATCAGATGTTGTTGCCCAAGCTTGCGCCTCGTCCTCCTCGACCGAATGCTGGAGAGGCTTCGGGTAGCGGTAGTGGAGTGGGAATGATGCAGGGTTCTGGTGGGGGAGCTGCTGAGGGTGAGCTACTTGAGCCGCGCAAGTATGAGCCTCCTAAGTATCAATGAAGAACGGTTGGTGGTGGACATAAGAGTGACGAGATTAAGAACAAGGAGGCTGAAGCTATTGAGCAGAAGGAGCCTGCTGCTGCTGAGGGAGAAAAGGAGAAGTATGTTTGGAAGACTGTCAACGCTAAGAATGACAACGACGAAGGAAAGGGCAAGGGACCAGAGGCAGTAGTCGATGAAGCCACATCTAGCGCTACTGACGAAGGAAAGGACAAGGAACCGCCCAAGTACGTGTGGCAGACTGTCAAGAAGTCCGAGGACGATACCACCGAGGATCCCGATACAAAGATGGAGATGTGATTTTGATGAGCTATCATTAAATGACTTTGTCACTTTGATGCTCAGAAAAATCGTTAATACTTACAGACTTTGTGGCCCAATGACATGTTATTAGAGTCGTTAGAATAGATAATCTCTAATACAAAGTAATTGCTGAGAGCTTCATGGTTTTGTGTTTCGCTACGTGAGATTTGATATAGTAGTAAGCGTTCCTAACGGAAATAATTGAGATGATGGCCTGTTTCCATAAGCAGAATCGAAAACCATATACCATATCATCCTCCAATCCAGCCCCATCTCAAAAAATCTGCCAAAATTCGTCTTACCACAACTGCTTCCATGAAAACCCTCTTCACCCCAGCCGAAATCCCCCTTCATCATCGTCCTTCACCAACTCCCATCCTTACCAAGCATCCTCCCCTCAAAGGTTTCACTAACATCCTCATCAAACTCACGAGATCCCTCCGCAGAAACCTTTCAGTCCTTTCACCCTCGCATATACTTGGCCCCACAAAAGGGGTAAGGCTAAGCGATGTATATCACGTGATAGTTTTTATCATCTGCTGACAGGAGCCTCCATATCTTGGCATAAGACCTTCTACCAGTAAAGATTTTACTATCGATTACTTGATTCAAGACCATAAACAGACAATTCGCCATCTAGCTACTAGAATTATATTTCGTAGGAGGGGATAATGAAGACCCAAGCCACTCGAGATCTCACGAAACCCCAAGTACAGCCCAAAAGCAAAAGATCACCTGGGCACAGATCATGTGCAACAAACATAATGCAAGCCAGCAACAAGCACATCATCCTCATTCATAACGCCATCATATATCTAAGCACCCAGCCAACAAGCTCAGACATGCATACACAACCCCAATCAAGTGAGCCCCCTATTACTATCGATAAACAGATCCCTTCATCAATCATAACCCCAAGCAGAGTTCTTCCACAGAACAACCTCTCAATACTCCCCCGCCCAACAACGAAACGCCAACAAAATACTCCATAGCCAGAGCAAAAAAAAAAGTATAAACAGGGGGTATTAATTGCCAGACGTCGTCTCTCGCTCCTTTTTATCTATCCCCACAAGAATCACGTAGGCATCATCCCAATGCCACCAAATCCCCCACCACCCCCTCTCCCGGAAGGTTTATTGTAAGCAAACGAATTCATCATAGAAGAGTTCTCGCTTGCAGCCGCCTTACTCGACTTTCTCCAAGTAGTAGTCGACTTCTTTCCTCGACTCCGAGCACCCCCTCGCTTCGACACACCAGCGGCATACGAACGACCCGAACTCGAGCCCGTGCTATTGCGAGGAGCCCTCTTACCGCCACGACCACCTCTACCGCGAACCGTGGAGTTGCCCTTGTACACCTTGGCAGGGGCCGCAGATTGTTGTCTTGCAGCTGCTGGACGACTTGAATCTCGCGACGATGATGTCGGAGCCAATGATCGGTTGAATTCTTCAACCTCTCGCGGCACAAAAAAGTGCGAATGTTCCTCCGTTTGTGACATATCATCATCATCGTACTCCTCCTCATCAGTCTCCTCATCATCACTGTCGACGAGATCAATGACAATCTGGTGGTTTTCGTCCATGTCTTGATTGTGGCCAGCCTGCATCATGTCGCTATAGCTCTCGTGGGCGCTTTTGATCAAAGGGATGAACTTTTTGCCATACAGTCTTACTTTTTCCTGGTCGATTCCAGGTATTGCGAGCATAGCGCTTTCAGTCACGGTCCAATTTATAGCCATATCCCTAAAATTGTTCTCAGTAAAGTATGGTTTTCGATGACCGTCTCTGTTGCGTAATCTTTCGTCCTGGGCCTTTGCTGCTTGGACAAAATCGGTAATGCAAAATCGGTGCATCTCTGGTAAATCGCGCATTCGATCATCGGTCGTGATGGGAGGTCCAAGAGGCCGAGATGAAGCCCGGGAAGCCCGCTTTGGTTTGGAAATGTGGTTGAACGCGTCTTCGGTGTAGCCATAATCATCGCTTTCACTATCATCGGGAATGTACCGGGTTGAAGCTTTATTGCTCTGCCTTCGTGAGGTAGGCGTGAGAGGCGACGTAAATTGGGTTGCAGTTGGTGGCGCTTTCGAGTTGCGAGATGTACTGGGAACATCCTCCTTGTCCGCCGGTCGTCTTGAGCTCCTGCTAACCCCCATAGGCGGTTTCGACGCTTTCATCATGATTTCTAGTCGCTTCCGACCCGTCTCGAATGCTCTATAATTATTACCAAGCTAATACAGTTAGAAAATCCAATTTTGTGGGTAAGAGCAGAAATCAGAAAGAATATCAAGTACCTTAATGTACGTATGGGGAAATTGGCCCTTCATGCGGGTATATTCCTCCACGACGTTTTCCATGAGAAGCTTGATGAACAGGTGCTCGACTTCATGACGCGCTAGCTGACTTGCTATTCCATAGCCTTCCATATCTTTGCTATTCCTCTCTTTCGACTTTTTGTTGTTTGACCCGCGTAGGATGTCGACTATATCTAGAAGGGTGACATGTTCGTGATCTAGAGCGTTAATAACCTTGATGGCAGCTTGCACAAGATTTGTTACGTCCTTCGGCTCAAAGACAGCATCGGAATTGCAATTGTCACAACCATGGCCACATTCATTCTTGTTGAACCGCTCACCGAAATAAGAAAGGATATCGGCTCTGCGGCAGTCGCTCCGATTCTCGCAAAATTGTACCATCCGCTTTAGCATCTCTCGGTGCCTTTGCTTCACTGCTGCGTCACCCTCACCATCGTCAATGAACTTCGTAAGTATTCTGGTGTCCTGGAAACCATAGTATAGATAACAGGAAGAAGGTTTGCCGTCTCGACCAGCCCGACCTGTTTCCTGGTAGTACCCTTCTAGACTTTTTGGTATCGTGTGATGAATGACAAAGCGAACGTCTGGCTTATCGATCCCCATACCAAAAGCGATAGTGGCTACGACCACTTGCCATTTATTGGCTTGCCAGTCGCGCTGGACTTCTTCTTTCATTGCAGGGTCCATACTAGCATGGAAGTGATGTGCTTTTATTCCCCTCTCAACCAGTTTGGCAGCCAACTCTTCACAATTCTTTCGAGAGAGGGTATAGATAATTCCACTTTGCCTTTTATGCTTTCCCAGAATCAACTCTGTCATGCTTTCCATGCATTCGGCACCAGAACCTTTGCCTTTCTTGGTGCGAATTTCGTAATACAAATTGGGTCGATTGAAACTTTGCTTGAATTCCTGACAGTCCTTCATACCCAAATTGTGAATACAATCCGCCTTGACATTCTCTGTGGCTGTTGCGGTTAATGCAATCAGTGGCACGCCAGGGTATTTCTGTCGAACGGCCGACAGGTTCTTATAATCAGGACGAAAGTCGTGACCCCATTGGCTAACACAGTGAGCTTCATCGACAACAATTCTGGCAAGTCTTTTTAGCGCATGCAGCTTAGACAGATAGGACATAAGCTGCCCGCTTTTTCCTATCATCTCGGGGGTTATGTAGAGCAGTTGGATAAACTGCTCTGGCTTAGGTTGCCCAAGAGTTGAGAATATCTTGTCGCGTGCGGTCTGAGGGGTCTCCCCATTGATCAGAAATGCTTGGATATGCCGAGCGGTCAAGTGGTCAACTTGATCCTTCATGAGACTGAGCAATGGAGAGATGACTATGGTGACACCTCTGGTATTTCCGGATTGAACCACAGCTGGCAGCTGATAGCACAAGGATTTCCCACCACCAGTGGGCATCAAAACAAATGTATCTTTTCCAGACAAAGTAGCATTGATTGCCTCGAGTTGATGCTTTCTGAAACCGCGAAGACCAAATCGGTCCTTGAGGGCTTTTTTGACATCTGCGGACCAAGGATGATTCATCATACTGGCATGCGCTGCATCGGTTGTATACATGGTTCGTTTCTCGCCAGACTGCCGCGATTTTGAAGCAGTCGAAACGCTTCGAGAGCTTTCCCGAGTACTTGATTTAGGCAAAGGTTTTGGGAAAGATTGCTGTACTTCGACCTGAGCGGCCACGGCAAGCAAGTCCGGGTCATCGTCATCAAAATCATCCCCAAAGTCTTCCTCTGTAACTTTGCCCTTTGTTTGACCACTGACTCCATTGGTTTCCTGGATTTCCTGCTCTTCATTAATGAGGAGGTCAAGCTCGTCATCGTCGAGGTCATATTCCATGGGGGTAGGATCACGTTGAAAAACTGGCTGTCGCAGGGCTCCTTGGTTCTCAGCCCGGCCACTATTGAAAGACGATGCTTCCTGTTTCTCAGCGGGGAATGGTATAGCTGTGCGTCGAGCGGGAGACGGCGACCCTCGGTATTGATTGCCAAAAGACTCATCAGTCGCGATAATCCTGGAAGAGGGCCGGTGGTATTCCGCCTCGGGGTCAGTTGTGTTGGAGCCTGTAGAGACTTGTGGCGGCAGGGGCGGGAACTGAGTCTGCAAAACTACATGAGCGATCCCAAGGCTGCTTTGTCCAGAAGGGAGAGGCGGGATACGGTCCTGCGGTTTTGGTTCCATTGGGGCAGAGCCAGAGAGACCCATTGCAGTTTCTGATTCAGTACCAAATCCATCCTGTATGGCACCTGACTTATGAAGTAACTGAGAAATCTGTCCCTCAAGCTGTTTTATCTGACGAGAAAGCGCTGCAATACGCTCCTCCTCCGGGGTGGTATCGGCTCCTGCATCTGTTTGCAGGAGCATTTGCTGGACAACGGTCCTTTTGTCTCCCTGGAGGTCCCTACATATCTGACCAAGTTCCTCCAATGCAACATAACATTTCTGCTTGTCTAACAATTCCATGCGATGGGTTTTCAAGTCGACCGGGACCAGTTTACCCTGATCCATGATTGCCATACTCTCCCAAGCATTTTGTTTCACCAATGCCTCTAATCTTTGCTGATACGAAGAGATAGCAGCAGGATACTTCAAATATGTGTTTACTAGATTCCTGTCGTCGGGCGTTAGGGACGATGAAAACAGCTGTTGGCTCGGCTGCAAAACTAGGGGCTTGGATTGGGATTGGCTTTTGGATGGGGAATCTCCTTTGGGCGCAGACAAAGCGTGTTCCTGTGGCTGTGTGGGGTTTTCCGATATAGGTCGCAAAGGGCTTCCAGCTTTTGAACCAGGACTTTTGAGGGCCCTTGGCTTCCGAGTAGGTGACATGAACGAAGGGATCTCCTCCAATTTGCTACTGAGGGAGTCTATAACTCCGGGGTGCTTCCTAGCCGATTGCCTATGAGAACAAGTAACTTTCACCTCTATATCTGAATCCTCGTCGTCTGTATCTCTGATCGTATTGTGCACACGACGCTTTTTTCTGTTTCGGGGAGTCTGTAGGGAGGAAGTAGGAGAGTTTTTTATGTTCACAATTGGTGATGCCTGCACCTGAATAGTTAGCTGTGGCTTTGGTGTCTGACTGCGGGTAGCTATTCTGGACTCGGAAGGTTCCTCTAAGGTCGGACGAGATGATTTCAAAGTGGTGATGTTCCCGGATGGGACTCGACTTATGCGGGTGCGAGTTTCAACTGTTCGAGTAGTTTCCATTATTTCAAATTCATCCAATTCGTTTCCGGGATCCACATCTTCGATGCTCGGCTGCAATACTTTTGCATCACGAGCCTCGGTCTTCTGGTCACGTTGGGAGAGGAATATGTCTTCGATGTCCTGGAAATCATCGTTGTCATAACTTTTCTGGCGAGCGCTTCGGAATTGCTCCTCTGGCTTAGCACTCTCTTTTCGTTTTCTAGGGCTCGTCCTCGAGATATCATCGCTCTTCCGTTTCTTGCCTGCGCGTCCCAGAGGAAGCGGCTCCGCTCTCGACGCCGAATCCTCCCGCCAAAGTGTTGTTGGTTCCCCAAATACCAAATCTGAGCTGCTTGAAAGTGAATTGTGTTCGTATCCATAATCATCGCCCGTCAAATCAACAGACTCAATCTTGGTTTCTACACGAGGAGTTTGTTGTGGGGTTTGCGGGGTTTGTAGACGTCTCGAAAGCCTGGCGTGTGAACGTTCGACTGGGGTCTTCGAAGTTGGCGTACCTACTGCCATTAGTGGAAAACTTGAACAGGTAGCTTATTTCAACATACCACTCCTTTCTCTCAAGAAAGTGCCATAGGAACGCGACAAAGTAGACTTGGGCGGAGCAGCCGTACTACTAGTTGAGGCCGGGGTGGCAAGTTGTTGACTATAAAGGCCCGGCCGTGGGGGCTTCGAAGAAGAACCAAGCTTTAACATCTGTGAGTCCTCTGAAGCTGATATGCCCTCTCGAGGCTGGGGTTTGGGTGCAACCGAGTGAGGGAGAGGTGGCCGGACAAATGTATTGTTCGTCTCAACGGGTGTTCGATTTCTCGCGGGATTTGGCACAATCCTGGGAGTTTCCTCCTCCGCCTCCTCCAAAAAGTTGGAATTCTCTTCGACTAAGTGTGCGGTGGTATTCCGATTCGCGTTCGATTGGACAATATCAAGGGCACTTGCAGGTGGAGCGACGCCGTGGGATATGAGCCAGGAGATGTGCAGATTGAGATTGTGTCTAGTCATGAGGGCTGGACAACACCGATATTATGCCTGATGAACCCATTGGTATCGTTGGCAGACTGTCGCAACCGTTGGACGATTATTTCGAGGGCGATTGGGCTTTTGAGGTGGGTATCTGGTGGATTAGAGTCGGTGGTTGTTGAATTCGCCTTTAGGTACTTTTCCGGTAGCGTAGGCCCAACCTTCGAAATCGCGTCAATAGATTTGGCGCGTCGCTGCGCTGACCCGTGACTTCCCCACCTCGCCCCCTCTGCCTCTTTCACTGCTGGCACAAGCTTTCACGACCTTGTGAACTCCAATTGTGCCTCTGCCCATCTTTTCCATACAATCGTCACTTTTCAATCACACTTCCATGATGCAAAGAGAGGTTAGGTGCAGGTGCTTGCATCTATTTCTCACCATCGTGCCATTGTTGCCTCTCGTGCCTCTCGTGCCTCTCCCTCTCTACGAGTACGCGTCTACCATGCCCATGCTTCCACCAATCGAATCCAATAACTGCATTTGGGGAAGCCTTTTCCGAAGCAACAACGCAATAATGTCTGGTGTTGGTGTTGATCAAATCAGAATTACAGCTCCTTGAATATATCTCCTCCTTTAGTCTTTTGAATTCGTTTGTCGCATTCTGAGTGGATATAAATAGCTTATCTGAAAAAGACGGTGTGTTTTCATGAGTTACTCTCTCGCACTTCAGTTCATCCTCTTTTCCACCCACAAGCCCAAGGCCATATCCGATTTAGAAATCTCAACTGATATCACCACTCCCAAAGCATCATTTGGGAATCACTTGGTGTTTGTATTTCGAATCCTCTTTCAAGTTACAATGGCAAAGCGTTTCTCCGGCACCAACGGGCAGCTAATGCATGAAACCGAACCCCGATCTGGCCCCAATCACGGTTGATGAAAATGTTGAGATAACATTATTAGCGTGGGGGTCCGTGGAGATACCATCAATCAACTTCAATATTCAGTTCAAGCATCCTTTTGATTGCAAGCCCAAAGTGTTTAAGGAAAACAATTGATGACACGCTACACACGATGACAGAAGCTGATGGATATTCTACCTATGTCTGACGGGTGAAAACGGGTGTATGCTAAGTCGTTATATGCAGTACGAATATTTCGATGTGGAGCTAGTCAGTGTGGTCGAACAACGACCGAATGATTCGATGCAGACAACAATAATAACATTATTTCCGATCCAAGTTGAGGACTTTTCGGATTGTCAAAAAGGACAACATCTAGAGATTTGGAGCTTTATGTGAATTCCACATCCTTATCTCTCGTGTTGATATCTCCTTTGGACAACGTCAGAGATAAGAGATAGGCGATGCGTTTGGACCTACCTATGCTTTCTTTTCGCCAAACCATGTGGTAGCGAGGGTAGTTTGGGATATGACTAGGTACTCGTACTTTCATAGTGTTGGCTCTTCATGTGCGTTATCATTAAGCTCCTGGTAGGGATATACTGGCCAGACGCCTCGAACTTATTCTGATAAGCGACTTTGCGTTCATTGTTGTATCAACAAGACGATGCAAGGGCTGAAGTCTGATTCTCAATCATCGCAATGCGTAGGTATGAGTATTTCCTGGGGATTTCCTATGGATACGTTCATATCACACTGTTTTTCTTTACAGTAAACCCTCACGACCTGAGGATCACGTCGCAAATCCTGAAAAATTGGAACCGACCATCTCCTTGCCGCGAGCTATTTCATGTCATGATTGCCCAATAGTGGTATCCTATTACTCAGCCTTAGCCGCCGAACATCCAAGGATATCCTTGAGTCAAAACACTAGCTCAGCAAGATCTCCGCAGCTTCCCTGGAGGCCTGGATCGACATTGATACCGGTACATATCTCCTTGGAATTCGTTATTTCAGACCGATACAGAATGCCTAAATGTGCCTAAGCCCTGTAAACCAGTATTCTTTTTGCAATATTGTGTTGTACCAACAGTACAGCAAAACTGACTAGCGCACCCGAGAGCACCACTTTGCTAATTAAATAGTACATCTCCCACATGCTCGTCCCGCGTTCTTCCCGCCCTGGACTCACAAGGGGGCTTGTTCCCCGGAGATGTATTTACTGCAGGTTGACGTTGCTCATCGTATTGTTTTAAGAATAATCATTTTCCCAGATTTCTATTTCAGATTCAAGCCGCTATCCAGAGCATCATTCTGTTAGATCGTCTGGTATCAAGTATTTCGACACAGTAGTTCGCTTCCTCTCCATACATTTGCCCACATCAAAATGAGTTTTAGAATTGCTTCTATGTGGGAGGCTCCTGAAGTCAATCCAGTTAATGGAAAAGCGCGATCTATTCCAATGTTGAATCCCATCAATAAGTATGGGAGGGTATACTTCTTCTCTTGGTTTGGATTCATGATTGCTTTTCTGGCGTGGTAAGTTTTGTCGCTATGGAGGTTTGTCGGATCTTTGCTAACCATAGATAGGTATGCCTTTCCGCCTTTGGTAATTTGACAACAGAACCCCTGCTCAAAGCTCGATTCTAATATTCTTGCAGCTATCCGATGCAATCAAGCACGATCTCAAATTGAGTCAGATTGAAATTGCCAACTCCAACATTATTGCTCTTACAGCCACGTAAGTTCTTCCTCTTCTATAAGGGATCACCATCTAAAAGTATCTCAGACTTCTCGTCCGACTTGTCGCGGGTCCAGCATGTGATGCTTTCGGCCCTCGAATAACATTCGCAGCATGTCTTCTCCTCGGTGCAATTCCCAGTGTTCTTTCCGGCACCATTCACAACGCGATGGGTCTATACTTCATCCGATTCTTTGTCGGAATCCTAGGAGGATCATTCGTCCCATGTCAAGTCTGGTCCACCGGCTTCTTTGACAAGAATGTTGTAGGATCCGCCAACTCTCTCACAGCCGGCCTAGGAAACGCAGGCGGAGGAATCACATACTTCGTTATGCCAGCCGTCTACGATTCCCTTCGCCAAAAACAGGGCCTAAGCGAACATGTCGCATGGAGAGTGTCCTTCATCGTCCCTTTCATTCTGATCACCTCCGTAGCAATCGCACTCTTCCTTCTATGTGAGGACACCCCAACAGGGAAATGGTCTGAACGTCATCTAGCCGTACAGCAAAACCTTCAATCCCACGGCCACAACCACAGCAATGGAGTAGTCAACATCCCAGGCGGCATAACTGACAAAACATCCACCCCCGCCCACACCACAGGAACCATGACCCCAACTTCTACCTCCAACGAGAAAGTCGACGAAGAAGCCGCCCAAGCCGCACGCTCAAAACAACCCTCCTCCTCCCAACAAAAAGACGCCTCCCTTAATCCCGCCATCCTTGATGCCGCGAAGGGAGAAGTCATCCAGAAACCCTCGTTCCGCGAGGCTATGCAGGTCATCTTCACACCCCAGACTCTCGTCGTAGCCTCCTGCTACTTCTGCACCTTCGGCGCCGAACTAGCCATAAACTCCATCCTAGGAGCCTACTACCTCAAACAATTCCCTCGACTAGGACAAACTGGCACCGGAAACTGGGCCGCCATGTTCGGGCTCCTCAACGTCGTCTTCCGCCCTCTCGGCGGCATCGCAGCCGACTTCCTCTACAAACGCACCACCTCTCTCTGGTCCAAAAAGGTCCTCCTCCACGCCCTCTCCATTTTGTGCGGCGTCTTCCAAATCATCATCGGCGTCACGAATCCCGCGAGCAGTAGTATGATGTTCGGGCTCATCGCCGGCATGGCGTTCTTCCTCGAAGCGGGGAATGGAGCAAATTTCGCGCTCGTGCCGCATGTGCATCCGTATGCCAATGGGATTATCTCTGGTGTGACGGGTGCGTGTGGAAATCTAGGGGGGATTGTTTTTGCGATTATTTTCCGGCAGCAGGGGAGGGATTATGCGAGGACGTTTTGGGTTATTGGGGTTATGACTGTGGCGATTAATGTGGCGATTTGTTGGATTAGACCGGTGGGTGGGAGGAAATAGGGGGTGTTTCTTTTTTTTTCTGGCTTGGGGAGTTGGATGGAGTTGTGTGGTGCAATAGGGAGTTTGAAAACGGGTGGGTTGATATAGGAGGGGAGTTAGGGGTTACATGTATATATTTATTGAGACATGGTCGGTTATATTCCTAAGATATAGTGATAAAAGTCCTTACTATCACTATTGTTTTCTGATACTTTATTATATTCTCTAAATAGTTTACCGAGTTCTTAAAGTAGTTAGACTCCTTACTTTAATACTTCGGTAGTTACATAAGCGTATTTTAATAAATACTCCTTTTGGAGTTGTTCTATAGAAGCTCTTCGGGAATCTAGAGAATCTAGGGATCTAGGAAATTCATGAAATATATATTCTTTCTTCTCATCCTGTATATACTTCAACAAGAAGATCCGGGAATCCTTGTTCCTACTTAATATCCTCGAAAGCTTAGAAATTCTAGCGTGAACCCCTTCGTAGAGGTATTCAAAGCCGCTCTCCAGGTACAGAAATAATAATTGTGTTTATTCCTCCTAAATAGTACTGTTGTTTTATGCCTTCAATTGACTTTCTTCGGACTCTAAGTTTATAGGAAATAGCCCTCACCTCTAAATGAATGTTATTATGGGCCGTACAAACTTATACATTCCTCATGATTTACAAATCTACCACATCCATTTAATCAAAATCTAAGTCAAGCAGATGCTACCCCGATACAGTAACAACACATTAAATCTGAACACACGACTCGACTAGACAATATTAGATTGAAACCCTACATTCAAGTAGTTTCAAGAATTTATCCAGCCGTATACCGAAACTCGGACGCGAACTTCGGCGGATATAGTAAGATACTTGGTCGTTCCTCTGTACACACTATATAAACTCTATTATACTAAACTTGTAGTACAAGCAAGATAATTGTCTTAGGATACCTAGGTCGGTGAAAAGTAAGAGTCAACAATTATTTAAGCTATTTATATAACTATTGTAATTGTGCGATGTTTTTGGAATAGTTTTATTCTAAGAGACGTGTGTAAGACTACAGAGTAACGACCATGTCTCTTACTTAGCTAGACTTTTACCCTTATCTTTGTTTTAGAGGAAGCGAGAATGTAGATAGCTACAATTGATGTGTTGGTTTTGAGTTCTTTGGATGTATTTATTGTAGGGCTTTGAAATTTTGGTAGATTGGTTGAAGTGGGAGGGTGGTAGGAAATTGGGACTGGGTATTTACTAGGCTTTGAGACAGGCTGTGGTGGAGAAAGGTATCTCGCGAGTATGATATATAATAGCGGATACGAAATTGTTATGCTGTATTTTCATAGACCAAATCAAGGAGGAATTATGTGGGTAATTCAGAGGATGGAAAAATTGACAAACGTGGAGAGTAGCCAGATGCTTATTAAAGTGGGGTTTCATCGAACATCTATGTACAAAAATTGAATCACTTAGAAGTTAGAAGTTATTCTCTCCAGACTTTATCCATGCATTCATCACTTTCTTTACTTCCTCTTCCACGTCTTTCTATGATCAAGGCCTCAGCGTTGTTCACAGCCTTCTAGTCCTATCCCTAGTCAGAGTCGAGAATTAACGGCCAGCACAAACACCACCAACTCTCCCATTTCCACACACTGAATAGTTCTTCAAAGTGGCAGGGCCCTCGTTAACAATTTCCAGCTGGTCAGCAAAGCGATTTGCTATCTGGGTGCTTGCATACACTCCATAGGTATGTAGTTTGGTAGTCCCAGATTCGAAAATGAGGTAATTAGGAAGTGCGAAGGTAGATATTCCGAAGAGAATGCTGGGTTGGGACTTGATCCTGCGAGGCTGATATATCAAATAGTACAAATGTAAAGATTGATAAACGTGTAAGAGACGTGTTTGTTACTCTATAAATATATAGCTTAGAATAATATTATCCAAAAGCCTTGTATAATTAAACTGCTTATGTGTTTGGGTTAGAAGGGGTATTACTTTCTATTTTTTGCTATTCTATGATTTTCGAGACTAATTTTGTTGTACTAGACATTTAGTATAATCATTTTAAATAGTGTGCATATGTTATTGACCAGGTTTCTTATCATCGCCTAATTGCCGTTTCAAAAATGACCTGGAATCATCAAGTACTGTACAACCATTCTGCCTTGCAACTACATTTGCTAAGTCAAAACTCCTCCAATAAGTCATTATTTGGCGTCAACTGCTCTACACCGAACTCGCCCTTCTTAACTGGTACGCAAACCTGCCACACAAGACAACATTCACACTTCAAAATTCAAGTCCCTCAGCCTCACTACCTTCAACCACACGATATTTCCATGCAATGGCAACTCTACCTTCCTAATCACAGCAATCAAGATCCTGAAAGTAATTATTGCGAATTATTTCTGGTAGCCCCCGTCATCCTGGCCATAGGAAATGACCTAGAAGTTATCGCGATGGTAAAGACGTTTCTTCGTGGTTGAAGAAGAAAATACATGTTTCCCTGGACTTGCGCATACTTATTTTGTTTACACTCAAGACCTGGGAAAGGCTTATCAGCATTGCAAAGGAGATACACCTAGTACGCTAGGATAAATGTCCACAATGGAGTACATATTTCAAGCCTTTTTGAAGCTGTCATGTAGTAGAAACAAATTTCTCTGGACCACTGGTGTATGTTGCTCGGAAGTACTTGGCTCTCTTGGTGTACTTTGTGAAGAGCTGGCTAAATTATGGAGTGTCATTAGCTCTTATGATGAGAATAAGAAAAGCTGGTGCATTCGTTGTAGAGCTTTGCATCTTATTGGAAAGTAGTGTGTCAAAGGATTACTTAACTACTTAAGTACTGCTAAATACTACTTTATTAGATAAGAGTGGAGTGGAGTAATGGAACTAAATACCTAAATATTACTTAAGTAGTATTAATAACTATACTATCCCCTCGACGTATCATATGTACATTTGAAATATCAGGTTTGCGGTTTCCTATTTTAAACGGTCCGATCGGTCGGAATAATGCTTATGCGTTCTACGGGACTCGGGCCGACTCGCTCCGCACTACTTTATAGTACTTAGGTACTATTATTGAGTACTTGACGAGTAGTGTAGAGTAGGTGTCGCTACACTACTCTACTACACTCATCTAACACGCGGTTGGAAAAGAACCTCACTCGCCTACAAACTTTCAATAAGTACACCACATACTGAAATCAAGCGTAGATCAGGATTTTTGAAGAGTCGTCTTCCATTGTATTCTACTTGACTAAAGACCGTCAAAAAATGGGAATTCCCAGTACTGGCCCGTGAGAACAAGATACCTTTTCTTGAGCATTGGTACAAAAAAGGAGAGTTGGATTAGGAATAATACTTGTAGATCCCTCTGCTTTCTCTGAAAGTGAGAGGATGTTCTAGTATAGTGATGACATCACTCGCACTTTGCTTTTGATCTTCCCTTCCTGTTATGCTCCTGGCTGTAATTGATGGTTTTCGAGCCATTTTCTACCATTCATCATGTGTTATGATATGGTTTGCCTGCGTGACCTCATTGTGTCTCAGCTGAGCTCAAAGGAAGTGACTTGTTCCTTCGATTAATCTTCTGTATTGCAACTCGGAAACCCCTGCATCGTGAACAGCTTACAATTGTGACTTTCGTCAACTTCGATACGAGTACATGAACATTGAGTTAGGCAACCTTGAAGGCCAAACCGCGGAGAATACACTAGTCTACCGTCAATATTATAACGCGCTAAATATCAAATTAGAAGGGAACTCGATATATCGCAAAGCACCCTGTAAAACAACATAATATAGACAACTCCGCGGCTAAAAGTGTGGACAAAACGGAGTGGGAACTTTGTCGATAAGTATCCATTAATATAAACTGTAAGCTGTATCGGGGTTTCACAGAAAGACAGCCCTAAGAGGCTTTACTTCGTATAATAGTGTATCTATATCTAGGTTTAGGAAAATAAATATGAAACTGGTTTCAAAAGGACTTGCCGGTAGATCAGCCAAGCAAAACCGTACACAACACAAGAGAAAGAGTCTCAGATGAAGAGATTGAAGATCCGAAGAATTGGACTTCCCTATGGAAGGATTGGCAAAACTACCGGTAATGCAAGTTGAATATTTAGGATGAAAGAGCCCACCGAAAGAAAGATGATGATCAATTCGCGAAGCATAAAACCATACAGGACTCGAAGATGGCTTCGGTACAGCAGCGCTTACTCAGGTCCCCTGAGTGCCGACGACTGAATGAAGCAACTACAAGTGTTTCGTGACCTAGAGGACTTACATGGGTTATTCACGAAGTGCGGAATAGTTCAGCCTTCGAGCCCAGCATTTACTTCGTCCTACGGGGGATTTTGCCCTCTTCTCCACTGAAGTCACCCTAGGAAAGTCACAATTAATACGCCTGGGACGAAGTACTTCGAAGTAGAAAGAACCATCAAAGTCATGAATGAAAAACTTCATCTTTCTTGTTGGCCCCTGCCACATGCTGAGTTTTCAAGAGTCGGGTCATTTATTGCGCTGCGTCAATGTGGCGCACAACTTATTGAACAGTATCACTGTACCGCGCAGCTGATGTGCGATCAAGCTTGTAAAATCGCTCCCTTGTGACTCAATGGTGAACTGGTTAAAGGAAAATGTGAACAGCACAGAGTAGGAAAAGCGAGAGGAGTAGGCATGAGTCTGAAAATAGGGCGGATTGACGATTGATGAGATAAACTCCTACAGACTCGACCGTCCGCACCCATAGTGTTATACCTACCATGTCTTGAAACTCGTGCGGCTATGGCCTGTTCAAATAAATCCTTCCAGAATCCAGGCTCGATTCACATAAATGATATCCCGTGTGATTCTTTTGGAGTCTCTTCAACATGACAACTCAAACGGGTTCGTACAAAATCTCGCAGTAAAGCATTCCACAGATTGTCGAATTGATTTTACTTCGTAAGGTTCGAATAATATTGTTTTTGTTTGGGCTACAAACCACAACTCATTTACGGGTAAATTGATGTAATTAGTTGTGGCTGATGAGGAAGCCATGACCACCTGATTGGCTACTCGTGGCTGATGTGGATATTTTTAGCGACGAGAAATCCGACTTTTCCTGAAGCATAATTTGACCAAAATAATTGTCTAACAAACGAAACCATTCAGCCCCGAGCTCGACAAAAAAAACAGCAGCAGCCGCACAGCATCGGCTTCACCAATAAACAACTTTTCTCAGCATTGAATTTCGATGCTGCGAATAAACTCGGTTAACACCTAATATTTCTCCGAATACTGAGGCGTGGATTAAACTTCTGGGGGTTTCATCCGAAATTATAGATTGGATGCCGCAGGCACGGCGCTGCCTAAAATCCTTGGCTGCGAAGTATAACTTTGCGGTTCATCACGCAAGCAACAGAGTCTGCTCCATTTTATCCGCTTGTTTTACACTCTTCCCCTCCTTGATCAGTGTTGCAATTGTGAAGTTCAGACCGTAACATGCGGCGCAATTACACTATTAATAATGCAGTCTACTAGTGTAGGCTACGCTCTCATTTCGAAAAGGGCCCTTCAAAAATTTGAGTTACAATATCGAAGTCAAGTACTTCGTACAATAAGCGAGACCGGAAATTTGGCCGTGATACCCGTAGTCTTCTGCGTACAACCCTGAACAACCTCTGAATTGTTCTTTGGATCGCACTCATTCCCAATTAACAACAGTTGCTGTCAAAAAACCTCAACGGCGCCTCATGCTTGATTGATGAAGTTGGACGTTTGTTGCGGCGTACCTGCGTCTCCTTGTCCTTGTCATGCTTCATTTCCCCTTGCAGAAACGGGGCCCCATCCAACCAACCCGGAGCCCTTGGAGTACCCCCTTTTCCCCACCCGAGCGCTCCACACCACCAAATTAATACCCTGACAGGATCCTCCACTGGGAAGTTATTGGATCGAGAGCGGACCTCGCTCATTCGAGACTAATGATCCTTGATCTCCTGGTATCATGCATAACCCTTTAAAGTCTTGCGCCCGCCCACAGCCTCCCTGATCTGCTTCTTCGTCCTCACCGCACACGAACACATAACCTTCCCATATATCCTCTTTTGTATCTTTGATACTGTCCATTCATTCAGAAAATAATTCCCGCCACAGCAATAAAATAATCAACATGCGTTTCTCATCTGCCATCGTCGCGCTCGTCGCGTTCGCTACCTCAGCCATCGCACAGGAGGCAACTGCCGGATTCAACCCAATCACTGTCCCATCTCGAGACCAGACGCTTCCAGCTGGATCATCATTTGACATCACCTGGATCCCATCTGGAGCTTCCAGCGATGCCACTATCTCCATCACCCTCATGCAAGGAGAGACTCCTTCAACCCTCCAACTCGCTGACGTTGTTGCCGGTATGTTTACTTTTAACATCCCGCACAATCAATCCCAATACTAACAACGTCGTAGCTGGTGTTCCAAGCGCCCAAGGAAAATACACCTGGACCGTCCCAGCGTCTAACTTCAAGACCTACGGATTCAAGCTCACCCTTGACAGCCAGCCAACAACCTTCCAGTACTCCAACCCTTTCCACATTGCCGCATCTGAAAAAACTCCTGCCGCTGCCCCATCTACCTCTGCCGCTCCATCGACACCTGCTGCTGCCGCACAATACGTTGCACCAACCACTTCCGTCAAGCCAAGTGTCACCGCAAAGGTTGAGGCTCCAGCAAACACCACCGCCCCATCTGTCGAGAAGCCAGCCCCTGCCGCCAACAACACCGGTGCCGCAAAGCCAACCGTCATCCCAGCTGGCCCAGCATCAAACGGCACTACTCCTTCTGGCCCAGCCGGTAACGCCACTGCCAGCGGCATTCTCTCTGTTCGCCCAACCCCAACCGGTGCCCCAGGGACCTCTACTCCATCAGCCGGTGCCGGAGCCACTGTTTCCGCTCAATCTGGAGCTGTTGCCAAGGTCGCTACTGGTAGCTTCGGATTGTTCGCTAGTCTCGTCATGGCTTTCGCTTTGTAAATTAGCAACAGGTTGCGATAGACGGTGGGGTTGTAATGAAAATGGTGGTTGATAGGTGGTGAATATCAAATAATGCATGTCGGCGTTCCAAAAAACGACTCAGGGCTCCAAGGAGACTTGAAATACCCCGGGGACATTGTGATTTTTTCTTTACGCTTCTATGTTTTCAGCGAATCTACTCCCCCAGGATTGGGGATATTCTGCGATCGGTCTTGGGGGATTTTTAATGTGTATAGTGAACAATGTTATAAATATTCTCTCTATACAAACACCTCGTTTTGCAGTTCTTTTGTGGCTATTGCTTTTATGTTACGATTACTTTCTGTTTTTTGTTATGTCAACAAACCCGTATGCATTTTGTGCTTTGAACTCCCTTTTCACAACATAACCTCAATTAAGACTCACAATGATTTAAGCAACCCATTAAACGAGTGTCTGCCGAATATTTAATCTCCTGCTACTCACAATTCTACTATCCCTTGTTTTTAGCCTCCGGGCCACAAGCTTTTCCTGCTTTCCTGTCAATGCTCCGAGTGCTGGACGACGCTAATCATCGATCGCCATTTCCGTTTTCGATTCTTATCTCACGATTAAGTTCTCACATTCGCGCGATTTCCCCGCATGATGATGAATGCTATCGTCGTAAGCAAGGCGTTCAGGCTTTCTCTGATATCCGACCGCGCTGAGGGTCTATCGAGACTTCTGAGCCTCAGACGCTCGTATGAAGATATCAGGTATGCTGTCAATTGTGAAAGGCCTGGGCCGGTGGACTAAAACCCGTAGAGATAATTTGGTTACGTTTTGTAGCTTGTGCTCTTGAAGTTTATACAAGTTCCATCAAAAAGAGATTTACGATTTTGCTGTGTAAGGCTGTAGATGTCTATTTGTTGAGACCATTCGGATTCTTTCTCACCCACACATTTCTATTCGTTGTGATGCTTTTGTTGACAGAAAGATATGAAATTTCCAGGTAGCTTCTTCCCATCTATACGAAGCCAACTTTCAAGAGGTAGACAACACAAATCCTCGAAAGCGCCTACTATCAAATTGTGCTGGTTTCTTTTGATCTCTGCTGAGAAGATTGAAATTACACGACGAAACTTATAATTTGGAATTTGAGGATATCTGGGTGTTAGTATCACTCATTACTTGGAAAAGTAGTCGGTAGGCTGAAGCAATCAATCCTTGTTCATTGTCCAATTGCTTATGAGAAATTCATTTTATAGCTTCGCTAAAAACGCTCGCTTGTATGCCCCATTTAGGTCACTTTATCCGAAGGTAGTATACGACGACTTCCATACTACTTGTACCAACGGTCCCGTATGCCGCTGAAACTATACGAACGTCCAATTAGATAGTTCTTTTGAGCCGCTCCCCGTGGCCATCACCGCCACCGTGTCTAGTCTCTGTAATTTGCTCGTTCACCCGCACTCAAGGGGGAGGAATAAAATCCACCTCAGGGAATCTTCCACTCGGTCCCTTCACCAATTCACCTCCTTCCTTTGCCCCAAAAATCCAATCCAAAAAATCTCTAACATACTCCCTCTGAATCTGAATCGCTCTCTCCCCCGAAATCGTACCGACAAACGCCTCAATCTCAGGACTCGTCTTATTCAGCCCCAAGACGTCAACCGCGGCCGCGAAATCTGTGAAACTCCAATGCTGCGTTCCATTTACAATAACTTCCCTCTCCCAGCCCGTTTGTGCTGCCCTGAAAGAATCCCACGTCGTGTCTCCCGCTGGAATTCTTACAGGTCCTCCCATGATGAAAAATGGCCCTTTGGCGTCTCCTGCGATTGAAGAGTTCCAGAATGAGCCGTCGAAGTTCCAGCCTCCTAGATATCGGTGGGGCTGTGCGATCATAGCACCTGCTACTGAGGTACCGCCGAATGAGTGGCCGCCCAATACTGCTTTGCGTGGATGTTTGGGTTCCAAACACGAGTTCGAAGGCGTCGAGGTCCTGCGCTGTGAAGTTACGGGGTCTATGTGGTCGAAGCCCGTGTCAACAGAGTCGGACTTGTCAACTTCTAGTTTGCGCTCCGAATATATGCCTGCCTCTTTTGACGTGTTGAATAGGACACAGAGATCCGAAGTTATGTTATCGATATATTCTATATCCAAGATTCGTTGAAGATACCATCTATCTACTACTTCCTGACTGAACGGTGAAGGGTCACGATAAATCACTGTTCCATCAGGAAACTCAACTACTACCGCGTCGTAGGGATGATCAATTGCAATCGAGATGTATCCATAACTGGCCAAATCCTCAAATAGCGCTGTGTTTATCAATCTGGATGTTCCTCCCCCGTGGGAGTATATAAACCTTCGAGGGTTCGGAAGTAAGAGTGGAGCAGCATTGGGCTTGGCGTTTGCGATTATGGTATGAAGCGTTCCATTCGGGAAAGGATGCTGGGCCTCGAAGAGAGAGGAGAGGAGGGGAGGAAGGTAGGGTAATCTTTTTGATGGCGTGGTTGAATGGAGGATTGGATAATAGATTGATATCATGAGCTTTCGAAAATTGGAGGGGTCGAACAGGTCTTTGCGGGAGAAATCTATTAGCGGGAGGTGCATTACTCCTATTTGAAAAGGGCCTGTTGGGGGCGGGAGCCGTGGCGTTGGTTTTGGTTGAGCTCCCAATATAGGGATAACAAAGAGGAGGACGAGATATCGGAGGATCATTGTGGATGTGTCTTGTCAACTATGAACTGCGGGGGGATGATAGAGGGTTTTTATCTTATTGATTCTTCTGCGGGGTTATGTATCTAGGTATCTGTTTACAGTGCTGATATGAGCCAGGATTGATGTGTTCCTGCATCTGTTCGGATTAGGCTATATGCATTACTACGCAGACACACCAGAACGTGACTACGCTAGAAATATATTTCCATCGTGGCCTTATGACTGAACGGACCTCGAACCAAAAGGAATACATGAAGTATTTACCTATGTTTCCAGTTTTATATCACAAGCTGTTTTTCATTAGATGGTAATTTCCGTCCCAAGGATCGAGAAAATATAGAAGCTTATCAGCATGTCAAGCCCATATGGCTTGGCACACCTCATGTTCAGTCGCGTGGAGTGCTGAATAATCGGTCTGCATGAAAAGAGAAACTTGGAAAAGCCCCCTCAGGTAAAGGTACTCATTAATGTAAAAGCGGGTATGGTGTATTTGAGGGTCGTAGACTCTTTCTATTGTCCTGCAGAGAAATAAACGAGCATACAATTCCGTCTGCACTTTCTACTCTTCTTATTCTCGCTTATGAATTGACGGGAATAGACGCACTCAAACAGATAGATCACAGACAACCTTTTGCCTTTTATATAAGAACGAAAATCAGGGATCAGATTCTTCTTGAAACCAAAATGAACGCTTATTGAATGCATATCTGAATTCCGACATCATTATGCACTGGTAGCCCGTTTGCCCACGACAGGAGAATCTTTATTAAAACTTTTCTCGGATGTTTGGTCCATCAATTTATTTATTCTAAGTATATAAAATAATGACACAGTTAAGTTAAGCTACGATAATGAAAAAGTTCTCGCTAATCTCTGCTACATTTCTTGTCTAATGAAATAGAGCTACGAGTAGACTAAAAACATCCCTTGAGACTGGCTCGCTAATCAGGGTAGGTTATCCTGCTTTCCAACTCAAACTGCCACACATTCAAAACTCTCCAAGTAATCAGGGTTCCCATACCCATTGTACTTAGCAGCATTGGGGTACAGACATAATGTTCTTGTAAAGCGATGGCCAGGGTAAAAGCGGCTCTCGGCGGGTATTTCGTTGGGAGCAGTTCCATCTTCAACCCAAGACCTCAAGGCACCAAAGGCATCTACGGGGGCTGCACCAGGAGTAATACCAGATCCACAGTGATCAACTCTGGGAGCAAGAAAAAGCCGAAAGAACTCGTCGACTTCAGTCGTGCCACCCATTCCCGCGTCTACTTCCTGACGATACTGCAAACTTCCTTCGTGTGGAATCAGTTGATCTGCTTCACCGTGCCACACAAGAAGCTTTCCTCCCGTGCTTTTCAGGGATGATAAATCGGGATTGGAGGACTCGATGACATCTCCGTACTCGCGAATGGATTGAGCTACCAAGTCTGCAAACTCCTTGTTTTTGATGGTGGAAAGATCATAGGAAAGGTCTTTCTCGAGGAAATTCAGCATCCATGTTGCCGCGATGGGTAGTGATGCAGCAACACGCTTTCCATCCACGATTGTGGTATTTGTCGTATATTGCAGTGGAGTTCCTATGGTAAACCCGTGCCATAATCGCTCTCCCTCAGGTGTACTCGGGCCATCCCACATTCTCTGGACCACTTCGGCTACGCCCTCCGATGTAATGATATCTGCTTCATCACACTGAATCTTCGTTCCCACTACAGAAGAAGCTTTAAAATCGCACGCGTCCAGATTAGAAATCACCCCATCCTTGACCCCATCCGCTGCATCGCAAGTGTCAATTACCTTCTGAACCACAGCGATAGCTCGCAATTCGTCGGGAAAACACCCAACTCTTGCATCACGGCCTGCGGCCAAAATAAGGAAGAAACCAACTCATTCCAATACACCGCCGGCGCGCCCGCTAGAATTCCATCGAACTCTTCGGGAAATCTTTGAGCAGCTTCTAATCCCTGTCGTCCTCCCGTCGAACACCCATTCCAATATGAAAAGTCTGGTTTGTAGCCATAATAACTCTCCGTTACTGCTTTCCCGATGGTAACGACATCGTGTGGTGCTCTCGTAGCGAGGTTTCTGAGTAGTTCGACGTTAACGTTCCCATTCGGGTTGAGACCCCATGAATCAGCGCTTTCTGCCGTCCCGTTCAAACCACCGTCCGTGGAAGCGGCAGCATATCCTTGGATTGCGAATCTACCCAGTCCTCCCCCGGCTCCTGTGACGCCAGCTGCGAATCCACCACCTCCTAAGGCGACAAACCGGTCATTGTAGGGATTCTCTTGTTGGGAAAGAGGAAGCCATATTTGGACGAGGACTGTGTCGTTTACACCTGGGTGCGTGAGGGTCACATTCACTTCGCAGACATAAATGTTTGAGGTCTCGCCTAAGAAGGGGGAGAAAGGGTCCAAGCCAACCGATATGTTGTGATATTCTCGGGTTGTGATCGAAAGAATTTCTTTTCCTGGGATCTCTGGGTAGGTGATGTTGCCATAGACTGGTGTTGATTTGTTGGTGTAATGAGGCAGCAAATTGCCAAGTATTGCCTTGAAGAACACGGCCGAAGTCAAGAGGATGAGAATGTACATCGTGAAGTATAGAGGTCAAATAATCTTCGGTACTCGCAAAGGTGTGCGATATGGTGCACATGATGGTGGAAGAGAGCAGTACTTATACTCCTTTGTATAAGGTCCAAAAAGCTGCTTTGTACCCAATGCAGATGACGAAGTACATCTCATGAATCATTCCATGTCAAATGCTGAAGTAGGAAAACAATCGTCAGCGAATTCTCGATCTAGGCTACTTGCAGCAATTCCAAAGTCTAGTTGCTATATAAGTACGGCCGTAAGATTTGTGATCATTGCTTAGTACACACCTAGCTTATGGTGATTTTATCCTAAAAGCCGTGTACAACTGAAATAGTCATATACATAGTTTAGAACAATAATTGACTTTCGCTTTTTATTATATTAGGCATATGAAGATAATTAGCCGTTTGGTATAATGATCTTCTAAGGCGTGAATGAAGTAATGACTAGGGACTTTAAGCATGGATGCTGACAAAAAGATGCATATTACGGTGCCAAGCACATACAAATTGACGCTCGACATACACCCCTCGCGAAGTGCATACCGCATTGGAGGAAGCTACACATAAGTGCTGACGGAATATTGCTTCATGCTGGCTCAAATTGAACCAGAAACTTTATCCTCCCCGCGCCGCTTTGGGGCTCTTTTCAGGGGAGAAAGTCAAGATACCGTAGCTCCAAAAGGTACGGACGTTAACCGATGCGGATCGAGTCACGCCTTGATAGAAGTTCAGGTTGTTCACCCGAGCTAATGCACTGTGCCTTACAGAGTATGTTGTGCTAACAGGGGGGGTTGGACAGGTTCTATTCCAGCTCCCAAAGTAACGATATATTTTACTGGGTTCGGGCAAGGTTGATAGCTGCTTTAGTTTTAATGCATTTAATTGCATTTCAATCTTGATTTGGCTGCTTCGCCCGGACATATTTACCAGTATAACATACGATGCTTGGCTAAGCATGTCGTGGATAAAGAAAAAGTCATGAAATATTGAAATACGTAAGAATGCCCCGCTTTTGTGGTTAAGTACAGTACATGTAACGATGAGATGCATCCGACAATAATTGATGTAACAAACGCAGCATTAGTGAAATCCCTGATTTATGCATCCCACATAAATGAACAAACGAACAAGATAGAAGGTCGGTGATATATAAGAATGCCCCTCTCTTCTGATTAGGTAGCTAGACAAGACATGCATGTAACTGTAATGTAACCAATAAAAAATCATTAAAGCTACTATTCGTTAATTCCCTAGCAGTTAGATTATGAAGCAGAAGATCTAACGAGATGAACTAACCACTGAGTATCAGCCAGTAAGACTCACCTCACACTACTTTCAACCTCGCTTACGATTATGTGGGGTTGAGAGCTTACAAACCTGCATAGACCCGCTCATTTCTGACCTTCGCAGATACGAGTATCGTTATATTATAGATGAAACAGAAAAACCGGGGACTGTATTCCTCCAGAAAAATAAATCGTAACTATAATCAGTATCCATTTACATCACAATTTCGGCTACAAAGTCAGTTGTCTACAGAACGGACAGAGGCGGATCGGGCACGGAATTACTAAACTTTTAATTATAAACTTTTAACTATAAAGAAGTCTCTTATGAGTATACGGATTTTTATATTAGAGGAGCTATAGTAACTATTACCTATAAGAGACGTAGGTAGTTATTACTTTCTGTATACCTCTCTTTTAGTATAAAATTATTCTAATAGTATTATATAATTAAAATAGTTTAATAAAGCTATATTAAGAGTTTAAGAAAATTATTACCGCTTACTTATTTTTATCTAGGTATAGTAATATTACCATTTTAATTATGTTAGAAGGTTAGTATAATTACTTTTTATAAAGAATATATAAAGTAATAAATAAATAGTTTCTTTATTATTAAATTTCTATTAGCTTTTATATTTATATTTATATCTTATATATTTAATTCGTTTATTTTATAAATATAAGCTCTTATTACCTTCAGTAAGGATTCGATAGTAAGAGTAGTAGTTCTATAAGTATATATATAATTATTTGTAGGTAAACTTTTAGTAATTCCGTGCCCGATCCGCCCATGTCCGTTCCGTACTTGATATATTCTTGCTCTCTCCAAATAATACTCTATATAGTAATAGGCTTTTGTAATGAGAAGACTAGTGTATTCCAATTGACTATTTCTACTGCAGACATATTAACCTCAACATTTGATCCAAAGATGGCACTAGACGCCCAGTCAAAGCAAAGGTACAATAATTCACCATCCAGGTCATGCCTAAGATCTCTAGCCAGGGTATATAAAGCCAAAGTCTTACGTGACAAGAACTGTGTCATTGTAGGAGGAATAATAGCAAACCAAACTACCTTCCAAAACACAACTCATTCTCTTGTGAAGCTTTGGGTCCTGGTGTGCTGTGAGTGATAGGTGTGATTTGAGCATATTGGTCACGCACAACCCGATCACGTTGTTATATAGTAATTATGTGGTAGGTAGACTAGTTTTCGAAGGAAGATCTTTTCATGTTACCTGCCTGTTTTTAAGTTAGTTGAGGGGTCGGTTCTGAGGGTGTGGTAATGTGATAATGGGAAAATAGGAAACTGGTGGGGTCGGGGTAGTTACAGTCGGTGCGATTAAGTCTGAGCCATTTAGCCGAACCCCACCAAAAAACGACGATTTGCCAAGTTTTCAATTGCTTATAAGTATACAGACTTCAGATAAAACTATTATTCCTCCTAGGTACTTATAGTTAAGTACCCTCTTAGTAGATTTATATAGGTGTATCAAGCTACATATAAGGTCTTTGTTAGTATATATCGTGATCTTCTAGACATACTAATTTTTATGCCGAATTTAGGCCGAATTTGGTGTAAAATACTACTTTCGTAAAAAGGGACAACTTTATACGCTTTTTATTTAATGCCCTATTTTATCTAACAAAATCGGAAGAGACAGAAAGGACGGAAACGTTAAAATAAAGGGATTTTATAAAGGATTTTATATTTCCTATTCGCCGTTTAGGTTTTTAATACACGTGATTATGCCGAGTTTTAGTGTAAAAAGTGCAAATAGCTCAGACTTAATCGTTAGTACTGTACATGTTTTTTAGTAGATTGGTTAACTAGACTACCTCCGCAACGGGGAAGTTGAAATTTGACTTTATATGTTACTTATGCGTATCTTCAGAGAAGTGTTTTCGTACTTATAGAAGGGAAGCTTGTATTCTTAGTAATTGATAGAATTACTTTAAAGCGAGGAAAGATTTATCATGGTGATTTTAATGTTGTTTTACTTCAAGGGGAACGTTTTGGGTGATTAGAGCTTCTGAAAATATATGCCAAGAATGTTTTCTACATTAAGTGATATGAGCTCATGTCTCCTTTATTCCGATGAGAAGGGACTTTTATGAATAATTAGAACTTTTGGGTTTGCAAAGATCGAGCATATTGTTTTTCTATCGATATTGTGTTAAGTACTCCAAAAGAGTGTGGTCTATAGTCTTATTTCTCATCGGTTCACGAATATCAAGACCTGACTGTACAGGCTAATTTCTACCCTCTGGCATATAAAGAGGTACGTCATGTTTGATGCTGCTAATATCCAGACATAAATTACCAACGAGAAGCTAGAATTCGGCAGCAACATGTTTTTCGACAGTCAAATGTAGAAAGTAAAATTCCTAGTATTCTTAAATCGGATTAGCGTGGATTGTACTTCGTAGATACTTACATGTGAGGGCAGAGCGCATAGAAATGAAACGGATATTTGCGTGCTCCATTCTTGCTTGTTAGTTTATCAGATAAGACACAAAAGACAGATTTCTTGGTAGAGTTTTTCCTTTGCCTTTATCTAATGAAAAGTGTATTGTGCAATGTATTTATAGGTGGTAATATATTCATGCTCGTACTACGAAGTAGTTATTAGGTGAAGAGTAAGTCAGTTGCAGGGACCTATAGAACAGCGTAAAAACCGTCGTAGAAGGTACAATAAGAAGTATTACGCCTGGGACGAAGTAAGCTTAAAATATAGCTTGTTTTCGGAAAAGGGTACTTAATTCGGTAATCACAAACTTAAAATCGTACGTGAAGCAACGAGGGGTTACATTAAAGTGCTAACATTAAACGCTTAATTATAAAAGATTCTAGCGAACTTCTAACGAAACTTACGCGTACTAAGCGGCTTCTTCTAAGAACGCAACAATTAGTAGGAATATAATCTACATATTAAAAATTTGAGAATCTTAGAAATCAAGTATGAAACGGCTAGTAAAAAGCGATTCTGACCCTATAAATGCCTGCTTCCTACCCAATTATTAGGCTCGTTTTACTACTGATATCAAGGTGAAAGTAAAGAAAACCTCGATACACGGATATGCTCAGGGCAGAATTTTTAAGGGTATAACCGAGGATATTCTTTTACTTCGTATCGAGGCTTTTCTGTAATACCAAAAGCTCATTATTCATAAGTGAAACAACGATCTGAAATTCCGAACCGCCCCAGTTATCGGTAAATCTGCGCTTAGCGGGATAACAGCCAGAAGGGGAAAACCCAAGCATCTTGGTATATACCAAGTAAGCCTAGGATCTTTAAGGTCAAAACATTTCCAGCCAAGTCGGTAAATGTAACAGTATCCGCCGTGGGGCAACCGCAGATGTTGTGTATTAGCTTAGTATATATTAGACACGATGCTCCCCCAGGAATGCATTTGGTACGTCAACTTCAATCCAACAATTCAGTTCTTCATCGTAACGCATCTGGCCGTTATATTTCTCTATACTCTATCAACAAGCAATCTACCACCCATCCATCAGCAAATATGAGAGCCGTTCAAGCAATCCTCTTCTTCTCTGCAGCCGTCGGGGTCATGGCCGGGTGCCAAAAAGGAACCGAAAGCTGTAGCCACAGCAATGTTAGAGCTGCCGAAGGGGGCTTTCACAATAGCTGGAAATGTGATGAAGCAGATGAGAAACCTTGCAATGCTGAATGCATGGTTACTGGTGCCGTGGCGGCGGGCCCGAACCCTGGTTTTGACAATGATCTAAATCAAATGTTGACCACGATGTGTTGCAAATGTAAGATACAGCTACTTGCATATATCATTGACCCTCAACATTGTCGCTAACATGCTCCGCAGGTTAAAACATACGCAAAGATAAGATATTGCTGGGGGAAATACTAGGAGCCTACCAAGTCCAACCGCGCCAAAGTCCTCCGTTACGACTGGCTATGGCCATGGTATGATGCATGTATAAACAGGGTCATTTTATTCCGATGCAACAGTTCAATAAAGTCGATGTCTTATCCATTTTGCTGAAAAATATGACTGAAATCTCAACCACAGTGCTCTCATTTCACCCACACGTTCATTGCATGCGACGTCCGCCTTGTTATATTGCACTCGGAATATATGTCTGATCTTGAAACTCTGATCCCTTCAATCTCTGTCAGTGACAATGAACCTCTTCAATAGCCTCCCCCGATTAAAACCCCGGGTTTCTTTGGCATTTACTCGCCCATTAGACCTTTCATTCATCTAGACTATCCTGACAACACGAGCAGATAGGAAAATTTGTCGTAAAAATCTTCATCTTAATATGAAGCACCTAAACCTCTAAGTAAGTCAATAGTGGTTATATTAAGATATTACTGGCTTATTCTCAGGCCAAAATAAACGCTATAACAGCTACGTAACCGGTTAGAGTGCCTGCGTCTCCATTTCGAATAATCCAGCAGCTCGCTAGGGCTTAACATCATTCAAATCACAAGTCAACAGCGCCTGGGCAATTTCTAAATATCCTCTCATTGAAACGAAGTCCTCTTCTCATGATGTCGAACTGAAAGTATCATGTGAGACTTGTCGCAAGCGGAACGCCCACGCAACAGGACTTAACGTGGTCAGTAATAGGGGTGCTTGGGTTTCTCTCTCATTCTAATTAGAGAGGAATCATTTGTCGTCGAATTACAGAGCATGCATAGACCTTGCTTTTTCACAGGTTTCTTCTTCGGACACTTTCTTTCAGAGGTTACGCGAACAATCTTCTTGGAAGCATAGCAAACTTAACAGATTTATCTGGCTCTTGGTTTACTTGCGAGCAGCCCACCTTGAGCGCTATCACGCCCCCTTTTCGCATTTCGTGTTTTGTCCAGGCGGTGGGAAAAATAGTACAAAGTTAGCCTTGAATGAGATGGTCCATGTTATATGGAACAGGATAAAACCAGGTGGTGTGGGAGTGGAAAGGAGAACATAGGGGTTTGGACGGTGTTGTGATGTATGATGTTTGCGACCGGGATAATAATGTTTTTCAAATTGCGTGGTGCCGCAGTTGCAATAAACTAAATCATCGAAACGCATTATCGCATATTCGGGGGTGATCATAGCATAGATTCGTCAAATAGAGAGCGCGGCGAGAATAAGAGGTTCGATGGAACAGTTGAAGCGGGTAAAGGAGGGGGGGAGCGGGAAACAGACCAGCGGACTAGCAACTCATTTACTTTCTCGCTTAATCAGAAAGAGCAAAGATTCAATATCAACCTCGACATCGCGCGCTATCCCCACACAAGATTACCTAGAAAACTCAAAACAGTCCAAAAAACTCAAAAAAACTATTGGTGCCGGACAGGCTCAGGTGCTGTTACGAGAGAATCACCTATGAATAGGTAGCAGTCACGCTGTCCCCCTGTGGCTACTTGCTTCTCCTCCCGGACGAGTTGGGCAATCTGAGGGTAACTATCAGGGGTTCCCACTAGGCTCCCTAGTCACTGATGTTACCATCGCGCCACCGGAGCTTCGACTACACTTCTCCTGATAGATGCCAAGTTCTGTGTTATTTGGGGCTAAGTAGCACAGCAAGTGGCACCAGTGGGTGCAACCGTTCGTGGGACACCCTGATTCCCACCAGAAATAATGCTAGTAAGCTAAAACAAGACCTCTATACAGAAAAAAATAGATTGCTGTAAATAATACCTTGTCAAGTTTAATGTTATAGCTTCGAATTATTTAAATTAAGTCGTGCTATAAAATTCATCGAAGTTGTAATCGTCTAATTTAGGTGTAAAATGTAAGGGCTGTCCCACGAACGCTTGCACCCCCTGGTGCTGGTTTGGGGGAGGGGTTTGATTGGCCCAGGGTCACATGACTGACCCACTCTAGACTCCCCGAGGTCTTTCCGCCCTGGTGCCGTCACCAGTGACGGTAAAGGATGAATGTCAACAGAACTCGTAAAGTGTAGGCAGGGGACTGCTACTATAGTTGATTTACAACACCCTTAGCCTACTTGTCATAACACTAAGCTCAAATACTATTGCTAGCACAGCTGTAATTCCACCGTACCTGCCTTAAACTAATCACAAAACAAGCTGCCACTGGTCACATAGATTAATTTGATTGATTTAGAATGACAGATCACTACTTCCCAGTATCGCCAGGCCTTATTTTGAAATTCAATTCTTGCTCTTTACTTCTGTCTGGCCATATGTTGGACGGGTAAATTTCCTGCCTCTAACCAAATGCCTGGCGAGGGTATTGAGCTATATACTATACTGTTCCTTCCGGCGGCTCTAGCCTCCTATTCTACGCGGTAAATTGGGAAATCAGGGATGCGACGAGGGGCAAGGTATGAGAGTTCCGTTATATTACGTTCTATTCACTAGAGACTTCTTACCAACTGAATCCTAAGCCCAAAAGTTCATCCTATTATCAACACAATAACAATCCCACAAAGAACCTTCTTTCACCCTATTCAACTCACTTTAAGTCCGTATCTTCAACAATACCCCAGCGAATCAAAGGAATAAAGAACCCCACAGGATCAACATCCGGCACAATGTCAAAGAAACTCCCCCAAGCCACCCGCCACAATCAGCCTGCTAAGCGAGGACTTGAAAAGGCGCGTAGTGACTGTGAATGAAGAAGCGTGAACCGCCATAATGGCGCTAGTTGGTTGTCTAGAAACGTTATTGTGTTTCTTGACGCCAAAAGTCGCGAAGCGCTTTAACGCTGCACAACTACTAAATTTGTTAATGTCGCCAACTTTTTGACGTAACATCATGACACACCAGAACGCGCAATGGAGTCAACGCTCACCCAGAACAACGAGGACGCACCACAATCTGATATGGTGGAACACGTCGAAGCGCCCAAGATGGCATTGCCAGATATCGAGGACGAGAGCCAAGAAGTCAAGCATACCCTCCCATCCACTCTCACCACCTCCAAAACCACAAGTATTGACATCGTATCCCTATCACCCGAGGTCCAGGACTACCTCACTGAATCAATCATGCCGCCCACCCACCAAAAAAAGCTAATCCTCTTCATGCTGGAGCACAAAACCGGCAAAACACCCGCCAGTCTGTCCGCTCCCTGGACCGCCTTCCTCGATTCACTGGGATATACACATGAGTGTCTGAGTAAAGAGCAGAAGAAGGAGTTGCGGGATAAGACGCAGAGAAAGATGTACTATCTTTTCAATAAGATGGAGAGGGTTGGGGCTGCTAGGATGAATGAGGGGGATGAGGAGGGGCGAATGGGCAAGGGGGGCAAGAAAGTGTTGTATGAGTTTGCGGACTGGTGTGAGCTGTGGAGGGAGGAGGACTGGGATGGGGATTTTGGAAGACCGAAGGGGTTTGTGGGTAAGGGGTTTGATGACGAGGAGAATTTGCAGAAAGTTGAGGCCGCTGCGAAGGCCAAGATCAAGAGTGTTAAGGAGAAGATCCTTGCTGGAAAGGTCGACACGGTTGGTGTTGCGAAGGCCAAGGCTAAGGTTGTTAAGCAGAAGGGTCCTGGTGGGAAGGCCACCAAGAGTTCGAAGCCGAAAGCTGGTAGAGGTATTACTGTGATTAATCCAGGTACGGTTACGACAATCGCAGGTACGGGGTATGCTACGCCTGGCGACTCATTTTCTGGATATCCGCAAGTTGTTGCTGGTAAGTCATTTCACCCTGTGAGTCAGAAAGCAAGAGCTAATTCGTGTATAGCGAATGAACGAGATGTTCATACCGATAATGACGCGGACGTGGAAATGGATGGTGACGAAGACTGGGAGGTCTTCGATGAGCCCATTCCCGAGGGATGGGAGATCAAAGATGGGTTTGTCGTCAAGAAAATCCATGAAGATGGTATGGGTCGTCCACTGGTTTTGACTCCCAAAGACGAGGGTTACTTTGGTCCTGCTGATGGTATTGCTGAAGAGTTTCTGCGTCCTGAGTCCGAGGGCAGATATTATCGTAATGAGAATTTGGAAATGCCCGAGTATCTTGACGTTGTCGCGCCAGAGAAGAATAAGGAGAAGAGGGTTGGTCATTGTCCAGGTTGCACTTGTTCCCATTTGAGTTGATTGGACGAGGCATTGTAAGGACTGAGGAATGACTTTTCATGTTCACACCACCAGCATGTATAAGCGTTGGCGTTTGGGTGTCACGCATTTCTGTGTAGGGGAGATCACTCGGACTACAGCACGAGGTCACGGGCTAGAGAGGGTCAATTTTTGTGTACGAATTCCTAGGCAGAAAAACTGGGCACTTATGAAAGCAGATATCGGAATAGTACCAAGTAATCCTTGATCATGATGACTTTGATTGCAGTTCTCTGAGAAATAAAAGACTTAGGAAGTTAGGTTTAACCCTATATTGTAGGCAAGAGTTGCGCTAGTGGCGCAGTTTGCAAGAATCCACTTTAGAAGAAGGTCGTAGCATAAATGGGGAGTTTCCCGGAAGCAATCTGTGAAGCTACAAATGCTCAGCCTTATCTTTGTGATACCGTAATCAAAAATGGAGGAGTTGCATGTTGCTGGACGTCAATAAAGGCTTTGGGCTCTTGGGCAACCATCGGCCCCTTAAAGCAGCAGCCTCGGCATCCCATCCTTGGCATTTGTGGGGTAAAGTAAGCTAGTACGAGTAAGGTAGTAAGCTGAGCTGTCTGACAGAATAGCGGCGGGAGCGGACGCATAGCGACGGTTCCCAACAAGCCGAAATGTCAAAAGCAATATCAACCAACCATCCTCATACTCTTACCGATACTATATAAACACCTGCAGCACTCCTCCCCACACCCGTCAGACCATGAGCAAGACTTTTGACGTTATCAGTGGCATAGTTCTTTCATGCGCCGCCGTCCACTGCTTCTCTCTCTACATTATCTGGATTCCGCCTCTTGATTTACCTCTCTTTGCGCTTATTGTGATCCTCAATCTGTTGCAATGCCTACCGACTCCTCCTACCCACTCCTAGATATCCCCGACATTGATCTATGGACTTTTCTTTTTGAACGACCCGAGAAGGAGAGGGAGTTTCTTGAGGATAAAAGTATGCTACTTCCTCATGGCGAACTTTGATTGTTAGAATATACCCCACTAACGTTACACTCGCAAGTAATCTACAACGACCCCGATGCTAAACGCACATACACCTATGCCCAAGTGCGAAGCACGGCAATTGAATTCGGGAAAGGGTTGAGATCCAATTGGGATTGGAAGAAAGGCGATGTGCTAGGACTCTATACTCCCAATTGTATCGATACACCAGCTATAACATGGGGTACACTATGGGCCGGCGGAATCATATCCCCCGCAAATCCCGGATACACAGCAGATGAACTGGCATTTCAGCTGAAGGATTCTGGAGCAAAAGCATTGGTCACTCTGAAACCGTTCTTAAATGCAGCCCGGGAGGCTTGCAAGAAGGCTGGTATTGATGAAGATAGGATTATCCTCATGGGCGAGGAGAAGGATGAGACTTTCCGATTCAAACATTTCACTGCTATCAAGAATCTTGCGGGAACATCGAGATACAGGAAGGCTAAGATAATTCCAAAGAAGGATTTGGCTTTTTTGGTGTACAGTTCGGGAACTACAGGGCATCCAAAAGGTGTTATGTTGTCACATTCAAATGTTGTGTCGAATGTTTTGATGGGAAATGTTAGTGAAGGGAGTAATCTGAGTTGGAAAGGTGGGAAAGACAATAAAGGGGATCAAATCCTTGCCTTCCTTCCTTTTTTCCATATCTACGTATGTACACACCCTTCCCCCCCCCCATCTTCACAAACTAACACAATTTTAGGGCCTCGTATGTCTTGTACACCAAGCATTATTTTCAGGTTGGACACTTGTCATCATGCCTAAATTCGACCTGGAAAAGTTTTGCTCACATGTTCAAAATCTGCATATAACATTCGCCTACGTCGTGCCACCGGTCGTGTTACTCCTGGGGAAACACCCTATAGTATCAAATTATGATCTTTCCTCAATTCGGATGATGAACTCCGGCGCTGCCCCTTTAACACGAGATATCGTAGACGCCGTCTGGAAACGTCTCAAAATCCCGGTGAAGCAAGGCTACGGACTCTCCGAAACCTCACCCACAACTCACACCCAACGATGGGAAGACTGGCAAACCTCCATCGGCTCAGTAGGCAAACTTCTACCAAATCAAACAGCGAAATACATGTCTGCAGACGAAAAAGAAGTGCCCGCTGGTCAAACAGGAGAGCTGTGGATCAAAGGACCTAATGTATTCCAGGGGTATCTGAATAACCCAACCGGAACAGCAAACGCACTCACTCCAGATGGCTACTTTAAAACCGGAGACGTCGGTCATCAGGACACCAATGGAAATTTCTGGATCACCGATAGAGTAAAGGAACTCATTAAATACAAAGGCTTCCAAGTTCCCCCTGCAGAACTGGAGGGGCTTCTTCTTTCCCATCCGGACATTGACGATGTTGCAGTTATCGGGGTGTATAATCCTGACCAGGCTACGGAGGTTCCTCGTGCATTCATCACGCCGAGAAATGGTGTGGAAGGGACTCCTGCAAAAGGAAAGGAGATTGTGGAGTGGATGTCCGGCAAGGTCGCCAACCATAAAAAGTTAAGAGGAGGCGTTGTCTTCATAGATGAGATCCCAAAGAGCGCTAGTGGGAAGCTTTTGAGGCGAGTGTTGAGAGACAGAGTTATAGAGGAGGAGGAGAGGGGATTGAAGTCTAAGCTCTAGGCTCTAGAGTGGTTGGGTAGCATTCTTTGGGTGTTTTTAAGTCGATATAGGTAGTTGGCATTTTGCTCGTTTGAGATGTACAGGCAGCAGGTTGTATTTATGGCGCGGTCTTCTGTTGGTTTTCTGGAATGGTAATGATGCGGGAGAACAATGAATAGCGATTACTTGGCGATGATTTTGTTATGGATCTTCCTTCTTTGGACAATTGGAAAACTAAACAGTTCACGGATTATTTTTAATGAGGGATTACTTTCTGAGAAGTATAGAAACCAAGCAATACTTTCTGATAGGTAAAGATGCAAGCTGGAGAAGAGCGAAAATCCAAGTCACGTGGAGATTGCCGATAACAAATGATAACAAATCAAAGCTGGAGCTCCAGGTCTCCTCCATCTCCCGCGATAGCGACAGCCCCTCAATTCAAACATCCCCTCCTCTATTCTCTTCAATTCTTTCACGATGGCAAGTTTTCGGGTTCCAACTCTACGCAACATTTTTTCCGGGGCAGCCCCGTACCTGCGACCAACACAACGTCGCTGGGCGCAAGTCCATGATATCCGTTTCCTCGCCACAGATCAATCTAGTAAAATCCTCGAGAAATACAAAGAGAAACTCGCGCAGAAAGCAAAAGAGTACTTCCCCTTTCCAAAATCCTACGAACTATGAGGAAGAGTTGGATTGCTGACTGAGATTGTAAATAGGGAGGGGTTACAGGATATAACCCAACTCCAAGAACGCTACAAAGACAAAATCCAAGAGCTCAAAAAGAAAGCATCAATTCCTCTTCCAAACCTCACACCACCACCCTCTCCTCCCTTCGATCCCTCGTCCCCATTCCCTGCTCCCCCGCCACCTCCGAAACCCCAAGTAGCGGGCAAAACAAACGGAATAAAAACACTGAATTCATACGTCGACGTCGAGAAGTCGTTAGCACTCCCAGTGAAAGAATTAGAGACCATCTGGCGACTTCGTCACGCTGCACATCCACAGACTCTATGTGCCGTCGTCCCGGTAGAAGCTTGGAAACCGATCCAGGAGACGGCGAAGAGGTGGCCGACTTTTTTGCTTCCTTTGCCGAAGGGCGTTTTGTCGACACCGGATACAGCGAATACACCGGCGAGTACAGCAGCAGGTGGGAGTGCGCCGACTGAAATTCATATCCTGCAATGGTCGTTTCCGGCCCCTGATACTGTGACGGTTATTTTCACACATCTTGCTGAGTTTAAATTGAGAGGGGAGTACTCGGAGCCCCATACCACTGTCACTTTCCATACGGAGATGCTGGGTGAGAAAGGGGTCGTAATGATGAGGGGTGAAGTGAGGGAAGGACGGGGTGTCAGTGTGGATGAGAGTAAATGGCTGGTTATGTGTTTGCAGAAGTTTTACGGGGTGCAGTCCCATGAAGGAGGGGGACGGAGGAGGCAGTTGGTGGAGATGTTTGGGAGGGGAGATGGGGGATTTAGTGTTGAGGAGCTGGTGGGTGAGTGTGAGAGGGTTGTTTGAACCAAAAGGAAAATAAGGGGGTGAGAGAGGATATAGGCGATGTGTAGATAGGAAAGGAAAGGGGCCCGAAACGGGTTCAGGTATAAAAGATGTATAGATATAATGACATAATCCTCCTTCTCAACCCAGATTCTTACTATCACCATGGGGGTTGGAATTTTGACAATAGGAAATACTTTGACAATAGCTGGTTGTAGTAGAAATAGCGCCTAATTATAGTCCGATCAGTGTATCTGATAATGACTTCCTCTCCGCTATATTCAGAGACCGGAAGCCCCTCTACAAGCTAGCTGAATGTGTAAGAGACGTAGTCATTACTCTGTACATACCATATAAAATCTTATTGAACAAAACTTTTATATAAGTAAAAGAAAGGGGGGGAATATATATTAATATAAATTTATAATATTAGCGCCTATGCTATATTTGTGGTTATCCTTCCTCACCTTCTGGAAATAGTACGCGAATCGTAGATTTATAGTTAATTGATTTTGTGAACAAAGCTATAGACTATTATACTATATCTATTGAATAGAGGACCCTAAACGAGAAGGATTTCCTGGGATTGGATTTTCGTCTCGTACCCCGGAAAAAGACAACAAAAGATCTTTATCTCTAAGTCGTCGAAAGTAAAGAGGCCTCGATTAGTAAGATTACTCAATGCGATCTCTGAACCCTACTAATCGCCCTCCCCTTCATTATAAGAAGGATTATATAGTAAAGAGCCGGCAATCTTGAATATCCAGACAGATCCTACCAGGCATTGATGTATATAAACCTCCATTCTCAACACCATGTAAACTTGGAGCTCCGTCCACGTATCCCAATCGCGCGTAATGCCGTTCAGCCAAACCTGAAAAACCTTCTCGTAATGAGAGGCGATTCTTGTGGTTTTTATTTGTAATTAGTGATTATGATTAATGTTCTTCCCTCCTCTCCCTTCCGAGAAAGGGTTTCTTTGGGAAGATAGGAAGAGGGATTTGCTGTCGATAGATTTGGTGCTGTCGAATCCAGTTCTTTCTTTCGTTCGGTGTAGTGGAAGTTTTGAAAAGCTTTCTAGCTGGGGGGTTGAGCTTGGGTTATGAGATTCCTTCTTTTTCTTTGTGGGCCGGAGAAGGGGGTTGTGATGTGAGGGGTTTGAGGGGACTCCTTCCGAAACATCACAGATCCAACATTTCCCATTTGTGAATGATGACCTGTGAAGACTTGGAGGGTGGGGGTTTTTATATTGTTTCTTCAAGGTTTTGGGTGGGTTTTTTTCGGGTTTGAGCTGGTGTATCGATTTATATTGGTAGTTAATCTTTCTCCTTGGACTCCTAAGCGTTGTCGTGACACCTTGATGATTATTCTAAGAAGCTTTGGTAGCATATTCTCACCTCCTTCCTTACGAGACCTTTCCAGCTAACAAACTATATCACATCGAAAGTTCTCATCATAATATCCGAAAAATAATACCTTTTTGGTACTACTGCTATGCACACATACAAAATCCCCTCACTCAAAAGAAACCCTCACCAATTCAGCTACCTCGACTCCAACAGAAAGGGAAAAGGCAATATATAAATCCGCATGGCCAATGAATGTTTCCACTCTTTGGCACGAAGACAATGAAACGCTCCTTCCGTTGAATTCTTCTTAGGGAGCGAATAAGTCGTGTTTCTTCCCCTCTTTGTCATTTGCTAGTGGAGATAGGTGGCTGTATTCAAGCTACGGAGGATATTGTGCGTGTTTCTATGAGTTCGAGATTTTAAAGGAATTGTGAGGATGAATTGTGAGTTTTATCGTCGAAAAGGTGTTTACTGTAAAAAATGTTTCTCTCGAATTACAAGTGGATTTCACATGGATAAGACAGAATTCTGACTCGCGCAGATATGGGAGTTTGGAAGTCATTACTGTATGCTCTGTATGAAGCTGCGCCCTACTCAAGTGTCCGACAAGTTCTTTGATGTTATTAACTACACCCAATTCCTATCATGAGGCTTGCTGGGTATTGATTCGATTTTGTGGTTTTGGAGGCAATCATGCGTATCGATTTTGAGTTGAAGAGTGCGAGAAGTCTGATACGCAATGTGCGTCATGAGTTTGGGCGGGAACAATTACAGTATAGTAAGTCTTCAATTCTTTGCCTCGCTTATCATTCAACGCATGGCTTGGTGTTGAAAGCTAGCTCTTAGCTTTGCAATAAAGTACTAAAGACAAGTAGGAATAATGCATCCTGGGGCTCAATTTCTCGAGCCTAACAACCTATCCCTTCCAGACAATAAAGTGCCAAAAAAAACGTGCACCAAAAGTGGAGTAAAAGTGGAGTAAAATATCCATTTTTCCAATATCTTCTCCGTAAAACAAAGTCGTTTAGCCAACTAAAACACGTTACTAAGTATTTGAGCCTCACTTTGACCCAGTTAACCATCCACTTTGAGTGCACGTTTTTTTAGCACTTTATTGTCTGGAAGGGATAGTTTTCAGGCTCTCGTTTTTCTTTTCTAGAGCGACGAGGTACGGCATCCCAAATCTACTACTAAACCAGATAACTAAATCGTAAATCGCAAATAGTAAAAGTTACTCTATATAGGAGGAAGAGCCAAAGGACAGAGTTATTAGTCTATTAAATTTATAGTATTCTATATAATATAATACAGCTTCTCTACTATAACCCTCTCACGCCCCCTTTCCTCACCCCTATTTTCGTATACGGTCCCTCGCGAGTCACGTGTAGCGCACTTGCCGTACCCCTGCCTATGGATACCCCCCGGCGGCTCCCCTTAAGAACCTGCCCCTCCTTCCCTACCCCTCTTATACGCCTTCTTACTCTACCTAGCTTTTAGATACTCGCTGTTATAATATTGTGTCAGAAATAAAGAGAAGAGAAAGTAGGAGGGGGAGAGAGGATAGACAAGTAGCAAGCAATTCTTAGCGTAACACGTGCTAGCCTAGCCTCTTTAGGAAGGTAGTATTAGGGGCTAGGAATAAGCGACACGCACGAAAATATTTCCCCGCCAAGCCCGCTTCTATCCCCTCCGCTACCCTCTCTCTCTCTCTCTCCCTCTCCCTTTCCCTCTCTCTTCTAAACAACATACTAAGGCATAACACTTGTACGATAGCGAGGGTGCGATAATAAGGGTATAACAGCGAAGGTACGATAGCGAGGGTAGGCAATAGTAAGGATAGGCGATTGCGAGGGTAGGGAGTGTGTACGTAAGAATTTCAAGGCTGTGAAGTTTAAGAGAAGGTGGGGGTGTAGGGGTATAGGCACAAGAGTAGGTAGTAGTAGTAAATATAAGACTTTTGCGATTTACGATTTGCGATTTAGTCATCTGGTTTAGTAGTAGATTCGGGATGCCGTAGCAGGGGATATAGTTGTGCTTAAAAACGCTGCGACTAGTTTATTAAAAGCAAAATAAAAACCCACGTCAAACATCCAAGCCCAGATCTTGGAAGAATTACTTATCGTTGATAACATGCTCCTTATAGATTTTAGATTCTCATCTCCACTTACGAAGTATCTCTCTAAACCCGGTGCTGAGTGTACCGCGGCATTATTGACTGGGACAATTGTGTATATAAATTCTCTTCTCTCTAAAGGTCTATCGTCGTTGTCATCCAATACTTCATGGAGTATCACGGATTTGTGGAGTTGTCTCTTCCATCATTTTCTGTGGGGAATGGCGACCTTCATACCCTCCTTTCGAGAATTATGAGACATCAAGTGTCATGTGCTAATGAGCCATGTTATGACCTTCGGAGAATAAACTTGTGAGAACCTAAACGTTGATTTTACTGTCGACATATTTCTTGCTGTCGATTTCCCACCTTTCGTTTGTTTGACCGTTCTTTCCTATCTCGTTGATGGCATTGAGGGGTTGAATTCTGGAATTCGTGGTTTGGCAGTCTCTGGGAGGATAAGATGGTAAGTTGACAAAGTTTACCTGGCCCTGTCCATAGCCTCTCCTGGCCCATTTGGTTCGCATGGTTGAATAGTTGAAATTTTTCATCGCTCGTCCATTGTTCATTAAATAGTTGAATTCCAAGTCATTGCATTCTAGCCTGTGATTTGTTGGCAAGACCCCTTTCTCAGGTTCAATAAAAACAGCTGTCAGCTAGATCTGATTCCTCTGAATAAAAGTTCAACTAGGGCGCATTTTCACTGTCTCGGGTCAGGTTACTTTTACATATTCTAGAGAAGGGTATGGGTGGAGATGATTTTGTAATATTCCTGTCTGGAGGGATATCCAAGTGATGGAGTTGTTCATGCAAAGTTTATTGTGACCATTTCTGTCAAATTGTGATTAGCGTAATTTTTCTAGTTTACGTTCATCAAACTCATCAAGTAGTTCTCCAGCTTAGATCTTGCTTTCAAGGCCGAATTTTCTGGTTCAGAAGAGCCATCTTACAACGTGTTATGGTATCATAAGCATGTGATTATCCCCATAACAGAATTCTCGGAAGTTGTGTAGGTTCAATATCTGACACAAATTTTGGGTAACGTAGTTGCCCACCGCCACAGCTACCACCACATGACGGAAGTAGACTCAAAAGCAACGAAGCACCATTAATTCGGCATATTCATAGAGGACTTATATGGCTATGTGAAACCTTTGGTGTTTCAAGCATACGTAGAAGGATGATCTATGAGTTGTTGTTGAAAGCTGGGTTGGTGACATTTTATTTAAGATTACATATGTTTTCTCGATGAGTTTGAGGAACACCAAGTGGAGGGTTTGAAGTATCCAATATTTTCAATCGTATTTTAGAGAAATCTTTTCTACGTTAGTAAAGCCAACAATTGAATCTGAGCATTTGCTCAAGTTCCGGATATACAAAGAACGAATGCTATTCAAATGCAACTGCAGTTTTGTAGATTTTTTGGAGGAAGAAAGTCTGTCCAGGGGATTTAAAAATGGGTAGCTTCTCAGTTGGATTTTCAATGTCTATCCTTGACACTGTTTATTAAAAAGATTATCCTGTATCCTGATAATATTTTCTTCCTCTATCTCATAACAGGAATTCATTGTTAATCTTTGGTCCTTACCACCACGTTTATAATACTATTATCCTAAAAGCCTCGCTCAACTAAAATAGTTACATAAATTATTAGAGTGACGATTGGAATTTATCTTTGATTAGCTTACGTATAGCAAAAAACATTACTTAATTGTGCTAGATGTTTAGTTGACCAAGTTTTTATATTGTATGTAGAGTGATAACAAGAGGCCTTACATTGGCTAAATATAAACCCTTTCACTTGGAACATGCACTAGCATTACAAGTCAAAGTCACAATCAACAGAGAATGAAGGGTGTTCTGCCTACGTGCGTGCCCCGTGATGATTCAAACGTTGGTGGCATAAGTGCGGGGTTGTTGCTACGATTAGTTGACCTGCCTTTGGCCATCGGATTAATGAATCATCTCTTTGAAAACAGGAAAGATATTGTGGCTGGCTCCTTTTTAGAGGTAAGGGAGTTTGGATTGGGGATAGGATTGGTATTCTCCCTTACACTACAGTTTGTACTACTTGAGTGCAATAAACTCGCGTGTTAATTGAAGAGGATAGAGCCTTGATCTCAAATACAAGACATCAAGAACATGTTTCTCGGAGCCAGTGATGCTTATTTTGAACCCTTAAAAAAATGGAACGAATAAACAATCAATGAATTCTTTTTTTTATCTCTCCAGTCTTCAATAACCCCTCCCGTGTCAAACTTCCATCTTTAACCACCATTCCTAGGCCGCTAGACACCGTGAGTATTGAAAAGAATAGCAAAGTCGTAGGATACCTCCTACTCGTTTTCTAATGAGAATCGGCGAGAATTGAAAAGATTAATAGGACAGCTTTTTTGCAGACCGTGAAACATCCTTAATTTTGTTCGTTAAGGCAAACTTCCCCCCACCCTCCCCCGCCTGCATGTCCCTAACCCGCACCTTGATATTTTTAAGTAATTTGGTACGCTTCAGCCCATCCAGAGAGCCATCCATGCTAGTAGAGAGAGAAAGGTGCGGATTCTCTATGGTTGACGATGAAATGTAGCCTAAGATATCAGGAGTCGAAAGCTGGTAGTGTACCCAGATGCTGAATATGCAGCAAGAGAGGGGGAAAACAGATGTCAGAGTGAGTATTGCGAAGTAACCCCAATGGCATTCGATGATCGTCAAAGGCTGTAGCGGCATCGGTACAACGGACTGGGACCACATCCAACCTGACGGCTCATTATCAATACTCTTTCCTGCTGCAGTTTGGACCCAAGTATTGAATACCGTAGTAAGGCGAGTTGAGAAAGTGACATTGTCAGTCTCGGAAAGGTTCACAAGTTTTTGTTGATAAGTAGCGCCAAGTCCATCTGCGAGAAACCTTTCCGTATAGGACGAAGTTAGGGGAGAAGCACTATCTATCTGTGGCCATTTACCGAGGATACGGGCTGCTGTAGTATGGTTCCGAAATATCGTATTTGTCGATAAAGTGGCAATTCCTATTTTCTTCACTTTGCATTGAAAATTCGCATAATCCACAGAGACCCCGCATTCATAAGTAATATTTCTGATGTTGACGTATATGAAACAATACCGGACAGTCACGTATGAATTAAAAAAGGAGTTGAAAAGAATACTTTGCTGTCCTTTCGAATCAGACGAGGTGGTGAAATTAGTGTCAACGAAGAACCCTGAACCCATTTTTGCACCACCAACCAGGGCTGATTGATTCTCATAGATAGAATTTGGTCCAAGAAACGATGTCCAGGATTCATTACCTTGGCCTCCAGAGATTGAAGCACAGTTGAACTCATATATATTGGCCTACCTCGAATTCCACGGATGTGAGCAGCTCATCTTCCCACATAAGTGGTGAAAGCGGCGTCTCTTGAGAAACCACTCCTGGAGTAGATGAAAGATTGACGAGAAGGCCCACGATTCTCTGGCCGACAAGGCTCGTAAGATTGTTTGAATATGGCCGAATTGAATTGCATTCTGGAAGTTCCAAAGACCCATTGCTCGGTAGCGAGGGGAGTAGAAGTCTAGAGTAAGCGAGGATGTTAGTTTGCCAGGCCTTTTACGCAAAGAGAAGAAACACAAGAAAAGCACATCAATAGAAATTTGAAAAGACTCAAAATATCTTACTGCGCATTTTCGTCAGCGCACGGATGCTTCAGCCCCGAACTTCCCGCTCGAGCATTATATAGCGCATATGTGTAGTTTATTGCAAGTTCGAAATCCTCCTCGATTGTCTGGAAATTACTCGTGAAATTGAAAGTAATCCATGGGGCCAGAATAGTGGTTTCTGTAATATTTATAAGGTTTATGATGCGAAGCGAAGCTTGGCCTGCCAGAGGAGATACGGCCCATAGGCATAACAGGCCAAATTCCTTTGCACCAATCGTACCAAGGGAAAACAGTGTCACCATGGTACTGGAAAGCGATCGGCATCCTACGAGAATCTCTAATGCCTGATATTTCTGATATCAGCCTTTCGCATAGAAGTTACTTGTGGGGTTGACGAGATGCCTACCCCTAAACTTGATCCTTTTTCAGCTTTCCACCTCGCAATTAATCGCATGGTACTTCCAAGTATGCCTGCAAATAGGATAGGAATTATCGTTGGGCCTATCTTGGCTATCTCAAGCAGGCGATTATTTAGAGAATTACTGGAGGGTGGGCCATGTTATCCAACATCTTCCGTGCTGGCATCAGGGTAGAATAAGACGGGTTCACAAGGAGAGATTTGGGTGAATGGCCCCTCGGTAGTATACTTAATGGACGTGCTGGGATACGTGGAGTCGACTCTGGCTGCCAATATTGCGAACACTGATAATCCATTAAGTTCTGCAAATTCATGGTTTATACATTCTTACCTAAAACCATAATGGCTGCTACAGCCATAACAACGTGGACGCAGATCTCCAGGATATCGCGTTTGCGAGTTTGGCCTGACTTTGTGACAAAAAACCCCCATTTCTTGGGTCGATGCGTTGTTGTATTCTCGAAATGAGATGTTTCCTCGTTATTCGGTATAGAAGATTCTTTTGCGACAGCTGAAACCTTTTCTGCTTTAATATTTATACCTGAAGGGGTTTTCGGAAATGCATCGGCGTTTTCGTGAGTGCCGTTCCTGGAAGTTCCAGAATTGAGTCCGAAAGAATTTTCATCGACATCAGTTGAGCCAAACAAACTAGTTGGTTGGTGCTAGGTGTATGGGGATGGTCATGATTGTGGTCTTCGTGCGTGGCTAGCTGGATTGGATCTAGCGCGTCTTGTGGCAGAATATCATAATGCGGGGTTTCGATGGAAGTATTGATTGGCTTCATTGTAATGTATTATCCCTGTGAGCTAGGCTCAAAAGACTTGGGTCCGTATATTTTGATGAGGTGTTATTTGAACGTTCAAGTCCCTAGAAAAAGAGGGAATTATGTGGAGGGTTTGGAATATACAGGATTAAACTAATTGATGACAAGTTAGAAAGTGTTTCTACCCAATAAGGAAGTTCTAAGTTATCCCTTTCGAAGGATATAGGTAGATTATCTGAGGTGACTTGCTCCTTCTTGAAGCGAAGAATGAACGATGTCTTGCGAAGGGGCATTAGCGTTGCCCAATACAGTACAACAAGGCAAATTGCAGGTTGGTGTTGAATGATTTGAATTCCCAAGACTTATGAATCAATATTTTGAGAGCTGTCTTTGACGATAAGTTGATAGCAGGATCTAGGCAAACACTGGCGACGAGAGAAGGCAAATAAAGAAAGAGGGGGCTGCTAAAGTATAAGGAGACTTTGAATTTGGTTACACGACTACTGCAACATTGTTTATATGTTACTCTCAAAGAGAAAGCATGAAGTAAGTGGCAGTGTGCATGCAGCTTGCTTGCAACACATTACACAAGACTCTCCACATGACTTTGGGACATTGTATAGCTATGGCGTATTCTACCAGAGATCTCAGCGAAGAAAACGAGGCACAGTTTCAATCTTAAGTAGAAATCTATCTTTTCATACACATATTTAGAGCTTAATTTCAAGGATCACCTGGAATCTTGCACTTATATTGTATATCACGTGACCGACCCCAGTTTGTTTGGTTAGGTGCGACAAAGGCGCACAGGTGAAATAACGAAGTAATATATGAAATGGAACGCTATTACTCTAGAATTTATTGAGGACTGCTGCGCGTTTCCTCTATATCTACGAAATCGCGCGAAGCTTCTTAAAACTCAAGCACCTTCTAGCCTTGAAGGTAATGTAGGAGAACTACTCTATCCTGTGGAGATACTCATCTTTCTTAGCTCATAACAAACCCCTTTGTAAGTAAAAGAAGGAAAGCTAGGAGACTTAGCCGCATAACATACAGGACTGAGAATATGGCGGGCGGTTAGAATAGTGAAAGTTAGAAATAGTAAAAGTATTATCTGGGACTGTAGACAAAACGATCGATAGTCTCGTAGCTTTTAGAATGTACAGTAAGGTATACTGGTATGATACAATGTCTATATACTTACCATAACTCCTCACTCCTCCATGCTCAATCCAACCTATTTGCTCTGCGAATGAAGTATGCGGCACGTGATACACAAATAATAAATGCTGAGGAAAAACAGCTCAAATCTACCACATCTGGGCACAATGCCTTTTGTAACTCACACTATGGTGATGTTTTCATTATGCTTAACAACCCCTTGTTTTCCTATACAAACTCTGAAATAAGAATATTACGCGTAAACAATAAGGAACTTGCACTTCCAAGCGAGGTCCGATGTAAAGCCGACTGAGGGGGGAGGCAGCGTGTGGGAAACCATGTCACATCATTTGCCTACTTGTGTCTTACAGCAAGTAAATTTTGATCAACAGAATACCTAGCCATTATGTCCACATGTCATGAGAACTGACTGATAATGCGGGCATTTGAAGCAAAGCTCATTAGAAGAGGCACGCTCGAATCTTGCTTTTATTGCTTGAGATTACTCAGCAGTAATAAAATCTTTTTAAACCTGGCCAGTATTGAGCCATTATACACAAATCTACAAGAAACTTCACCCTGCAGTTTCCATTGTAGCGGGTTTTGAGATAGTTATAGTGATACAGTTGTTCTATCACCTTTATACCTTCATTTTTCCTGTAATAAGTACTAAGCATGTTTAGTAGCAGCACAAAACGTACCTTTTCCCTTTCAGTCAGTTTTCTTTTCGCTCCCTCGTCTCGAATACTTGATCGTTTCCTCCCTTTTCGAGGGGCTATTGTGGCAGTTTCTGTAGTCCTGTGCTCTCGAAGAGATGTAATACAAACTTCGCTAAATCTGCTCTTGAGGCTTTGGGGATAATTACTAGCGAGTAACGCTTTAGTACTGTTCATCCTTAATTTTGATTAGGGAGCTTTAGAATAGGTACCTCGCTTCCCTCTGTCTGTCGGTGTGTCGAGTGAGGTTATTGCGAGTTGCTGTGAATGGACTTGAAATCGCTGCGGGTCCACCTACGCCAGAACACCTTGGAGGTGAAACTAATCCTATGATGGATGAAGTCATTCTAGGACCAAACTTGAATACCGATTGTGATATCATTGTTACCGTGATGTCATTTTGTTGTATTTCGGGGCTAGTGAAAGATGTTTATACCTTGCGTTCCTTTTTCCGGGCTTAACAATCAAAAAAGCACGGATAACGGATAACGGAAAACCCTGAAATTCAAGTTTAATTCGCGACTGACTGTAGGATAATACCATTCTGGGCCAGACTTATACAGAGTAACGTCCATGTCTCCTGGAAGGTGTGTTACTTGTAATTCTCGGCCGCCTGTCTCCTGTCACATGCGCGTTGGCTTTGATGCTGAAGAAATGAGATTTAAGAATTAAGCCAGGGAGGGTCTGTTTATTTAGTATCCGGCTGTCTCTCTGACATATTTGAGCCCCCTACAGTGCTCTAGTCACCAAACTATGCCACCAATTCCAAATCTTCCGGTACAATTAAAAGAGCAAAATATACAAAATAGTTGATGTAAGCTCTGCATGAGATTTGGGGGGGATACACGTGTATATCAGGTTTTATTTGACTACAAAGAGTGACTTTATCTGATAAGAATTAATCTTTCGCAACAAGTTTGGTGGCTAAAAGTACTTCAACCCAAAAATGGTTAAGACTACACCTTTCTCCAACACTAATATATTACATCCCAACCACCTCATCTCCGATCCCCATACCAACAGAACTGAGTTCCGATCTCCTCAACCCACTGCTTCTCATTTCACTACTGCCAATCCTCGGGCTTGTCATCGAACTCACAATCGAATCAAAAGAAACAACCCTATTATGACCACTTCCTGTGGCTGGACTTCCCTCTAGCTCGCTGGTTTGACTGTTTATTGAGTCACTAGATACCATTCTTCTGTGACTTCGCCCCACAACACTTCCCTCCAAATCACTCATTCTCCAACTTTCATGCCCACCCACCACACTACCCACTAATTCAGATCTCTCTTGTATCGTTGCCGTCGAATGAGTGTTCCTCAAAGAGTCCGTCCATCCTGCACTCAAATTCGATTCTCGGTCTCCTATTTCAGCTGTTCGCAGAGGAGCAGCGCTTAATTCTGCCTTTCCATTTTCCGGCCAATTATTGTCGGCCGTTTTCACAATCGTGGGGGTTTGTTTTCGTGCTGCGCTTCTTTTTTTTGAAATAGAAGAGTGCTGCTAGGCTGATAAGTATAAACACTGCCGCCACACATCCGACTCCTATCCCAGCTTTGGCACCTGTCGATAGGCTGCTCAATTTTGTTGACCGGTTCGAAGAAAAAGATTCTTCAACTGCAGGTGGTGGTGATGTTGGCATTGCCGTGGATGAGGTTGGCATCGTAGAGGATAAATTTGTAGAAACATTGAGGATACTTGGGCTGGGCGAGGGACTATCTCCTAAGCCAACAATAGGAGTTTTTGTAGGGAGAGGCGTCATAGTCGAACCACTCAGCATGAAACTAGTCTCTTAATTCATATGTCAGAAGCAGAATCCAGATTTTCAATGCGAATGATAGTTGGCAGAATGAGAAGCAATGAAACACACCTGCGAAGCAAAAGAAACTATTCTAAATTGCCCAGAAAACGCGTAAGAGTCATCATCATCAATAACCATCTCATAAAGCTTTCCGTATTCTTCCCAGGCTAATGGAACTTGCCAGCGGTAGGGGGATCCGTTCAAGCTAGCTTTCGTTTCTAATCATCAGCCCGGAACCTCTCTCGCAGACCCAAAACCTCCCCCAGACTTGTGCCTGACTTCCGTCCTACACATGGCACACGAGGATAGAGGCATAACGTACAAGCAATCCTAATCACAGTTTGATTCTCAATCATTGCTCCAGAATCACCCAAACCTGTGGTACTGCCGCTTCATTATAGGGAACCGCCAGAAGAGTCAATGCGACAGGACCTTTGGCTTCAACCCAGGAGATGATGAACCCTCGTTCTGTAGGGACGTCAGGAAATCCGGTGGTATTGAATTGAACCATTATTTCGCGATATTATATTACAAACAAATAGAAGAAATATTCTCAAAAAGTACGCATGCGATACTAAATGAATGGGTCAAAAGATGGTGGGGGACGCGGAGTCCCCAATCATGATTCTATGCTCAGCCCATAATCAAGAGTATGAATTGGGAACTACAAACACGCTGATCTGTTGGACACTATGAGTGGCATACATATAACACTGACTAAATTGGGTGGCCAGTTTTCGAGAGTTATCGTGCCCCCTGCGGAATATTGTGGCGTTGGCATCTGAGTGGCTTGGAGGTTTACCTTAATGCCGGTAATTCATGGCGCAACTGCAGAGAACACGAGGTTTTCGTGGGTGGTGTATGCAATTTAATTTGTTTGGAGGAATATTATTGGTTGCGGGTGTGTTTTGGTGGGAAATGTTGGTTGGTGACTAGGGTGAGTTGGGCGGTTATGTACGTTGAATAAGGCTGGCAGCCCAGAGGATACATCAAGTGGGTCTTTCGATTGATCTCAGAATAGCGGAAAGAATAGAATTTTATTTTAAGATGGCAACAAGTAACCTTATGCTAAGAGTAAAAACACCACAACTCCGAAAAGTTATTGTATGAGTGGGACTATTGTAAATCGAGAGGAGTTCGTATTTCAACTCGGCGTTCAAGAACCTTCACTCTTTACTATCAACACGCCTGAAACTCCAATCATCTCAGCTATGCGAGACACTATCAACTGACTTCAAAATCCAGTTGCCGATAGTCTCTAATGCGGGCAAAACAAAATCATCTTTAGCGCATCATCTGGCACATTCCGCGGCAAGCCAGTAATTTCCGACTTTGGAGGCGGCATAGTCCACTGGATTATCAGTACATTTGCCGGCTTCTATAAGTTAAAAGCTGTGCCGCCCTTGGGTCCTTTGACGTCGGTTAATGCTGAGCTATCCATGGATGCGAGCCGAGCCGTGTATTATGGCACCAGCCTTGATTTCCGCTCAATAGTTAGCTTATTTTTCTTGCTAGAAAAACGTTCGAAGAGGCGGAACGGGAGAGGGCGGGGGGAGGGCAGCGTTTACATCCACTCATGGTGGTTACACACAAAAATGGTTTAAGTTACGGGGAAGATGTAGCTCAGTAAAAGAAGGAGGTACAACGCAGTTGATATCAATATGGCTTTTGATATTCTGCTTAGTCCAATATCTGTATTATGCCAAATATTGTTCAGATGACTCTCATACCCAACAAGTTTGGCAGCGGTAACTTTCAATGAGTTCAGATCTGAATCGTCGCAATACGGATATTTCAATGTAAAGGGAGTGGCTGGTGCAGAGAATATGAACA